ATTAAAAAACTAAATCAAATGTGTTTGCCCTCAAGTGATCAGCAGTTTAGAGAGAGAGAGAGGATGTGTGTGTGTGTGAGAGAGAGATTATGAATTCAAATTTACATAAGAATGTTAATTGTTGTATGATGTTATATTATTTATAATAAATCCAAAGTCTTTATCAGAGGGAAATGTTTGGTTATCATTGCAACAATCCTGCATTTTAATCTTGTTTCAATCCAGATATAACCTAAATGCCTTATGTTGTATGACTAAATCTGTCCATATTTCCTCAAAACTCACTAGAAGACATCATTTGAGGGGTCTTATTTAGTTTTTTATTTTTATTTATTTTTTAATCTTCAGGGGAGCATACCCCCAAACACCCCAAGAATAGCGTTTTCACAAAGTACAATTAAAGTATAGACTACTACACAGACTGTTGATAGTGATTACACAGAGAAACGGGTCCACAATTCACATATTAAGACCCACACCATCCAAAAACCCGGCTACATCTCTGATTTAACTCCCACTCCATGTAGAGAACAAAATTCAATTAAAAACCGTAGCATTTTAAATTATAAATTATGGCCCCCCTCCCGAAACCTCATGCCACCCCATTTCCACACCAGGAAAAAAAAAAAAAATCTATAGATCCGCCACTGATTGCAGCTCAATACTAAATTGCAGACTTCAGCCAAAACAGGAAGAAACAGGTAGTTACAATCGTGCAAAGTTGCTAAGGTGACACGCTTCAAAGGAAACCATCAAAGGAAATCTATACTTTACTAAAGCTGTTTCTAGATGAGTTATTGTGGCTTCCTATCACAACAGCACAATATCTGGGCCTATTTCTGTGTGTGCTTGTCTAGCCTATCTCTAAAGTCTGATCAATGCATTAGTGAACACATTCAACCTGGAGCCAAAATGATCACTAAACAAATGCCAAATAAGAGATGTAACTTGCTAGAAATGGCAAAATTTCATTTCCAACATTTACCTCAGTGCACTGAAAAGCCTTATAAGTTGACTGCACTCAAATGATGAACTCTTTCCCTCAAGTTAATAGAATAATGGGGTCTCTCAAAACTTGTACAGTATTTTAAAAGGGATAGTTCACCCAATGATTTTTTTTTTTCATTAATTACTCACCCTCATGTTGTTCCAAACCCATACGACTCTAAATCTCAAAGTTTTCACATACAAAATTTGATCAGGGAATATAAAAAGAGGCTCAACTGAACCTGCTTGACACGCAAGAACCAGACTGATCTCATGAAATGGCGTACGCCAATTCGTATTTCCATTTTTGGCATGCTATATCAACACGCATAATCGTTTTTCAGCGTGTTTATGAACGCCGTTGACTTAACGTTACATTACTATATGACCTACCTCAACCCTGTCCCTAAACCTACCAGTCAATGGGGTTAATACCATTTATGAGTCTTCCCCTAGGAAAAATAATATCGCTGTAGATCTACATTTTGCTTCATTTCGCTCAGACATTTAACGCCGTGTATATAGACGCGGAATCACTCAGACATTTAACGGCATAGACAAACACGTATACACGCAGATAGCTCAAAATGCGTATAGATAATGTGTTTATGCAAATGACATGATGTCATGTTGCAAGAATGCGGAAGCTCAAACGTGCTGCGTAACACCAGAAGTGACTACGTTGGATTATGAAATATGTGAACAAAAGCCAAAATTCAAAAATCTCTTCAGAAAATTTTGACTAAACAGGATTATTTGAACTTTTTGAAGCTTTTTGAAAAGTAGTTGATTTCGAAAGGATAAGCTTTCAGATTTCATCAGAAAGATCTTCATTTGTGTTCCGAAGATGAACGAAAGTCTAATGGGTTTGGAACGACAGGAGGATATACTGAACAACAGTACATTAAATGACATTTATTGACATTAATTTCACCATATTAATGAAATGTTAATGGCCAATGTTGACTCAAAGTTTGCAACACCTATTCATTTTCCAAACTTTGGTGCGTGTGGAACAGTTCTCACTTTAAGCTACCAAAAACAAAATCATCAGGAACTAGGCTAGATTACAAGGTTCAGTTTCACTGAGAGACGCTCATCTCACTCTTGTATAGGCTAATACTGCAAATGATACAATGACTTGCAATGTTTGTTACACAGCTAAATAACCCAATTGTCATGGACAATGCATTTAAATAAAAGAAACGAGTGCAAACAACACAATGTCATGCCCAATAAGAACTATTTAGAGTCTTTCTATTTAGAGTCTATTTAGAACTATTTAGAGTCTTTTCTTTGACTTTCTCAATTCATCTGTCACTGGCAGATTGAATACTGTTGGACCCTGGGTTCAAAGCACATGGCAGGGCATTATATATTGGTACAATAACCTGATGCTCATCACATGACGCTCTTTAACAATACACTCTTCCCTATTATGAACAAACAGCCAGAAAACAAACAATCTCTCATGCAAGTGAAAGCTCTGTTCTAGACTCTAAAGAGAATAGGCTAGTGTTATTTCCACACACAAACTCTTTAGCACAAGTTGCGAATTATCTTCTCTGAATCTTTGATTCAGGTCCACACACACTAGTATCAAAGGCAAAGTGCTACAGAAATACAGTATTAAGTTCATAATATAAATTGTAACCATTTGTAATGACTAACTTTCACACGATGTGTCAAAGTCAGATGCCAGTTGACCACCTAAAACACAATTTCTCCCAGTTTCAACACAAAACAGTTTGTTGTTGTTGTCATTTTCAGGGAGAGCAAGCAAAGATCACATTTGTAAATATTTATGTGGAAATGGCTCATCATGTGATGTGAATGACCTGTTAGCCTTCCTTGACACTGCGAGTTACTGTTACCTTATTGTTCTGCAAATAAGTGTTGGCCTTGTTTTGATTGTCTGCAAGGATTTCTCCGCTCTGATTTTCACTGCTTGTGGGATCATTCTCTTTTCCAAAACAGGTTATTACACAAGCTTCTTCTCTTGCATCATGTATTTGTGCAATAGATAAAGGGAACACATGCATGTTACACACACAATTGACACATTCAAAGCAAGTAGAGAAGCATTCAGATAATGCAACTGGGATATGTTTGAGAGGACACAAGAAGTTTTGGGTGTCCTCAAGCTCAGTACACGAGACAGAGAGGGCCGGGAACAGATTATATCTGACCAATAGCAGTCGTCGGTCTCTAAGAATAAGGAGAAGGGCAGAACTGTGTCCCTTATGGGCTGGAGGTCAAACAGGGAAGTCAGGCAACATAAAGGGTTTGACCAGCAGAATCAAAGACGCAGCATAATTTGCCCGGTGTTACAGTGTTAGTTGGGTCCATCAGCTTTCAACTTTCAGTGTTACAGAAATTTGACCACAACAGCAAAGGTATCTTTGTGCCAAAGATGCCATTATCATTGTTTATTGAACCTTTTATCCCATGGCTAAATCAATACGGTGGTTATTTAGAAAATAAATAAATAAAATAACTGGAATATTGCAGTATTTGTATTCAGTCCACATAATCTTTTTTTTTTATTATTTTGATTTTTTATTCATGTGCCCTCCTAATCTTAAATCAAAATAACTTCCCCTCTAATTTGCAACATCATCTGAAAGAAGAACAATCACATGAGATCACAGCAAGAGCAAACCACAACCATCCAATCAAAGCCCCGCCCTACTTTTATTTTGTTTTTTTTTTCGAGAAGCTGTTTCACTCGGATACAGTGCGTCACAATAGGGAAGAAAATACAATCACAACTTCCTTTTCATGAACACTTTGGCTGTGTTTAAGGCAACTTTTTTTATGACCATCCCTTGCTAACTTCCCTTGGTTTCGTTCACGCAGGTATGTCATCGCTTATGTTGCACGAGTGCCCACTACTCACGGAACCCTTGCAATGTTGAAATGGGGACACCCTAAGCCCTTGACCACTTGGAATCTGCTATGAGAGTAACGTCACAATCATGTTGCATTGTGGTCTATGGACCTGCCTGAAGTGTACATAGACTTACTTACTCCCTCAGTCAAAATCAAAGGATTAAACGTCTTTCCAAATGAACTTCCCTTCCCAACTTCCCAAATAAAAGCCCAGTAGTTGACAAAATGATAGGAGAGGATACCCAGATAGCAACATATTGTCTGCCCAGATCCGGGCCACATCTGGTATGTGTATTCAACGACAACGCATACCAGATGTGGGCCAGACCACTATGCTGCTGTCTGGGTAAAGGATAGATCTGCTTTATTGTTAAAGGATGACAAGGAAGTCTGATTCATTGGCGCAAATCGGTTCTTTTAAACAGTTCATTTCAAAGAACTAGTTTTAAACAGATTCAGCAGTTGTTTTATGTCTGTACGTGATTACGCCATCACGTGGCCCATTATACGCTTTAACACATTTTAATTAAAATTAAAATAATTAAAATTAAATTCTGTTAGGTATAATTGGTGTCCCAATTCAGTCTGTTGCATCCATTCAAGTCATTTAGAAACTGCATTTAATTTATACAACACTAACATTCACTTACTGTACACCTGGCTAAGGTGACAAGAAAAGTTAGAAAAATAGGTTAATCTACTTTAAAATGACTTATTAATGATTCAATTATAATATAGCTAAAATAATTCGTTTCGTATGCTTGTTGATACACACAATTGAGTCATACTCATGTTTAATATACATGTTGTACACTATGTTTCCTGAAAACATTGTAAACCTAAACTGGGTCCAGTGGTTTCCAAGATATAGGGTTACGAATCATTTTAGAAAACGTGCATCCCAGACCGGTTCAACTGATTCATCAAACAGATCCGATTCATAAGAATGATTCGCTCACGAATAGGACAACAACACACACCAACCAAACTAATGGAAAAAAAAAACACAGGGCCTAATCCAAAACACTCAAACACAAACACTGAACATACTGTACTCAATTTCAAACTGCAGAAATAGGAAACCGTAGTAAGAATCGTTCGATATGAAATATGAGCCTTACCTTTCGCGTGACAATCAGCGCAAAACTTGTTTTCCTCTGATGCTAGAAGAGATGTGAGAACAGCCTGATAGCGGTCAATGTCTTTGACTGATTTACCCGTCATCTTCAGAAATCAGTATCTCACTGCTCTGTGATAGTCCAAAGCCGCTGAGAAGATATTCAGATGTGTGCCCGTTAATGAAACACCGGGAAGCGGATCTCTGACAGGCTGCTGTAGATGAAGAGAGAGAAAACACAGTGCTGCTGGCTTCCGCTAATCTTACCAGGAAGAGGAAAAAGCTGTGAACCACGGATCATATAAGAACACCATATTCCCCTCTGTACATTCGCTGGTGGACCCAACTTTCAACCCGCAGTATCACAGACACATCGAGCACGTTCACGCGCTAACAGTTACGTTACACTCCAGTATTACCCATGAGTCACCGCTCTGTCTCTGTTGTGTCTGCTGGTGATCGACAGACGTGCTGGGGAAAAAAAATACTATCTAAAAGATATAAACTAAATCCAGCATCAGAAGGACAATTGCGGTCGTGATGTTCACCGTTCAGAGATGTGAATTACAACCCCTTTGTGTAATTTCTAGAAAATGTGAAATTGCGCCCCCCTGCGGCGAAAGAAACACTGCATTGATCAACATCCATTCATGTTCGTCGTCACACAGGGAAGATGTTTTAAGGGTTGTATGTTATACATGCTATAATGTTATAAGGTTCTGAGTAAAAGCTACAATTATACAAAGATGTGATTCCCTAGCAGTGGTTTTGTATTGGTTTTAAACACCTAGTTGGAAATATCAAATTAGTTTTATAAGTTACTAGCACGTACTTGCACGGAAACTACACCGATGGGGGCTAACACATATTAAATAACCGATTATGATAAGGCATATGTTTTAGCCAAAAGGTTTAAACGTGTTCCATTTAGGAGGATGCGGAGCATTTTTCATATCAATGGAACTTTCCACATAAAAACTAATTCAAACCATATACTAAAAAACTGTAGTATACTATTTTCACAAACATGGACTGTAATAAATAACTTTGACTTCAACATATGCCCATTAAGAAATGTAGCTATTTATTAAAAAGAAATAAATCCCCCTGAGAGCCTGTTTTTTTTACTCGTCACTTTAGACTTTGTGAAACATATCTGCAGATGTTGTTGGTGGAGTGGCCTCTACACAGTGTGAACTGAAGGAGACCCGTTTCACATCCTTTAAAAATGTATTATCTTGAGGCCATTTAGCTAAATGTCATTACAAAAATGCCCAAGAAAAGTTGAACATTTTGGAGTTCCATTCCAAACTCCTATAATCCAGACATGGGTGTCTGTTATGCCTCACAAACAAACATTCCTGCGTCCAGTAGCTCCACAGACCGTCCACTAAATCAACATCATGATGTCCAGCATACATAATTCAACAATCTACAGTATTGAGATATTCAGTAATGGGAGCGTGAGAAAGTTAGCTCTGTTGTCTGCATGTTCAGTCATCAGAAGTCTCCGCCTCCTGCGTGGCGATGGCTTCTCAGGTCTGTCCGGTCCTCAGTATGTTCACTCTGAGCTCCCTGAGTTCTCAGGGGCTGGCTGTAGGGCTGGGTTACACCTCTCTCAATCCTCCCCTCAGGTCTCTGCACACTGTGTTTTTCTTCCCTGTCCTGGGCAGCGCACACACTCACATACACACACCTTTCTTTTTCCCTGGATCCACCATCCTGGGCTGAGAAGCCTGAAGAGAGGGTGGCAAGGTTTGGAGAAACCGTTGGGACGATAGTGAATCTTCACCATGGCTAGATTCTTCATGATCTTCAGAAGCTTGGTCCTGTTGCAGGCGCTCTGCTTGGCCTTATCACAAGTGGTGAGTTTGGCTGCGCTTACTTTTTCTTGATGCTGGATGATCTTAGTTTTGCTGTCAAGTAAGATCATGTATCTTGGAGTAAATCTGAAGGATTGAGATATGATTTACCATGGATGGGACTGGATTTGTATTCATTTCTCAATTCATATTCATACTATAGTTGACTAGTTTGGTAGATGACTTTTGATCCTCAAAGTTGCAAGATTTTAGACTGTTGAGTTTTTTTGAGTAATCTTCTAAAAGTTTACTTAAGTGGCTATATGCATGAAGGCCTGGCATTGAGCAATATAGCACTCAGGGCTATCTTCTGATTCTGAAAGCTTAAACAATTCAGTTTCAGTAACTGAAATGAGTAAATGGAGACCCGCTGAATAAAATATGAAGCAGAAAGTGAACATCAGACAAATAAACAGAGAGAGGAAAAGGTGGAAACAGAGAGATTACAAAGAGCCCATTGAAAATACAGTGAAGTTGCTATTCAAATAGACATAGAATAACACATACTTGTTACATTTTAGATGTACCTCAGAGAAAACCACCTCAGAGAAAAGCTCATGTGCAATAAAATGCAATGGACCCAATGAATGCGTACTTATTTTGAGTCCACCATCTTATAAACTCATGCATTGAAAAACAGATCTATCTTTGATGGTGAATGGGGGAGGGTCTGAGTAAACATTCCCAGCCCGTCTTTTCCCACCCCGGATGCCGTGATCTTCTAGCCAAGGCCTTTAATTTGGTTTTCATCTCAAACCTTGTTCTGTCTATCAAATTTAAGCAAGTAAACAGTGTCAGCTAAAACTAAAAGCTAAAGTCATTTTCAGTAATCTGGAATAAAATAAGCTGTAAATAATATGCTTGAAAAAATGAATAAATGAACTATTTAAAAAATAATAAAAAATGTCAAAAGCACATTTCAAAATTGCTAAAACATTTGAAAACTGAAAATATAAAATGATCTAATTAAAAATATTAATAAATACTATAATAGCATATAAATACTTGTATGATGTCACAATTACAGAACAATATAGGAGATTCAACTAATTTGGTAAATTAAGGGGTTCATTTGTTTAATTGTTGAATAATAAAGGTTTGTGGAAGTTAAATATAGAACGCTGTTTATATTAAAGCGATTGGCGGTGCACATCAATGGAAAGGCTTCAGTATTGCTGAAATTGAAAACTCTGTGTTTAATTTTAGACCGGTCCACCTGGACCCCAGGGCCCTCCTGGTCTCCCTGGTCCCGCTGGAACGCCCGGTGCCGACGGCATTGATGTGAGTATTGGAGCCGCTTGGCTGCACCACAGGTCGAGCTGGTACAAAGACAGTCATTGTGCACCTGGTTTCATGGGCCCCAAGTTCATCTGCACTACCAAAATCTTGCCAATAGAGGGCACACAAAATAAAAATAATCACACAAAAGGGTTCTGTTAGAGGGTTGCCTCTTTCCCATATTGAGAGAGAGAGAGAGAGAGAGAGAGAGAGAGAGAGAGAGAGAGAGAGAGAGAGAGAGAGAGAGAGAGAGAGAGAGAGAGAGAGAGAGAGAGAGAGAGAGAGAGAGAGAGAGAGAGAGAGAGAGAGAGAGAGAGAGAGAGAGCTAGTAGATGTTGGTTATTTGATACGGTTGTGGCCTAGTATAAAGTATAAAGACACTCAGCAGGATATACAACGAGCCCGAACTGATACATAGCATATAAAAACAGAAACAGGATCCCAGCGTTCTCCCATGAGCTTCTACAAATAGATTAGGATATTTAGATTTTATAGTCATTAATAGGGATATATGCATAAAGGGAGATATACAGAACTCTGACGCCAAAATTATTTTAAAGTTGACTTTATAAAGAGGTCAGGCTGGAGGAGGAGCTTGTTTGTGGGCAGGGTTTTACGTATGCTACATTCATTTATTTACTTTTTTATATACATTTCTTTGACATTTTATATAGGTCTATACTAAGATGCTAGCTTTTGCAAAGGCTGTGAGAATTGAGGTTGAATGTTTCAGATTAAGTTATGTACTAAGTTGATATATTTATTGTACTCTTGTTGTTTTTTTTTTGCAAAAAGCATTAGGCCTATTATTAATTGCCTGAAATTTTGCTATAAGAAACTGGATGTTTTTGTTGTTGTTGTTTTTTTTTTTTTTTTTTTTTTGTCTGTTAATTTGTTCCATTATTTATATTGTCTAACAGTCCATCTTTGCTACTTTTATTTCCCTTTATAGGGTGAGAAGGGTCCTCCTGGACCTCCCGGACCACCAGTAAGTGACTAATCCAGTTGATCATAAATTTGCATTTTATATATTTACATAACCATTTTAAGGTAAAATTAAATGCCTGTTTTATATTTTCATATTAAAATGGCATTTATTATATATTTATTCAAACGATTAATTTCGATTAATCGCATCCAAAATAAAAGTTTGTGTTTATGTGGGTGCACTGTGTATAATTATTTTGGATATATATATATATATATATATATATATATATATATATATATATATATATATATATATTTAAACACACATGCATGTATATTTAAAAAAAATATTATTTATATATAAAATATGTATATTTATAATATAATATAAATTATACATAAATCTATATACAGTATATATATGAAAATATTTCTTATAATATAATTTATAATATAATATAATATAATATAATATAATATATGCAAGCATGTGTGTGTAGACAATAGTTATATAGTAATAGTAATATACAATACACAGTGCACCCACATATATTATGTAGACACAGACTTTTATTTTGGATGTGATTAATCATGATTTATCGTTTGACAGCCCTAATTTATTTATTATACATACTTAATTTTCAGCATCATTACTCCAGTCTTCAGTGTCACATGATCCTTCAGAAATATGCTGATTTGCTGCTCAAAAAGCATTTATGATTATTATTATCATCAATTTTTAAAACATTTTTTTGAACAGAAAGTTCAAAAGAACAGCATTAATTTGAAATAGACAAAGTAAAAGTCATTTTTGATTCATTAAAAAAGTCTTACTAATCCCAAACTTTTGAACGGTAGTGTAGGCTATATGAATTTATATGAATCAGCATCATTGCAACATTGCAACAAACATGTTACATGTAGTTACTAATAATAAATATGCATAAACTAACCCTAAACTAAACCCATATCCTAACCCTTTAGTACGTACATTACTCAGTACTTAAATGTATAATTACAATGTAACAAAGACACCTTAATATAAAGTGTAACCAATTTATCCAATAAAAATAAATGCATTTATTTTGCATCAAAGTCAAACTCAAAGAACTGAGTGTATTATTAAACTATTTAAACTTTTTCATGTGTGAATCACTTTACAGGGTCAAAAGGGAGAGGGAGGTGAACCTGGTCCTGATGGATCTCCAGGGGAGGATGGCATTGATGTGAGTGACACCTACAATTCAGGAAAGATACTGTAGCTCAGCCATTAAAAAAGGCATTTCAATCAATGCATTCGATTCATAATGAATAATGACATTTGATATCCTGTTCTGGTGAAGGTTATTCACACCTACGCTCTGACATGTTGGCGTGAGCCTGAGAAAAGAGATCTTGGTCCTAATGAGCAAGACTTTCTCAGTCACATGCTAAGAAGCAAACATTCCTTATTGGATTTACCACTTAATCTGTTCTGGAATTTCAGTCCCTGGGTTTCCTCTCTCTGCAATGTTTGTAGTAAGATGTATAAACATATCTTTAAAAAATTGTACTGAATGGATCTTTACGTATTAAATGTTCTGCAATCAATTCATTGCCATTATTTGTATAGCACCTGATACAATACAAATTATTCTAAAGAAGCAAAATAATGATAAATGTTGCAATTTCTGCTGTAAAGAGCTGTTTACAGTTCAGTAACACTTTACTTGAAGGGGTGTGCATAAGACTAACATGACACCTTCATTATCATGACATGACATATGTTATGAATATGAAGGTTGATGAAGTTTTATGCATGTATGTGACAACTGTCATCAAGTGTCATTTGCTCAGTTATGACATTTTTTAAATATGACATTGTTTGAGATGTCTTTGACATAAACCTGTCAGTGTCTTTGTCATGACAACTTGACATTACTAAGACTACACAACCTGTCATAAACATGACATAGCAGATTAATTATCAAACTTAAGAAAGCACCTAGCTTTATCGGTTAACATTACATTAAAATGTCAGTTTGACATTGACTGTCATGACGCCATTATAGCATTCAATGTGTACCAATGTAGTTTAGAAAAATAACCATTACACAGTTATAATGGCCTCATGACAGCCAATGTCAAAGCCAACCACATGACAGTTTAACTTAATTTAATGTCATAAGTTGTCATGACAAAGACACTGACAGGTTATGATGTTATGGTTTATGTCAAGATGTCATAACAAAGACATCTTAAACAATGTCATATTTGCATGCAAAATGTCATTATTGAGTGAAAGACACTTAAATACAGTTGTCATAAACATGCATAAACCCTATTTCATATTCAAGATATGTCAGGTGTCTTGCCAGTCTTATGAACACCCCTTCAAGTTAAGTGTTACCTAAAGTTCATCTATAAAGCAGTGATGTCATCAGCCAGCTCAGTTCAGTGCTCATCTGCTAGTGTCAGTGCATATTGCTGAACATTAAGTGTCCCCAACTAAATCACCTGCTTAACCCGGTCTTTGAATCATCTTAGAGGTGTGAATTATTCTAAATGATTATTATTCTGAGGGCTTGTTTTCCTCTGTTATCTCTCCAGGGTTTGATTGGTGCTAAGGGTGAGAGGGGTCCTCGTGGTAATCCTGGACCAAAGGTGAGGAATTTATATATTATTTTTCTTCATATACGCAGCACACACACAATCTACTCTATTCTAGTGGGCAATCAGTTGGCCAACGAACACACGATACAAACGCACACAACATATATTTAAATTCCGTAAATGTGATGATAGAGGACAATGACTGAAAAGAATATCATGAATAATGAATGTCATGTACGCATACTGAGGTTGTTATGAATAATATATCATCTTTTCCGTCATTGTTAGTCTAAAATCGTATAAAGAAAGGCACGCATCTAATTCCACATGATGTTTTATTGATTTTCACAGGGTCAGCCAGGGCCGGGTGGACCACCAGGGCGACGTGTAAGTATAAAAAATATGTAAGGAATTTGTTGAACAAAAATAATGCTGCGAATCCATCACTTGCAGTTTCTCAAACTATTCAACAGGGACGCTGTAGTACACAAAACAGTATGAACTACAATTACGCTCTGTTGCTCATCTTGTTTTTTGTTTTTTTAACTTCAGGGACCCGGACTGCCTGGACTTCCTGTAAGTAAGCCAATTCACAAGCCATTTTTCTTCCTTATCCTCATTATTCCAAGTAAAACTGGGTCAATCGGTTTCACAAACAAGGTTTTAAACACTAGTCCCAGACTAAATGACATGTTTGAGCTGTTTTGACTAAAAAGCATCTTGCACTCTCACAATCAAGATGCATACCAGCATTTTTGTTTCTATAGAACGTTTGTTAAAGCTATTTAAATGTCCTAATTAAATTAAGACCTAATCCTGGCTTAATCTAAGTCCTATCTGTGGAACCAGGCCTCAGTGAATAAAATGTAGGGTGGGATCTTTGGTAGTTGGAGGGGTTGATACCTAAGGATTTGTGATGTCAGCCATGAATGAGAAGATTACAAAAACAGTTTTAGGCTACTCCGCTACTAGAATAACATGCACCAATGAATCTTGCCCTATGAATATGTATAACAATTATACAGGAGCTTTGACTTCTGAACAGATGTTCAAAGTGATTTGTTTTTTAAACATTTTCTCAAATGCAATTTCAGTGAGAATGATTTGTGCACTTTTTACTGTTTGCTTGAACACTATTGTGCTTGCTCTGAAGGTTTTTGCAGTGCAAACCGTACAAAACCATAGGCGATCTTAGCCAACACAGGTTTCTTTTGTTGTTAGATCTGACAGCACACGCTTCTTGTGTATTGGATGAATAAACAAGTGTCTAATTTCACTGCTCATAATCTCATTACAGGGAGCACCAGGCCCCATTGGACTTCCTGGACAAATTGGGCCTACTGGGCAAAAGGTGGGTCCTAATAACATGATCTTTCCTGGTTAGGAGTGCTGTTCATACCTAACCATTGCTAGCTAAGACAACTGTTTTTGTTGTAGCAAATAGTTTTAGTGGTAAAACATCACTCTGTAAACCCATTTAATTTAATGGATCACTGAACTGATGCATACTTGCACTCACATCTTTCATCACAGGGTGTCATGGGAAGTCCTGGACCTCCAGGATTACCCGGACCTGCAGGCAAGCCTGTAAGACACAGTAATGTTTCATTTACTTCACTTTGAAATGTAGTCTTCTCAAGTGAAACCACAAAATCTAATTCTGTGTATAAAGCTGTAGTAGGGCTGATAATAAATCAGTGTCAGAACAGTGTAAAATGACATCTCATCTCATACTGCATTTCTGGGCGTACGTTTTATTTCATTTTCTCCTCTATTTCATTTCATTTCATTTCTTGAAGGCATCCATTTGTGATCTGCTTCAGAACCTTTTCACTCCATGATAAATAAACTCTCCAAATATATTTATTTATTCTAAGCCACCTGCATTTATATCTTCTTTTTCAATTTATTTATGTCACTGTCATTTTTAGGGTCCGCCAGGAAAGTTTTTGGGTTTAGAGGAAGGCAGCGCTGACTTCCAGGTAAGGTTGTGTCTGCAAACCATGACGTGCCACAACTTTTCCAGCAGTCTGAATTCCAAAGTATATTCTTATTCATTATTTCCATAGACATAAAAAAGGCTGTAATTAAAGAGCTTTAATCCTTAAACAAAACCAGTCAGCTCCAAAATGAATAATAGCATCAAAACATTTGACTTAATGCAAAAAAGTATGTGAAAAATGGGAATGAATCAACAGCAAATCATAAAATTACAAAAGGAAACAATTATGTATAATAAATAAATAGCAATGGCAACATCGTGATAGAAAAATAACTTCTTAATATATTTTTGTTTGTCTTTTTGACTTGTTTTCCAGTAAAAATTAAAGATAAATTTACAGTATTTATGAAGATGGTAGGATGATAATATTTTATATTGCTTTTAATATTTATATTTATTTATTTTTGGAAAATGAGACAAAAAAAAATTAAGAAAGCTTTTTATGAATAAACTAAAAAAATAAAACAAAAAGTTTGTTGGAAAAAATCATATATATATATATATATATATATATATATAAATGTACTGTATATAAATTATAATTTTTTTATTAGATATATATATATATCTTATTTCGCATATCTTTTTGGCTTACTTATTATTGTCCTCTCAGAATTTGCCCTTCTCTGTATTTGTTCTGTCAGAGTTTGCCCTGTTATATGTTTCACACCCCTCATTGATCTCAGTGTTCATAGATGTTCCTAATGAGCTTCATTAAATGGGTGTCATCAAAGGCTCCTGCCCATTAGCACCTATCTGGATCCAGAATCCGAGCAGGTCCCATGGGCTGTGATCTGCAGCCAGCCTGCCAGGAGTCTGCTCAGCACTGGGGGTTGTGGGATCACGTGGCAGACTGGTTGACTGCTTTTCCTCCGCCCTAGAGCCCATCTGGTGCCCTGTACTGTCTGGATCAATCCGTATCATCCATTTACTGCAATTAGAGGGCTTGGTGATCTGAGATCTAGAAAAAATATCCAAGCCCTTGCTGCCCTTTTTTACTCAGCCGTGAGGGTTTGAGTTAAATAGATCTGACAGTGATTGTTTAGCCTGTGTGATTTAGTGTTGTTCTGTTTTAATCCAATGTTGCCACTGTGTGTTCTAGTGTCCAACCAACTGTCCACCTGGGCCGAAGGGTCCTCAGGGCCTTCATGGAGTGAAGGTTAGAATTTAAAATCTCTATTTTGTGAATAAACACATGAATAAAGTGCTTAGTTCACCCCAAAAAAATAAAATAAATTCTGTCATCATTTACTCACCCTGAAGTTCCAAACCTGTATCTTTCTTCTGCTGAACACAAAAGAAGACATTTTGAAGAATATGGGTAATCAAGCAGTTTATGAGTCCCATTGACTTCCATAGTACTGGAAAAAATACTGTAGAAGTCAACGAGGCCCATCAACTGTTTGGTTACTGCCATTCTTTAACATATCTTGTCTGTTCAGCAAAGTAAGACATTCAGGTAAATGCATCAGAAATTTCTATTTTGGGTGAAATATCCCTTTAATGGCATCACAAGGGTCAAGCTGCAACCCCCCATGACTATATTAACAAAATATCACAGCCTTGAGTGCTTTATTGCTTTTATATTTAGCAAAACTAAAAATAATTTTAATAATTTTATGTACATTGGGAAATGCACTTAGTGTCATCCTTCTGCTAGGACCGCAAAGGTGTTTTCTTTACTATACTTGTGCATGGAAGGATGTATTGACCCATCAGCATCTGGGACTGGAACTATTAGTTTACTATGATATTTTACAAAGTTGTATAATTTAATGGCTGATCCTGAAATTATATTCTTTACAGGGACATAAAGGTCGAGTTGGCGCACTGGGAGACCCAGGAAGCATTGGAAAATTGGTATGTTTTTCCTTCTGATATTTTTTTAAATACATTATTTAATAATTACAATATTTTATTTATTTTAAATAAAAAAAATATTATTATTAATTATACATACAATTTATAATTTAGTCATTTAAATATTTAAGAATTTTAAATATTCAAATTATTATTATTATTATTATAATTAACAACAACAAAATATTATCTTTTAAATAAAAAAAACTTTTAATAATTTAAAATGTAAATAAATTTATATTATTATTATTAGCAATAACAATAATAATGGTAATAATACAATATTTTATCATAATTCTTAATTTTTTCAAAATTTAGAAAAAAAATTCTATTATTTTCGTTATGTTGATTGGCTTGATTTGCTTGAATATTTAAATGAATATTCATTTAAATATTCAAGATTCTTAAATATTACAATTATTATTATTATTATTATTATTATTATTATTATTATATTATTAACAACAACAAAAATATATATATATATATATATATATATATATCATTTAATAAAAAAAAGCTTTTAATAATTTAAAATGTAAATCAATTTATATTATTATTAACAATAACACTAATAATGGTACAATATTTTAACATACTTCTTATTTTTTTCAATATTTAAAAAAAAATATATTATTTTGAAAAAGTTATTTGAAGATTGGTTATGTTTTTGACCTGACCTGTCAGCGTACTTGAACATTTTGTTTTATTTTAGTAATAGTCACACTGGTAGGCCAAATAGTGCATACACTTTGCAACCACAAAGGGGAGCATGTGAGCGCCCTCCGGATTCATAAAAAATAACAAATGCAACACAGCACCTTCTAACTTTAAACTTCATAAACCTCATATCACACAATGTAGAACAAGAAAAATACTGATTGGTTGGTAGAGTAAAATAAACAATATTTCTTATTATGCATCATGCTTTGAAGGGTCCAGTATCTCCCCCCAAAACACCTATACAGCATGCAGAGCAGGATTAGAGCTAATGAAGCCCCTCAAGGCGTATAACTGCCTCTAATCTGGGTGTGACTCGCAGACAGAACACATTGACCCAGATGAAAGGAAATAAGGGGCCGGCAGGTACTGAGAAGATACTTGCCTGTGAATTAATCAGACTTAATGAGCCCCTCAAGGACATTAGAATGGACTACAGGGACAGAGCGGATTTGGTCATAATTCAGAGCACGACTGTCTTGGGGAAGTGTTGAATTTAAAGTCGGCATGAAATGAAAGTTGTGACAGTCTTTTCTTCCCTATTGTGACGTATATTAGAGTGAAATGGCTTCTGGAATGAGAATTTCCTATCAAATTCAGGACACACATATCTGAAAATTTGTCATATATTTAAACAAATAACTTCAAAGTGACAAGCCACACAATATCCCAAAATAAAAGGCCATTTTGTTTCTTTCAAATGCAAATATGTGTTTCATCCTTTTATTCTCCATCCTTAGGGTACAAAGGGTGATGTCGGCATCTCTGGTGAACAGGGAATACCAGGCCCTCCAGTAATGTATTTATTTCTGTTCGGGTTATTTTATAATTCAAGCCTATGTTGCTGTCACATAATTGCAAGTAATTTTAGTAGTACATTTTATGAAGGTCTTAAGATCACCTGTGAAATAAAATGTCTGCTTGTCTCTACAACAATCACTTTAGGGTCCTCAAGGTCTGAGAGGATATCCGGGAATGGTGGGACCCAAAGGCGAGACGGTGAGTCACAGTTCCCGAAATATTACTCGTTATCTGTTTATGTCTAAATATGATTTTGACTGGTCTGAAGAGATACACGCCTACACAAGGATACATAGCAGATGGTGTCCGTGTTGTTATTATTGCTAACTAAAACTAAAACTTTTTTGTTAGTTAAAGGGGTCATGCACTTTTTCAAGTTGATTGTACTGAAATGTGTTGGCAATGCCTATACACAACCATCATGATTAAAATCCATCCAGTGTTTTTGTTTTAATCTCCTTATATGTTTTCCCCCACCTCAAATCGAGCCGTGACGTCACACGGTCGGACGCCCCTCCCCCGATTGTTGATTGACAGCAATAGTCCGTCATTGTTGATATGCTGGAGCTGAATGGCGTCTAAGCGATTGTGTTGTTCTGTTCTTTTGTGAAATAATGAACACAGCAGTCATTTTGATGTTCCTAAATCCGAACCGCTGAAGACGCATTGGCGGAGTTTTGTTTTCGAAGGAAATATTCCCCACGATCAACGTCAATGCGTTCATGTTTGCGCAAATCATTTCTCACCCGACTGCTTTATAAACGAGGGTCAGTCTAAAGCTGGTTTTGCTAAGAAACTGCTCCTGAAAAAAGAATCGGCACCAACTATTCATGTCCCTGCTGCACCTCCAGAAGAAGTGAGTGTAAAGTTTTATTAACCTTTATATTAACGTTAAAGCTACACTGTGTAACTCTTTTAGTATATTTTTAGCTAAAAACACTTAGTTCTTTCAAAAATATATGTGCTCATTCAGCCCGTTCTTATCCTTTATCGTCACATAGAACGCTATATGACAAAACGGCGCTATACTACGCACATGGCACCCGTTATCGTTAATATAACATGCGCTGTGATGGTTAGGTTTAGGTGTGGGGTAGGGTAGTCTCATATTACGCTAAAGGATTTATGACACCTTGGGTTCGCGTGAATATTAACGATAAAGGGTGCCATGTGCGTAGTATAGCGCCGTTTTGTCATATAGCGTTCTATATGACGCTAAAGGATGAGAATGCGTTGGCTCATTAATGTATATTTACTTCATTCAAGTAATAAAGCATTCTCGTGAGTGTATAATATGCCATAGAAAATATATACGGGTAAGGGGTTCTAATGTCGGTCGCCATGTTGCCCCTCCATCTTGAAAGTACATTAGCCAAAGAGGGACATACCCGTTAATTCAAGCTTTGCCTTTACATTTGAGTTAACACTCATGGACGAGGTCGAACGGGAAGCCATATTAATCTTGGACTACATTGGCCACCATAGGAGATAAAATGAAAACGGAATTGAGAGGAACAGAAACTAATATTCCCTGGATGGTCATATATCTTTTCACCGCTAGATGGGGGTAAAAATCACAGTGTAGCTTTAATCTTTGCAAATCACTTGCACGCTTCGTAATGAATGCCGCTAAGGTTTACACTCAGGGAACATTACGGCATGTTTTCTATGTATGACATTTAATTCATAATCCAACCCAATCTCACGGGAATTCGTATGAATTTTACGAAGTGGCTAATTCATAACAATTCGTACGACCTCACTCGTACGAATTAGTACGATTTCGCTAAATCGTACATATTTTACGTATTAGCCAATTCGTATGAATTGAATTGACCGAATTACCTACCCCTGACCCCGCCCCTAAACATAACCGTCACGTGGGTTTAAACAAATCGTACAAATTCGTACGAGTGAGGTCGTATGAATTAGTACGAATTAGCCACTTTTGAATCACTCGTACGAATTCGTACCAATTGGTCATGAGATAGCGTAGCATAATCCCATATTTCAGACTGATCTCATGAAATGGCGTATGTATGACACGTCAATTCGTATTTCCATATTTGCCGTTCTATCAACACACATAATCGCTTTTCAGCGTATTTATGAACGCCGTTGACTTAACGTTAAATTACTGTATATATAAATATAGGACCTACCCCAACCCCGTCACTGGGGTTAAGAATTTATGAATCTTTCCCTACCATTCTAGAAAAAAAAAAAAAGCTCCCCAGATGTAGACCTACATTTTGCTTCGTTTCGCTTGGACATTTAACTGTGTGTACATACACGTGGAATCACTCTGACCTTTAATGGCGTAGACATACACGCATACATGTGGATACCTGAAAATGCGTATAGATAATACTGTGTGTTTACGCAAAAGTCATGATGCCATGTTGCATATTTATAATGAACAACGTGTTATGGTTATTTTGTTATTACAAACTGAATACGTATACATCAGTAAACACATTGCGTTCGTACATCTCACTAAGTTACTCTAACATTACCCTGCCAGTACACAAAGATAGATCAAAGTGACATTACGTTAACCAACCTTTCAGAAACGTCCTTTTCGTGCCTTATTGTCGAACTTCTTTGCGGCTGTCATCTGTTCGAGGTCCGACTCCGGTTCGAACTGATACGGTTGCACAGATGTGTCCTCAGAGACTCCCACTGCCATTCACTCTCCAAATATACCCTCAACTGTTGTCAAGGCAACACTCCATGTGTTGTGTCAAAATCCCTGCAGAACAGAGGGGCGGAGTCAGCACAGCTCATTATCATTTAAAGGCATATGCACTGAAATGGCGTGCTGAAAACAGAGCTGTTTTTGTCCAGGGAAAATTAGTCTTTTCTTACAATACTAAGGAGAATTCTTAACTAAAGTATATTACAAACTTTTCTTTTAGACCCTAAAGAATCAAATGAACTTGATGAAAATGGCATCAAATGACCCCTTTAATAGAACTAACGCTTATGGAAGCTTGTTGGGGGAAAAAAAGTCTGCTCACAATTCTGACTTTTTTTCCATCAAAATTGTGAGAAATAAACTGTGAGAAAATATCAGAATTATTGCATAAAAAGTTGCAATTACCTGTTTTATTTTGTATTCAGTGGTGGAAACAAGCTTCCATATGCATCCATCAAATATGTGGTTAATTTTATTACACAGTCTTTGTGTGTGAGATGAGATGATAATTTTGCCAGGCAGTTTTAAATTTAGACATTTTCATTTAAATAAGCTTATTATATTAAACGTATAACTTATTGTGAATTTTAGCTTCCCCACTGAATTGTACATCGGCTCGATTTGCATACATGGGTTTTTATTATATTCTGAAAAAAAAAAAAAAAAAAAAACAGTGGAATGTAAACAAACATTGCACAACTTCAATTATATTTGTAGGACAGCAAATCTCCATTGACTTTGTTTTACAATTTGTTAAAAACTTTAAAGTGATTTACTTCTGTGACAGGGACCACGTGGTTACAAAGGCATTTCAGGACCAATCGGCATCCCTGGACGCCCTGTAAGTCAGAAAGTCTGGTGTTAATACATTTCATTCTCCTGACTGACAAAAATACATTTAAATTATAAGCTTTCTGTGCAATGCAGGGTGAAGAAGGACCCCAAGGACCACCTGGAGATCCTGGGGACAAAGGTGACATTGTAAGTATTAGTAATATTATTCACATCTATTCATCCAGACATTCATTTATCATTCTACATGTTAAGTTATCAAACTATTCATCAATATATCGATTAATTTGTGTAGGGAGAACTTGGCATACGAGGGCCTCAGGGAGTGGTCGGAAAGAAGGGAGAGAATGTAAGTTAAAAGATGGGCCATTTAAATGCAATTTAAAACAGGTCCGCAAAACTTATGCTCTTAATCTTTTGATGAATGTTCCCTGTCAGGGTCTTCCAGGAATTGATGGAAAAGATGGTACTCCTGGCATCCCAGGAATAAAGGTATGGATGACTCTTTTTCAGCTCGTAAATCAATTCTCACAGCAGCAATCATTATTCAAGGAGACACATGACATATGTAAAAGATAATGCATAATGCAGTCAGAGTGACCAAATCTTGTTTCATCCAGAAGGGGGTTCTTTTTGCAATATATAATGTCCAATATAAATGCAAAAAATAAACAAAAATGAATTATAATGAATTAATGAATGCTGCACTTTCCTATCCCTGTTCAGGGTGCTTCAGGACAAAATGGAAGACCTGGAGCTCCTGGTCAACAGGGAGATGCTGTGAGTAAATTTCATACTTCATTATCCTTTCCGTATCATATACACAGTAATTATCATCATTAAAGTTTCAAGGAAACTTTCACCATCTTCCTCACATCTATCCATTGCATTTCCTTTGTTAAATGATGATCATTACATATAAAAAGTAGAAGTTTCGTGTATTTTCTGCCTACAGTAGCATTCTTGCCCTCACTATTTTGGAGCTTAAACCACCTTGAAATTGCTCTTGCTATTAACTATTCATCATCATCAAACATGACTCTCCTGGCGACTTGGGGTAATGGAGCATGCTGGTTATGATACAAAACATCACAACGTACCTGCGCAAGCCATAACACAGGCACCCTCGCTAACAGGATGAGTTATTGCAGCTATGTTCTGATAGCAGCACAAAGTAAAGGACAGACATTGAGCTGTCCACGGAGGCCTGCAGGGGTCACTACATTCATCCTGCATGCTATTTTTCACATTTTGTAGGGTTTGCCTGGTATGCCTGGAGCCAAGGGTGAATTGGGAATTAAGGTGAGATCATGCAGAGATTTTATTTATTTATTTATTTATTTGTAAATTCCTACACGTTTTCTGTTGTTATTGTTGTTGAACTAGTTTTTGGGAAGTAACAGATTATATGTAAACTGGATTAGATTCTAAAAATTAAGAACTTGTAATTGGATTATATTAATTTTAAAAATGCTATTAATCAGATTAAAGTTAATTTTTTGTTGATTACATATTCATTCAATTATTCATAAGTGATTGATTTTCCGAATTTTACATTGCTCTTGACGTGCGGGTAAACAAATAAAATGTAAAATTTCAAAGTTTTTTATTGTTCATTTAATTTTTTACAATTTTATGATTTAATTATTAGCTTTTCTTTAACTCACAAACCCCTAATGCACAAATCTTTTGTAGAATGTATTGCATTTTCTTTTGTGATACAAATACATTTACTGTATGTGATACACGAGTTAGGTCAAAAGTAATCAAATAGTAGTCAGATATATGACCTAAATTGTAATCTAATGGATTATGTTACTAAATTTGTAATCTGTAACAGACTACAATTTATAATTAATCTACCCTGCACTGACTATCCACTAGCGCCTCCATTCCATCTTTTCAACCATTTATTTGTTCTCGTTTGTGTTTAGGGTGAGACGGGATCTCGCGGTTCAATGGGAATGCAAGGCCCTCCAGGACCTCAAGTATGTCATATCAATCAAGGACACTGGTTTACAAATAATCCAAAAATTTTTTTTTTTTTTTTTTGGCTTCTCGTGATGTTTCTTTTTCTCTCAGGGAGAACCTGGTCCTCCAGGTGAAGCTGGCATGGAGGGAGTCCCAGGGCCAAAGGTCAGTTTCCATGCTTATTGACAAATCATTTCATTAACATTGAACAAAACGCTCTTTTCTTACCTTTTTAATTCTTGTCTGATAGGGTGACAGGGGTGAAAGAGGACCAGTTGGGCCTTCTGGTATAATTGGCCTGCCTGTAAGTTTCGTGATTAATATTTTCCTTATTTTTCTATAATCAGGGTTCCCGGGGTCATTGAAAACCTGGAAATATTTTTGAAGGATTTGTTCAAATAAACGCTAACACTTTACTTGAGGCCTTTATATATATAATGCATCAGAAAAGTATAAATAATATACATTTGTAAATGTAATGCATTATTTTCATAAATGATCATAGCACTCGATTAAATGTGAATCAATTTACATCCTTTTTGGTATTCTCTAGCCATTAAAATAAAAAAAGAATTATCTATAATTTATATCAATAGAAATTATAGACTCTTCATTTATTTGTAAGTGGGCGAACTTACAAAATCAGCATGGGATCAAACTTCTTTTTTGAGTCTATAAAATGATCTTAATTCTATAATCAAAAGCAATAATAGTGATTGTTTTATTTTATTTATATACATATATATATATATATATATATATATATTTTTTTTTTTTTTTTTTTTTTTTTTTTTTTTGGTCATATTCACTTGTCTTGTGTGTTTTACCTGCAGGGAAGTAAGGGAGAGAGGGGGCCAATGGGCATCCCAGGTGGTCAGGGTTTAACTGGAACTAAGGGTGACAAGGTTTGTGACCATATGATGAACACAATAATTAGTAAATGAACTGAGGTTATTTCAACTGGTACATTGATAAGGTCTGACCACATGGGGGCAATCTTCACTCATGATTTGACTTTTCTAGTAGAGGACATCTATGCTCTTAGATAATTCATGTCCATGTTTCCAAATAATACTCCTCAATTCAATATGAAATAACCTCTTATAGACACTTTAATGTCTGTTGTCCTTTAATCTACAATATCCTTGCCGTTTAATACATTGAATGATGGCGGTAAAAGCCAGTTGATTTAGTGTGCTCGGAGAGTTTACGGTAAAATAAGATATTACCAACAATAAATTGGTATCCATTAGAGCTGACACTGAGAGATATCTGATGTACAATCGCATCTACTTACAGGGATTTCAAGGCAAAGTGGGATCAAAAGGAGACGTTGTGAGTACACCCTCAGATAAATACATACACATATTTATGGAGTGAAATAGAAACCATACATCACAGTCCAAATCACAAAAGATAACAACTTAAGGTGACATTGATGGATCTCACCTGCTTCTTTCACAGGGTAATCCTGGTGTAGAGGGATTGGCTGGGGAGAAAGGAGAGAAGGTAAATAAGTCTTGTAGCCTGATGCATTTATTTAATAGATTGGTTCCAGAAGACTCCTGTTCATCTTAAAATTGCGTTTCTCCATTTAACAGGGACAATCTGGGGAGCCTGGCCCTAAGGGACAGGTAAGGACAGCGTGAAGAACACCGATAATGCAAAATGAAATGCGTAATTTAGTTAGATTCAGCTTTATTTCTTTGTTTTACAATAGGGCAGGACATGACAAACTATCTTGAAGGTGAATTTTGTCAGTTCTTTGTTTTGAAATACGTCATGCCGCCCTAGTTTTGTGAGCACTTTTACACAAGTCATTCTGACGTGTGTACTTTTGGCCCAAGCCGCCCAGACAATGGCGTGAGTTAGGGGCGGGACTACTCTTTTGTCCTATAAATGGAAGGAGGTATATCAGACATGTTTATGGCAGTGTTGTTATTAACTAACCAAAACTAAAATGATGGAGAAAAAAAGTAATTTACATAAATCTGAAATAAAATAAACATTAATATTAAATAGAAAGCTTCAACTTAAAAAATAAAACTAATTAAATTAGAAATGTTGAAAAAGTTTAAAAAAAAGCAAATTTTAAATATTAATCAATATTATAGTAGTATATAAATAATAATTAACATGTTTTATGGGACATGTTCAGGAAACCTGTTTGGAAATAATCGTTTTGCTCAGACCTATATTATTATTATGATTCTTTTGCCCAAAACTACCAGACTAATAATGTTAAATTGGCAGACTGTAAAGCATGAAATAAATAAATATAAATTATTTTTATTATCTGTTTTGTAATTTACATTTACTTCGGACTTTATTAAGTTTTGCCAAATTAACTTATTCTTGATTTATATATTTTATAATCTGCCGATTTTCCACCAAAAAAAAAAGGCAAGTACCACATGAAAATGTTAAAATTATTTTTCCTTTCTTATTTTGTACCACTAGTGGTTCAGAAATGAAACACTTCACCTTTAAGATAATGTTTTTTTTTTGTTTTTTTTAACTTAAGCATTATTTTTGTACACTCAATAGTGAACCTCCTAGTTTCTTTATTTTCTCAATGACTGCCTCCTCTATCAACAGCAAGGTGTGACTGGTGATCCAGGGTACAACGGCCCAACCGGAGATCCCGGGAAGCCAGGAGACCAGGGTCCCGCAGGCTTACCTGGTCCACGTGGCCTGTCTGGAGAAAGAGGAGTTCCAGGGATGCCAGGAATACAAGGAACAGCTGTGAGTTTTTCAACAAAACCTCAAGAACAATTTCCATCACAGCTTTCCCAACCTATATTAACCAACAAACAATTCTGTTTACCAGAGAGCATTTATGCCTCAAATCTACTCAACTAAAGTACAAGTATGAGAATAAAGTAAAGTAAATAAAGTATTGAGTATAAAGAGCTGTGGTCACTATTTACTTTCATAATATGGAAAAGAGCAGCTTGGACATTTTTCTCAATATCTCCTTTTGTGTTCCACAAAGTCAAACAGGTTTGACATAAGGATAAAGGATGACAAAATGTTCATTTTGGGGTGTGCTATCTTTTTTTTATGACTTTGCTTTTCAGGGTCGTGATGCTACGGATCAACACATTATTGACGTGGTCCTGAAGATGCTTCAAGGTGAGAAACAATCATTGTTCTTTCCATGAATGGCAGCAATCCAAATTGGCTGCAATCAGTGTGTCAGAAAGAGGGCAGCTGTAATCTATTGCGCTAAATCTACAGTACTCTTCATCCTTCAGAATGTATCAATGTGCAACTCTTCCCTCCTCAGGGACAGCTTTCCTGCCAAACACTATTTATCAGTTTCTCCAAATTGACTTCCACACAGTTCTGTTTTCTCTGGGATTGTCAGGCTATGCTCTCTGGCCTTCTATTTTGCAAGAGAGAGATGACCTGAAGTTGCCCGCGATAACCCTTGTTGGCTCCCATCGTTTCACAATGTAATCCCTCAACCTTGCCATTGCAAACGTACCTCCGCTTATACAGCCACAAACTCACGTGAAGCGAGAGGAAAGATTTCTTTTTCGTTCCCCATAGGGAATCAGATTAGATGTGGAGATTTGGTCAGTGTCACACATTGAGAACTGGTACAACAGATGAACGTCCAGCTCTGGGTGGTTATCTTAACGATATTTACCCAAAGTTGCACCCGGTGAGATGTGATTGTGTGCTAAGCGAAGGGTTGACACTATTTGAGGGGATTCTTTTCAGGGTCGAGCGCCCGAGTCTCCATACAGAACACATTTTTGCATTCCACTGTGCTAGCCTATTGATTTTCAATGTAAATTTGGCTAGATGGATTTGACTGCTGCACATGAGACTGTGTTCTAAAAATGCAGTGCTCATGTTTTACCCCTTTCACTGCCATTTCATGTTTTTGCATTCCAATGATTTGCTTTTCCATTTATTTATTTTTTATTTAAATATGCATTAGATCAGGGGTTCTCAACTCTGGCCCTTGAAGGAGTAGTTCACTTTAAAAAAAAAAAAAATGCTGATAATTTACTCACCCCCATGTCATCCAAGATGTCCACATCTTTCTTTCTTCAGTTGAAGAGAAATTAAAGTTTTTGATGAAAACATTCCTGGATTTTCTCCATATAATAGAATTCAATGGGAACCAAAAGGTCCAAGTGAGAGTTTCAGTACAGCTTTAAAGGGCTTTAAACGACACCAGGATGTAATACATGACAAGGATGTAATACACTTGGGTATGACGTGTATGTAGACTGTGCGATGATGGCACATATTAAGTCTACGACGCAAGTTAGTGTAGAAAAATAAAACATCATTAGCATGCGCTAGTTGTAAACAAATAGAGCACAACAAATCACACGTCACACTGTGTTGTTTACTGTATGTATGTTGAAAAAGAGAGGAGGAAAAGGAGAATATGGATACAGTCATGGCTAGGGAAAAGAGGCTAACTTGGCATGCCAGTTTAGCAAATGCAGCTTTAGGTAAGTAGGTTTAAGTTTTAGTGCCATTTCGTTGATCAATACACCATTTCATGTTGCATGTTAATTGTTAGTCAGTAGACGACGGTCGTAGCAGCAAACACTGTGAGATGATTATGCTAATGAGTGTACCTCCACTGTACACTCAACGGCTGTTAGAATTTGCTCACTCGTTTTCCTTCACTACTTCAAGTGGACAGTATTAGTGGACTAACGTAGGGAATAGTGATTGAGGGTTGATTTCGGATTCAGCCTTTGATTAGCTGGTTCAAGTGCGTTTAATAAGCATTGGAGCCAACCCCTTCAAATCATTGGCCTTCCAGGAACTGAGTTTGACACCCCTGCCCTACATTTTTTTCTTTTTTTTTTCATCCCACTACAGTATCTCGTGTTCATAAATGCAAAAATACATGCTGCCTGAACTCATTTTACTTCTATTCTTCTGACAGAAAAGTTAGCGGCGGTAGCAGTGAGCGCGAAGAGAGCAGTACTTGGGGGAGCAGGCGTGATGGGACCTCCAGGTCCTCCAGGACCACCAGGATCTCCAGGACCCCAGGGTCCTCATGGACGGACAGGTGGCCGTGGCGTTCCTGGCATGATCGGGAGCCCAGGCCAAATAGGAAACACTGGCCTTAAAGGTTCAAAAAAACTTCTAAATGTAGATCTACCTCGATAAAATTCTGTCAGTTAACCCAATAGCTGTATATCATCCCCATGTTTCTTTTTCTTGCAGGGAAAAGGGGTGCAAAGGGAGAAAGAGGAGATCTCGGACGCCCACACGCTGGGCAACCGGGACCACCTGGTCTGCCAGGTAAGTTCAAACTACACCCACCTTTAAAGTCCCTTGAAGGTGAGTTGGTTAATTAAGTGGTCCATCCTGCTCTCTCACAGGTCCTCCAGGTCTTGACGGTGTGGCACGCGATGGTAGGCCAGGTGAGCGAGGACCACAGGGTGCAGCGGGTGAGGCGGGCCGCCCTGGAAAAGCTGGTCCTGCTGGTCTTCCTGGATTTTGTGAAGCAGCTGCATGTTTGGCAGCATCAGCCTACACTTCTCCCAGACTACAAGAGGCAGGAACAGTGAAGGGCCCATCCACTTAATTTAAGCCCTCTACTGGGGCATAAGAACATCTGGGAGAGAGAAAGAAAGGGGAGATAAGCATGGAAAGAGAGGCACACAGGCCTTCTCTTCATTGGACACATGGTGAGGGGGAGGGAACAGCCGTTGCCTGACATTGTGAATTATTTTTGTGTGTTAGGATATGGGATATTTTAGTGTGCATATGTATGAGTCGACATCTATGGAAATGAAGTTTTAAGGTGGCAATGTTAGCCAAAGCTGCTCTGTCCCACCTCACAATACAGAGAGAGGTGAGAACATTGCCAGTGACATCACCGATGACATCATCATCATCATGCACCATGGACTAGAAGAGCTGTGAGAATGACATTCAAACAAAGGTGCTGTTTTTGTTACTAATATTTTTGTTTTATGATTTTCAAGCCAGGAAACTCCCCTTTAATTGAACCAATAAAAGAGTATTAAAAGCTACTTTATTAATAGATTCATTTACCTTATGCTTCATTAAACCGCTTCCCCTGCTTGAGTTGATACACCGTGATTGAATCCGAAATCGCCCCCATACCCTCAGATAGTGTCCAAAATGTAGTGGATGTTATTGAGTGTTCTCATTCAATCCCAAAATGCAGCGACATAACGAGTGTACAGCCGATGTTCGTTCAACAGCTGTCCGAATTCGCTCAAATGAACCGCAGTGAATTAACATAGGGAATAGTGAATGAGGGTTTAGGGGGCGATTTCGGATTCAGCCCATGTGTACTTTATGTCCCCGTTTGAGCCATGAAGCAACCCCTTTGATCTGTTCTTCTACGTGAGATGGTGACGTGCTCCCATTAACTTTGTCCTTGATTCCATGCTGTAAATCTTTGTAAATGTGTTTTAATTTTGTATGGAAAGGGTGGGATTGGAATAACCGATCCAAAGTTAATGGCTTTAATCAGCATTCAGGATCAAACTCCAAACATTGCTCAAACTGAATTGCAAACCTGTATGCCACTTCCAAGTTACTGTGTTATGTAATTAGAGAAGAACTGATTATCTTCATTAACAACTATTTATTGTTCTTTTTTTTGGTTTGTCTGTAAACACAAGTTTTTTTGTTTTTGTTTTTTCTCTGTCTGGTTGTTCAGATTTACCCCCAATCAATAAAGAAGAACTTTTTGTAAAACTCAATGTTCTTCTGTATCTTGAACATCTGAGAGGAACAATGATTTTAACTTTCTTTAAACAATTTAAACTTTCTTTCTTCTGGATCTGACATCTTTTTTGCTGTAATAAAAGATATTCATTTTGATATCTAGCCTTGTTCATGATGAAACGCGGCATGCATTAAATTCACATGAGTGCTATGGTATCTATTAATCCAAAACGCTTGATCGTTGTTAGTTTAAGCAAAGGAAATGAATTGATGTCATTTTTGAAAAAAAAAAAAAAAAAAAAAAAAAAAAAAAAACAAACATGGTCAGCACCAATACTTAGGTAGACTGCTGTGGTGTTTAAACAATGCTTAATTGGTACTAAAGAGCCCAAAGTGTGCCACGAAAATATGTGCTATACCATTACACCATCAGCCTGGACCGTTGGATGTGGATTATGCCTAATTCTGATCCTACCACCTGTTTGTTGCAGAAGAGATCAAGACTCTTGAAAACAGGCAACATTTTCCAATCTTCTATTGTCTAATTTGTATGAGCCCGTATGAACTATAGCCTCAGTTTGCTGTTCTCAGCTGACAGCAGTGACACCGGTGTGATCATCTTCTGCTGTTGCCCATATGCTTTAAGGTTGGACGTATGTTCCACGGCCTGGAGGAAAACCGGACTAATCCTCCTGAATCCGAGTTTCGTATTTGTATCATATTCTCCTCTCCAGTACCCTGGCATATACTTTTCCAAGGAGGCTGAGAAGTGTGATCCCCCTGTAGTTGGAACACACCCTCCAGTCCCCTTTCTTAAAAAGTGTGACCACCACCACAGTCAGCCATCCCAGAGACACTGTCCCCAACCGCCAGGCGATTTTGCAGAGGAGTGTCAGCCAAGACAGCCCCACAACATCCAAAGACTTGAGGTACTCAGGACGGATCTCATCCACCCCTGGTGTCTTGCTACCAAGGAGTTTCTTGACTCTCTCAGTGACTTCAGATAGGGTGATGGACAATTCCACCTCTGAGCCCTCAGCCTCTGCTTCCTCAATGGAAGACGTGACGACGGAATTGAGGATATTCTCAAAGTATTCTTTCCACCGTCTGACGACATCCCCAGTTGAGGTCAACAGCTGCCCACCTCCACTGTAAACAGCATTGGTAGGGACCTGCTTCCCTCTCCTGAGGCGCCGGACAGTTTGCCAGAATCTCTTTGAGGCCAGCCGATAGTCCTTCTCCATGGCCTCACCAAACTCTTCCCAGGCCCGAGTTTTCTCCACAACCACCCGGGCTGCAGTCCGCTTGGCCTGCCGGAACCCGTCAGCTGCTTCAGGAGTCCCACAAGCCAACCAGGCCCCATAGGACTCCTCCTTCAGCTCGACGGCATCTTTTACTTCCGATTTCCACCACTGGGTTCGGGGATTGCCCCCTTGACAGGCACCGGAGACTTATGGCCATAGCTGTAAGCGGCCGCAAGCGGGAGTTGAAGATCTCTCTGACAGGAGACTCCGCCAAATGTTCCCAGCAGACCCTTACAATACGCTTGGCTCTGTCCAGCTACCTTCCCCGCCATCGGATCCAACTGACCACCAGGTGGTGATCAGTTGACAGCTCCACCCCTCTCTTCACCCGAGTGTCCAAGACATACGGCCGAAGGTCAGATGAAACAACCACAAAGTCGATCATCAACCTATGGCCTATGGTGTCCTGGTGCCACGAGCACTGATGGACACCCTCATGCTTCAACATGATGTCCGTTATGGACAAACTGTAACTAGCACAGAAGTCCAATAACAGAACATTGCTCGGGTTCAGGTTAGGGCTTAGGTCGTTGCCCACATGGGCGTTGAAGTCCCCCAGTAGAACGATGGCCCATAAGCACACATGACAGTGAGAGACCTATCCTCAACCTGTAGGTGCTGGGAAATGACCCTTTTGTTCACGGGGGAAACTCTAATGGCGGCTGATCTGGGGGCCTATAAGCAAACCCACACCAGCCTGCTGCCTCACACCATGGGCAACTCCAGAGTGGTGAAGAGTCCATCCTCTCTCAAGAAGTATGGTTTCCAGAGCCAACCTCACGCACAATCTCAGGCTCCTTCCCCGCCAGCAAGGTGACGTTACACGGCCCTAGAGCTAGTTTCCGTGTTCAGGGATCGGGTTGTCGAGGCCCTTGCCTTCGACTGCCGTCTGATCCTCTCAGCATCGCCCCCCTTACGGTTCCTCCTGTAGGTGGTGAGCCCACGGAAAGGCAGCCCAACATTGCTCTTTCGGACTAAGCCGGCCTCGCGTATGACCCCCAACCCCAGACCTGGCTCCAGGGTGGGACCCCGGCTGCGCCATACCAGGTGACGTCACGGTCCTCGATTTAATTTTACTCAGATGGATTTTTTGAACCACTCTTAATTCGACCCATCGCCAAGGACCTGTTTGCCTTGGGAGACCCTACCAGGGGCATATAGCCTCGGACAACATAGCTCCTAGGGTCGTTCGGGTACTCAAACCCCTCCACGACGTTTAGGTGGCAGTTCAAAGATAATAACCATGTCATGTCTAAAGTCACTCAAATCATCAGATGCTCAGTTTGAATTACAGTAGGTTGTCTTTACCATATCTACATAGCGTAATTTGGGACACACCTTGTGAAATCTTGAAAATTATTGAAATCCTTGTCTCCATGTCATTCATCCTTTGTGAATACAAAACTGTTGCCATAGCTACAAACTGAAGATACATTAATAAATAAGTTGTTTTGGGATTGACTAACCTGTGAATAAACAAGTTCATAGACTGTAACTGCTTTCAAAACATTTATTGCTTCTCTTAAGTTTCTTTAAAAAAATTGCACACAAATAACTTTACTTACAGCACTATGATGAGTTGCATGATGAAGGGGGAGAATTTTTTTTAAAGCTTGGGATAAATAAGTGGTTGAAAGGCTGAATGCTCATAACATTCACTTCATGAAAACGGCGTAATTTAAAAATTGTCAATGGCTCTGCTAAAACCTTTTCAGCTACCCTCTCAATACAGAATCTTTCTCGCTATCTTCACACACACTCACACACGCATACAGTCTGAGGGAGTGATAAAGTGCAGAGTGTAAAAGCATCAGACTAGCTGACACAGCAGAGAATCAGAGATGCCGTTTGCTTTCAAAATAACTGAACTGTGAAGGTTGGGGATCTGGCGTGGTTTTAGGAGGACTAGCAAAGCATATTTAAGATTAGAGTGTTCTAGGAGCACATGATGGTTAAGCTGCAAGTGGTACCGTACAGTATATCTAAGTAAATTCAAGTTTAAGAGTCCAGAGTGGTGGAGGAGGAGATGTCATCACAGAGTTCATCGAGAGATAGGTGTCACTGAAATACTCTTATAAAAATAAAATCTCTTTCCGTCCGGTGAAACATCACAAAATTGCTTTTTAACCCAAAATTGCATATAAAACCTACCTTTACAAAAACGTTCATTTGTTTAGAGCTTATAAACTTATTCCAAAATATCTGCGACGACAATAAAAAGGGCTGCCATGCTGATGTCATTTTTTTTTAAGTACAAAAAGCCATTACATATAAATATGAATATGTACAACACAAGCCCTAGGGGAAGTTCATTTTGAATAATTAACAGTCAATTAGGGCAATTGCATCTATGCCTCTAGTGATAACATCAAACTATTTTATACTAAATGGCTCACACTATGGAACAAATTATTCACTGGAAACTGGATGGATATTTATGCCACATTGTCTTTGTCAAAGCAGTAAGATAATAGCAGCTGCCAAAACGCCCCCCTTACAAAAACATTGTTAAAGGAATATTCTAGATTCAACACAAGCCCTATTAAACAGCATCTCTGGCATGAAGTCGATTTCTAAAGAAAACATTTCATTGCTAATTTTGTTACAAAAAGTTGAACACTTGCCCCATAATATTCCATTTTAAGTGGAAAACTCAGTAATCAACAGCATGCCATAGATGATTTTAACTTGTATTTAATTTAGAATATTTCTTAAAGATAACCAAGGGCCTTGAAGACAGATATGAAGCGTCAAACGAAATTCTCTCACGGGGGCTAGTAAAGAAATGAAAATGTTGAATGATGAATAAATCTGGGCACCAATAATGACTTTAAACAGATGGTATGTCCAGGAAACTAAAAGTCTTCAATTTACTGTAATAATAAATCATAAAAAAACAGTTTATGATCCAAGCGTGGCATTTTGGGACAGTTGTCAGGGGTTAAGGCACTCAATCTTGGGATGTCTTCACTGGTTCAACAGCAGACAATAACTTACAAATGTCCCCCATTCGTGGTGAACCAGTGTTTTGGCATTGCATCATGTGGAAACGAAACGCACATTAATCCTTTGGTTCTCCATGGATCTTCTCAGAAGCCTGTAGGTAATTGTGAGAATGTCAATCCTGGGGTACAATCCTCCAACTTGTATTTCTCTTAAGCCCTCTTCTAGTACATGGGACCTTTTTGAGACATGGGACCCTTAGGATTGTACTCCACAGGCATACTCATACAGTCTGACGGGTGACAACGGCCATCTTTGCCCTTCTGTCCAGAGGGTCCTGGAGGTCCAGGAATTCCGGGAATGCCCTGCTGACCAGAAGAACCTGGTGGCCCCATCTTACCATAACCAGGTGGACCAGGGACACCTAAGATGTATGAAAGGAATGAGAAAGAAATTACAGTATGACAGTAGAATAAAGTTAGCAAAATGACCATTTTTGAAAACTAGAGTCAGACCTGGAGCACCCGGAGGGCCACTGTCTCCCATCTCTCCTATACCCTTATCTCCTTTCTCTCCCTTTACACCAGGGGCACCTGGGGACACACGAAAGCATCCATGTGGAAGACTGGGCAAATGGAACATTGGACCGCTGTATGAAACATTAGCACATTAGTTCATCTTACCAGGTGGACCCATGGGACCCTGCCTTCCTTCACGGCCAATCTGCCCAGAGCGACCCGGTATCCCTGGGGGCCCTTGGATGCCTGGGCTTCCATCTTTCCCCGGAGGTCCTGGTCGGCCAGGGGACGCCACCATCTCCACAGGCATTTGCATTCGTGACATGTAGTAGCCCATGCGCTCTGCAAGAACAAACAATTGTTGAAACCTAAAACACGTTCTCTGTGAAATAAACTATCTAAAGATAAAGTCCCAGTGCATTTCTCATCATCTAGATATGTCTTGTCACAAAAGTTCTCTCACCGTCAAAGATCTTTATGACCTGCTGTCTGATGAAGGATCTTATGTCATCATAGTTTACAACAGCCTGGAAAAAAATAGATACATTATGAAGTTAAAATACTCATATACTGCATATTTACTATTCTGCAAAACATGATCCATTGTTTCTTAAAGTAGATACTGTTATCTATGATACTGGAAACAGGAAACTGTTTCTGTCAGTTAATAAACTCTTCCACCCAAGTTTTTTTTTATTTCTTTTGTTGTGTACTAGGGCTGCACAATTTAAAGGGAAAAACACTGTGATGTGTGAAAAAAAAAAAACACAATGAGTTTCCCTTGTGTTTGTTTGTAGGGCTGCACAATTGTTCCAAAATTGTGTGATTATACATCAATGTGTATATAACATAATAATTACTATTATTACTACTAATTCAAAATATTGAATAATAATAATAATTGTATTTTACATTACAAGTGTAAAATGACAAAACTAATATTTATGGCTTAATTCACTTGATGGGAACATAGTTTCTGATTAAGCCTCACATCATTCCCTGGGATTCCTGGTGGTCCGGGGCTACCAGCTTGTCCAGGTGAACCAGGGCTTCCCCTTTCACCACGGGGTCCGGAAGGTCCTATGATCCCTTCTGGTCCTTTGGAGCCAAAACCAAAGCCTCCACCTGGTGGGCCAGGACGTCCACGCTCTCCCGGGGCTCCCCTTTGCCCTGCAGTCCCTGCTTCACCCTGGAGAGGGTAAAAGGAGCAGCTGTGATTTACCACACAGGAGACTCTAGGACAATGTTCACAGGCTACTCAATGATCCTTGTAATAGCACCGCATAATGGCCTTTATATAGAAACTCAGCACTATACAGTCCACAAATTGAAATGTTCAAGATCCATCCCATCTAGTAATTTCATGAAAAGGGTGGCAAGTGTGAATACAGTGAACACTATAACACTATAACACTATAAGTGAACACGTGGCCTACCGTAAAAGGTACCGTAAAAAAGGCATTGATTTTCCCAAATCGTCGGACAGCACCGGCTTGTATTTGAGACAGGCATCTATATGAGACAGGCCTTTATAATTTTGTGTTCATTGAGGGTTAAATACTTTTTTAATAACTATTTTTGTACATTATCTATTGATTAATCAATGTACATGGCTTTAATGGCTTGTATTTTAGTGTGCCTTTGCTTTGAAAATATATATATAAAAAAGATGTCTACATTTTTTTTAAAGCGGACAAAAAAAACAAAAAAAACAACAACAACAATTTAAGGTATTGTATGTGCTGTACTCTACTGTACTTCTATCCCTTACAGTTAGTTAACAATTTACTGTTGTTATCACCAATTTAAAGGAAATTGCACCTGGATCTCTGGAGTGGATTGTGAAGAATGCTGGAGAAACATTTTCTGAAAATCAGTTTAATGGACTTTTTTTTAAAATTCTCACTCTGCATTCCATGTCTTATGTTTTTAACTTGGTTATGTTAATTCTTATCTTGTCTAATGTCTGGTCTTGACTAATTTTACAGACTATATTTAAATATATATTAATACAAATAGTTACACTTAAAAGAGATTAATTTGCACCTTAATAGCTTCAATGTAGCTACTTTTAGCTAACGGCTTGTAGTGTAGCTTAATATATTAATTTACAAGTAGCTTGTGAAGCTACAGTTTCAAGTAACATTCCCAACTCTGATGTTGTGCATATATCAGTCTATATAAAGCGAGTCCCTTGTTTACACATTTAAGGGCTTCTTCTAATGGGTTGAGGGAAAAGCACTGCTCTCATCTCATTCAAGCCTAAACTTCAAAAACCTGACAATGCTGCCCTGTCACAGTGACATATGCTCCTCTATGGCTTTATTACGGAGTATAATGGTGTCACTATGTAAGCTGAGAGTGGTGAGTTCAAACAGGCTACTGAGGCAGATGAGGTAAAAAAAATAAAATAAAAATAAAGAGTAATGGCAAAGTGAGGTTAGATAACAGGCTCTTGAGATTGCAGATGGAGCCACCTGACAACTTCCTTGAACAAATGTAAGCACATAAACTAACTAGATGTGTTGAGCATCGATGGGAGGAGAAACACTCTTATGCCTTATGCCTGAATAAGATGTATCCAAATACATGTGAAAAGATGACAGTGTTCAATGGCGCAAAGACACTATAACAGAGACGTGAAAGCAATGCATCTTACCTTCAGTCCCTGTGGACCCGGTTCTCCTGGCAGGCCTGGGGCTCCCTGCGGTTACAGATAATTAGAGTGAAACAAACTAGGACATGTAGAACAGGCTTTTGCAGTAATAACCATTGTGTCTATGTGCACAAGAACAATCCTAAATCAATCAGAATTTGCCCATATTTTGATTATGAATGTGTAATGGTAATTATTAACCTGATTTTAATAATCCAATTAAGTAAGTTTAGATTTCTAAATAAGACTGCTGGAATTTGTAATAATAATAATAATCCAATTAAGCTTCTAGAAAGTTCCTACAATTCAGAATAAGGGGACGTTTTCATTAAAAACTTGTATGCATTTTCTATTTGCATACACGACAACGGCACTTTGAGGGCCTGAAAACGCAAACCTTTAAAAAAACGGTTTCATAGATACCGTTATCGTCTCCGTGTAAACTACAAAAAAGTTAATTTGGGAAAACGGTGACATCATGTGCATGCGTATTACGTGTTCAGTCTATAGGTGCATAGTTTTTCTTTACAAAGTGACATCGCCAACTACTGGCCTGGCATGAATAATACAGCGTTTTTAATCGTTTTCGTGTAACCGTACCAAGACAGCTGGCATTTACCTGCGTTAAATGAAAGTAATAATTACCCAATAAGCTTCTAGAAAATTTCTAGAATTCTATACAAGATAGCTGGCCATTACCTGTGCTAATTGGAAGTAATAATAATCCAATTCTATTCCAATAAGTTAGACAGCTGGCATTTTGTCTGTTCCATGTAAACACAATTACAAATTAAAAAAAGGCTATACATTTAGAGCTCTGCAAGTCCAAATAAAAGTAATGGGCTCTATGCACGAGTTATTTCCGGTGAAGGATTAAGGATGCTCGATAACTTCCGCCGATCATAGAGTCCAATGCAATACCGAGAATTTTTATTGAATTTTATACTCCATGGTTATACTAATGAAACGTTAGTCACAAAAACAGATAAAACAGACACCCCTCGTTGTGTTTATGCTTCTTTTTAAAATTATATTAAATAAACATAACTATATATAAAATTACATCTAAACGTATGTACGTTTCGTTTCAAAGACGGGAGGACAGTAAATATTGAAGACTTTGCCATAATCCCGTTTTCTCCGGTTTTCCTCCGCTTTAATCTACACAACCGGAAATGGACGAGCATCCTTACGTCAAATGCGGAACTTATGCGTGCATATAGCCCATTCTGGTTTCTATGAGGCAGAGGCAGTGGTCAAAAAAATCCAACAGTCAAAGAAACGTATTTTTGTACCAACTTGGGGGACGGAATCTTTGGAATGATGGCTTTACAATTATGAACAGTTGGGTAAATTATGTTTACAAAGTTGTATATTGTCTTTAAAAGACAGATTTTATACTAATCAAAGGAGATACTTACGTCTTTACCTGCCGCTCCATCACTTCCTGGTTCACCCTATAGAAAAAAAAAGGTTTGAAAGAATAATTTAATTAGAGTCTATAAAAACTCACTAAGTTACTTTCTAATAAACTAAGTTTAGGTACTGACCATCAGTCCTGGGTGACCTGGGATCCCTGGTGGGCCAGGCAATCCACCCTGTCCTCTCTCTCCCGCCTCACCTTTGTCTCCCTTAATGCCCTGGTTAAGAACAAAAAGACACAGTAAAGAATTCCACTCCTAAAAAAAACATCACCAACATATAATCTCTTTTGGAAGACAATTTTGCTCACCAGTCCAGGTGGCCCAACTGGTCCCGGTGGCCCTGAAGTTCCAGCAGGACCCTAGAAGTTTCCAATTGCAAGCATTATGTCATTACATTCTCAAGTTTTTTTGTTTTTTTTCCTTCTGCACACTACCATTCAAAAGTTTGACGTCGGTAAGATTAATTTTTTAATACTTTCATATCTTGGTTTCCACAAAAATATTAAAAACTGTTTTTAACATTGATGAAATTGGCATGTTATCATTATTTCAGAAGAATCATGTGACACTGAAGACTGGAGTAATGATATTTTGCCATCACAGGAATAAATTACATTTAAAAAAATATATATATTAAAATAGAAAACAGAAAAAAAAAATATTGTTATGCTGTTTTACTGTATTAAATAAATACTGCCTTGGTGAGTCTTTTCAAAAATATTTCTATCAAAAAATTTAAAAATATATACATGTAACAGTTTTTGAACAGTAGTGCATATGTCCAAACTAAAGAAAATGGGTTATAAAACATTTTAAATACTTACCACATGTCCTGGAGCTCCAGGTGGTCCTTGAGGTCCAGGAGAACCAGGATCACCCTGAAATGCAAGTAAAAACATTTTGAATTATCCGGAGCTGTCAGATCGGAATTAGCACAATGCAAGTAAGCGTTGCGCTCTCAGGATTGTCTCCACAACCATATGCCCCCAGCCCCCAACCCCCCAGCAATAAAATACTATATACCTGGGTATTTAGAAAACCCTATGTACGACCCTGATATGCAAAATTACTAGTGATTCTATGTATATGTTCTATTGTATTCATTAAATTTTATATTCTAAATTCTTGCATTTTTAATACTAATGCAAGACTAGTAGTCTTGTATGTCACTGTTTATAACACAGAGTGTTCATCCTTTGCCTGGACGCTTACAAAAAAATATTGGGGACATAAATTAAGAGTATACCCACTTCTCCAGTCACCACTACATCACTGCATATAATATAACTTCATTATGGACATTCGATAAAACAAACATTTAAAGAGAATACTCCTGAAAAAAATCAGTTATTATAAACATAAGTATAACTCAGTCGCTCACTTGAGTACTGAGGTTTGTTATTTTCACAGTTACATGACAACACACATTAGGAATGCACAATGGGATCACACGCTTGCAATACATTGGCCAAGCATTTGTATTTATGTTTGCTTGCTTACACACAGTATGTTTCTGGTTTAAGGGTACAGAAACCTATTTTCAGAGCATTCTTTCGTTATCTGAATCTATAGAGCGTTTGTAGAGAAATAAATAGCATATTTAAAGGTACAGTGGCAAAAATCTCTAATAGAAAACAGCTTACCTCTAGACCAGCCCTTCCCGTAGCTCCAGCTGGTCCCTGAGGTCCTCTATCTCCCTACAGATAACAATGAAGAAAAGAGAGCAGTGATGCAGCATAAAAGACACATGTATATTATACAGAATAATATACAGAAATAAAAGCAGATATTTGTGCAATTAGAAGTGGCAAAATTGATTTGCAAAAATAATGATAGCTTCCAAGCAGTTTCCTTAAAGTCCCACCCCAAACTTAAACCATAGGCTGAGCTCGAAGTTGACATGTTGGGCGATTTAAACAAACAGAACAACATAAAAACTGGAATAATAACAATTGTCAGCTCATATATGGCTTACTTGTGGTTGTCTCTGTGTTATAACATCAAAACCATTACACACATCAGCTTTAAAGACCAATGGATCTATTGAAACTTTCATCTTTTATTCATTTATGCGCTAAACATTTCAGAAATAAAGACAAGGCTATGAAACTCAAGAAAAGGCTCGTACTTTCATTCCTGGGAGACCTGTGTGCCCTTTGATGCCCTTGAAACCCTGGAATGAGAAAAAAAGTTACAAAGTGAGCCTCTTCCAATCAGAGAAAAGTCAAAACTAAAGCAAGTCAAGCTCCTCCTCGGAGACACTTAATTACAGTTGACTTTGTTCTTTGTTTCAGGCTTTCTTCCAACTGTTGATTTTTGTATTCATGTGTCACTGCTTAAATCTATAAAGAACTTGGAAATGAAACCGAAGAAAGAAAATATGGCACGGTTAATACCGGTATTCCCCTGGGTCCAGCGGGGCCAGCCGGTCCTGGTTCACCCTGTGTGATTGTAAGAATAAAACAAAGATGAAACAACTGTTACAAAAACAACATACACACAAACAAATACAAGACATATGGTTATATATGTATATGTTTTTTTTCTGACCCTTGAACCTGGTTTTCCATCTTTGCCATCAAGCCCTTCCATTCCAGGTGGCCCCTTTAAACAAACACAAAATTCAAAGCAAAATCCTCATATAATCAAAGTTTTAATGATTACAAAGACATGATAGGAGACTGTCCAGAGGATTCTGACACTCACAGGCATGCCTGGTCCCCCAGGTGATCCTGGCGGACCTGTGGGTCCCTGTGAGCCCTGAAGTCCAGCACTACCCTAGTGGAGTAGATAAATGAAGGTGAGTGCTTGAAAGAGAAGCATCTACATTCCACATGCCAAGCCATTTTATATCCAAAGTGCGTATGTTAGAGTGCTTGTTGGTGAAAGTGACCGTTAAAGATAATGCAGATGAATAAAAAAAAAAAAAATGGTGAGTCATCCATCAAATGTCACTGCTCTTATAAGGATTTATTTCCAACGTGAGCGAGAAATGCATCAATGCATGTTCAGGCATTATAGAACTGTCACTTGCTTTCTCAGCCTGAGGTCCTGGAGGGCCCGAAGGACCTGCTTTTCCTGGGAAACCTGGAGGACCCTGGAGACATGAAGGCAACAGTAAGAGATCTGGGATTGTACCATTAGCAGACAAAGAGATGAGGCTTAGTTCAGAATTCAGACATCGATATGATTTCCATTTCTATTCTATATTCAAATATTGAATGAAAAAATGTTGGGCGAAACTTGACTTAATCTATCAGGAATTGTATTGGATTGTAAAAAGTGGGTGTCCCATACCAGAACGCGAATGGACTCTATACGACAGGTAAGGGAAATAGTGACTGAATCATGAATAATAATGATTAAAATCCCACCTGTTGTCCTGGGAATCCTTGGGATCCTTGGAAGCCCTGTATACAAAAGAAGTGAGAACTGTTACTGTACTGTGCGCACTGTAATTCGCAAACACAGCAACAAAATGAAGGTGATCCACCTGGGAATTTATTGAGTGGATACACAAAGTTATAAATATTTATTTTCCAAGGAAAAACAGTATATGTTTAGAACATTTCTCAGATCTTGGGCTTGTAAAATTGAAAACGCAAACAGAACAGCTTGCTCTACATATTGTATCATGAATAAATCAGGTATAACAAGAATGTGATATCAAGGGATAAGACAGATATAGAAACATATTTTAAAGAATTTTTTTTGTTGCCAATAAATACACCAGTGACATGCTTTCATACCTGATCTCCCTTTGGTCCCACGGGTCCCGGTGTTCCAGCTTCCCCTTTAGGACCCTGCCAGTCAAGGAAACATATGTTGTTCAACACTACAAATTGTCACAGGTTTTGAGAACAATGTTGAATCTTTGTGAAAAGGAAAGTACAAAAATCAATGTTCTCCTAACAGTTTTTCAAGTTGAAGCTTGTTTATTTGATCTGGGAGTTATTACTCACAAAGAGAATACAAAAGAGAATCTGGCTTCTAATATATATTGTGTATGATTATCAGCCATCCAAGATAGACGTAAAGGATTGTTTTAAAAAAAGCCAGAGAAAAAGACAAACGAGGGTCAGAGTATATGAGAAGCAGAAATAATAACAGCATTAAAACTGGATGTTTACTCACTGCTGGGCCAACCGGTCCTTGATAACCTGGAGATCCCGGTGGGCCCTAATACAAGTGAAAAGTTTCAAACACTGTTTACCAAGCCATTAAAAGATTTCCTCAATGTATGTTCCTGTGTGGATTGAACCCCCCAACGGAGAGTCAGAATAAAAAGAGTTGAGGCGTTCTGAAAATTAGCCATTTTTTTGTGCACATCATATGCGTTGAAAAGTTTAGAGTCAGTAAGATTTTGTAATTTTTTTTTTTAAGAAAGTAACAAATTCCGATTAAAATGAAATGAAATACTTTCACATTGTTACACAAGATTTCTATTTTAAATAAACGCTGCTATTTTAAACTTTCTATTCATCAAAGAATCCTGAATAAAATCATCACGGTGTCATGGTTTTCCAACTGTTTTTGTTTCAGCATTGATAAGAATAAGAAATGTTTCTCGAGCATCAAATCCAGAATCGGTCTGTCTTCGCTGGCCAAGGGTGGTCAGCGCAGACTACAACGATCTGCCCAGGTCTGTCGGTCCAGGGCGAGACCAATCAAATTATGTCCCAGATATTGTCGTAGCGAGTCACATCGTGTTGCAGGGCGCCCATGTGGCCACTTGATGTCGATTGGCGACTAGACGGTGACTTCGCACGTCCATCTTTCGTCCGTCCGCCGCATCAGGTGCCTGGCCTTGTTGGCCAGGTCCACCGTGTCGGCCACCCTGGTCATGGTCCGCAGCTCTTCGTTTGCGGACGTGGCCAATCCGTTTAACCCCGATCAGGCGGCGCTCGATTGCGTGTTCAGTCACGGCTAGCTTTGGCCGGCTTTTTCGCCGTCGTTGCCCGGCAAGGCCGGCAGGACGGTACTGTTGAATAGGGCGGTCCTGATGTCCGGGTCCGGGACGATGGCTCTGTTGGTGGCTGTCTTGGCAATTGAGCTAAAGCTGACCCAGGCGGCTCGGCGTCATCGTGCCAGTTCTCGACCAATCTTGTGGTCGGTGGTCAGCTCCTGGCCCAAGTAGATGTTGCTATCGACTTGCTGAAGCTCGTTCTGGCCGACATGAAGAGTAGTGTCGGCCACCTGGTCGTGGCGCATCCACTTGGTTTTGGCCAGATTGATTGAGACCGAACCAAGTGACAATGTACATCAACTGCCGAGCAGCCTATCAGCACGATGTCATCGACAAAGCGCAGGTGATTGAGCCAGTGGCCGTTGATCTTGATGCCGACCTCCTCCCAGTTGAGCTGCCGGAAAATTTGTTAAGCGGCCGGTCGAACAGGGTGCTGGTAGTGGCGCAGTGGCTGTTCAGCTCCTGCAGCAGGGCCACATGCTCGTCCCCGATGCCTTGTTGTTGGAGGGCGAGCAGCACGGCGTTGATCTCGACCGAGTCGAAGGCCTTCGAGTAGGCGACGAAGGCCATGACCAGCGGCATCTTATACTCCCTGGCCTGCTCGAGCAGCTGGTTCAGTACCTGCACATGGTCCATGGTGCTAAAGCCAGATCTAAAATGATTTCTGATGAATCATGTGACACCGAAGATTGGTGTATTGATTCTAAAAATGGAGCTATGCAAACACGATTAAATAAAGTCCCCCTGTGGTGAAAATAAATGTTGTGTAAATGTGTAAATTGCTGATTATTTCCTCCTTAAAACTGCAGTGAACCAATGACAGTCTCAGGTTTGAAATCGCTGGTGTTTCTGACATCACAAACTGCCTTGTGTGATGGTCAACGAGTGAATCTCTGAGTTGGTGTGAGTGAGTGGAGGTGCGGCTAATTTGCATATTCATAGAACCATGTATATTAAATGAGGCAAGGGAGTTACAATCAAGCTATTTTTAGGCATGAAAAATAAATCAAGGAAAAAAAAAACTTTTAAATACTGTATGTAATTTTGGTGATCAAAAATGAATTTAAGGGATGTAATTATTGACAGCAGGGGGACTTTAAATATAAAACAGTTTTTTTTTTAATTGAAATAATATTTTAAAATATTATGTATTTCATTTTTTTTGTAGTTTTGATTAAATAATTGCATCCTTGGTGAGGATAAAAAACATAATAAATCTTACCGCCCGAAATCTTTTGAAATATAGATGTATTTATACACAATTAGACAGGAGTTTTAAACATTTCATGACATTTGTGTTGTGTGAAACTCTGATTCTTTTCCAGAGTCAAACTGCTGAACAGATCCCATTGAAAGTCACTGAATAATCTGGACACTATAAGTTTAACATTATTCAAACAGATCATTCTTACTGATTCTCCTTTATGCCCTGCAGTGCCTGGATTGCCACGCTCTCCTTTAAGTCCCTGAAAAAAAAAAAAAACGGGATAACAATTTCAAACCACCAATAAAACATTTAACAGTTATATCATCTGTCACAAAACATTATGATGCCTCTGCAACTGGTCCATTGCATAAAATGTCTGATCCACTCACAGGGAGTCCAGGTGTTCCCATATTTCCAGGATAGCCAGGATTTCCCGGTGGACCCTTGATAAAACAACAAAACCACTCAATAAAACGGCAAACTTTAAAAGGGTGCTTTTCTAGTCAATATACCTGAATTACTTAAGACATATACTTTAAGCTTACTCACCTGTTCACCTTTCTGTCCTGGAAGCCCATCTGTCCCTCTCTGACCTTGTTGACCCTATGATTGTATTTATTTTTTTTTAAAGCAAAGAGGATTAGAGAAAGAGCTTATTATAATATTATAAAATCACACAATAATCAAGCTCCTTTTTGGTCTTGTTGGAGAATACTTATGGTTTCTCATCGCCTTGCAGTTCAGATCATTTTGATTTTTATCACAATACAAAAAAGGTGTATACATCTGCCACCACCAGATTGGCATTTATTTCGTAAACAAGTGTTGAAAGTAAGGGGAATGAATTAATGTATTCTGGAAACACAGCCAATTTTTATTGTTATTAGCTTTATAGTCACGGGACAAAACATTCCTCTCAGCTATATATTGCAAGCATAATGTATATGCTGTAGACCTGAGCTGAATATCATATTGGATAATCAATTAGTGAATGCTTCCTGCATAAAGATATAACACTTAGAGAATGTTTTTGTTTTTCTTAAGCGATTTGACTAATTTTCCTAAACAAAGGTCAGTGCTCCTTCTAAACAATTAACAATATTTCTAGACAGATTGTTCTTATTTATTGATTTACTTTTTCTCAACGCATTGACCTTAGTTAGAGGAGGTCTTTATCTTAGTATTGTACATTTTTTTTGCTGCATTTTGTCTATATTGTTACTACATTATATGTATATATGTAGTACGTTAATTCATTGAATATAAACTTTTCTTCTAAAATGAATCCTTTTTTTATTGCGTGTGTGTGTGTGAAGGGGTGGTAATCACACATTACAATGATGCACTTGTCGGGTTTTACTATTACCTCTAAAGGCCAGTATTCCTATTTCTATGTGAAGTCTCTGGGTCAGATTTCCTGTGAAATCCATAGGATTACACATTCAAGAGAAATATGAGATGGGACTGTTTGACTTCATCTTCAAATACAAGAGGAAATAATGCCCCTCCATAGGCTGTGTCTGTTAGCAATGCATTTCTGTTATTCTCCTTCATCTTGCTGGCTGCACAGTCGCCTCAGCGTTTCAGTTATATATCATTCTATTAGTGGATCAATTCCACAGAAAATTCAATTTGGAAAACATCAGCCTACTGTAAATCTTTATTTTACATTTTTGTTGTGCTAATGGGAAAATAAAAGAAAAACCCATGCAAAAAATCTACACCACTGAGGTTGTTGTTTCAGTTTCAAAGCACATTACAGAAAGTCAAATAATGCTCACAAAGCATAAAGCTGGTCGACATTAAAAAAAAAAAAAAATCCATTCTGACTCAGACTCAATTCATCAGGTGTGCCCAAATTTCTGCTAAAGCATGCTGTTTACGATGTTGCAAAATAACCTGTTAGCACCACATGCACAATGGCAATGGAGAGATAATTTAACAAGCACCACAATAGTGGAGTTTTATTTCTATATCATGGAATTTATTAAAGGAGAAGTTCACTTTATAAAAAAAAAAAAAAAAAAAAAATAAACTTTTGCGGATAATTTACTCACCCCCTTGTCATCCAAGATATGTCATTCTTTCTTCAGTCGAAAAGAAATTAAGGTTTTTGCTGAAAACATTCCACGATTTTTCTCCATATAATGGACTTCACTGGGAACCAAACGGTTCAAGGTCCAAAAGACAGTTTCAGTGCAAACTGCAAATTGTTCAAAGGCCTTTAAACGATTCCAGACGATGAATGAAGGTCTTATCAAGCGAAACGATTGCTCATTTAAAAAAAAAAAAAAAAACTAAGTTTAAGTTCTATAAGCTCAAATGGTCGCCTTGCTCTGTTCTGTGATGTGCGTTCGTGACTCTCCTATATCAAATTGAATGAATCTTTTCCAGAGTCAACTCGTTTATTTCGTTCGTTGAATGAACCAAATGACACGAAAAAAAAATTAGCTCATTTTGATAAACGAGTTCGAACAGGAGAGTGACGAACGCGCATCACAGAACAGAGCAAGGCGACCATTTGAGCTTATAAAACTTAAGCTTTGTTATTATTATTTTTTTTATGAGCGATTGTTTCGCTTGATAAGACCCTATTCATCGTCTGAAATCGTTTAAAGCCCTTTGAACAGTTGTCTTTTGGACCTTGAACCGTTTGGTTCCCATTGAAGTGCATTATATGGAGAACAATCCTGTGATGTTTTCATCAAAAACCTTAATTTCTTTTCGACTGAAGAAAGAAGGACATGGATATCTTAGATGAGATGGGGGTGAGTAAATCATCAGCAAAAGTTTTTTTTTTTTTTAAAGTGAACTACTCCTTTAAGGTGCATGAGAGAAGTTGAACTGGTAAGGTAATTAAACATCTTCTGAATGTGTTTGTTTGAGCTGATGCTTTGACTTACACTCAGGCCAGGGGGTCCTTGAGCACCAGGAAAACCAATATTCCCCTAGGAGATAATAAGAGAGCAACATTTAGAAACATCTTCCTTTATAATGGCCAAAATCAATAAACAAGCAATCCCGTTAGAAGTCCTTCGCACCCGCCTCTTCATTTCTCATTGTCATGCAGCTTGTTTCACTTCATTTTGAACTAAATGTGATGTTAGTACTAAAGTGTGATGAATCAAAAATACAGTAAAACAGTGGTATTGTGAAACAGTATTACTATGACTGTATTTTTATATATTTTAAAAATGGCATGACATTCCTGCGATGCAGGTTGTGTGCATATACATATTGCACAATGATAAAAAAGAAAAAAAAAAGAAATGCCCTTCATATCAAAAAGGGTTGCCTAAAAAGGCTGGTCTATAATAAGAATCCTCCCAAGCCATTGCACACAAGTTAAAACGGGCACAAGCTAAGTCTTAACTCTCATTTCCATCTTGAAATTAGGTTAGGCAGAGGTTTGGGACTCTTTTGGAAAACCTTCTGAATTTATGGGCTAAACCTGTAGGGGGCTCTCTAACCTCACAGCAAAGAGTAGCTACTATGCTGCTTTCCCTTCTTGGTCCTTCCTAATTGAAAACACTGAACCTGAAAGAAAATAGATCGTGCAAACAAACACTGCATCATGGGACTAAATGCTAATGACTAAGTGAAGTCATGCAGAACAGTTCACCGTATGCTGCACTTCTGAAACAAGGTCTCAGCATTGGTTTGTCTCTTATGACATGGGCTGCACTCTGAAAGCCACCTGGGGTCACTCAGTCTCAGTGACTAAGAAAAGAGGGCTAAAAAAAGGGAATCCTGCCAGAAATAGCCTTTTAGGGAGACAATCTAGAGCATAACGGGTAAAGTGGAAACTTACCGGGGTTCCAGGAGTACCAGGAGGTCCTCGCTCACCTCTAGAACCCTGAACACAGACAATGATGATGTTTTATAGAAAACAGAGGTAGGGGGAGCAACCATTATAACTGGGTTTTGGGGGACACCTTTTTGGAAAATAATCATTACTGCAATATAACATGATAAATACGAGCAAGCAGAAGCCTCTGACTACCGGTTGCATCAGCAGGGAACTGAATGAATGTGCATGCGGTAAGTAATCCTACTTTCCCGAACACCCACCTAACTGGCTTTCAGGAAATCATTTAGGATGACATTACATAATCTAATTAATATTCATGAGTCAAGATGATGAGGTTTATAAATATGTCCCTCCCCCCACCTTTTCATATTATTCCAAAGCAACTGAAAACACAGATCTGGGACAGAATATGGGACAGAATTATTAAAATGTGAGTGTGCTATTATTGGGCTCTTATATCATCTCTAAATGGCACCGGTAGTACTGAAGCTGTTAGCGGAATCTCTTACCGGTTCTCCTTTGCCTCCTGGGCTCCCTGGGAATCCGGGCGGCCCTGGTGAACCGGTACACTGACCACTGTTACCCGTCTTAAAACATTGACACAGACATAAGGGTTTACAATCAAAAAATGCTTGCACAATTTGAAAACAAAAATAAGTAATGACTTTTATGTGCTGTAAGTGTAGTTTGTGTAAGTACAATGGAATAAATGAACATTTGCAGTGTGGCAGTTACTTTCAGAACAGTATAGCTTTTTAAGTTACTTTTTCCAGTTAGTAGCAGTATTGTGTGATAAAGCGTCCTTTCTAGCATTCTGATTCATTTTGTGAACTGGTTTGTTCGGACATTCATACAAATGAACCGTTTCAAAAGAATGATCCACTGATTCAGTGAGACCATTTGTATAACTGCCGATGTGAAATATTTAGCAAAATCCAGCTGTACATCAAGGTCATATACACAATAAAGTGGTTTTCCTAGTTAAAAGTGCCCCTGTTATGCTTTTCAGATATTACATTTCATGTAGTGCGTTATAAAACTGTTTGTGAATGGAAAAGGTCTGCAAAGTTTCAAAAATTAAAGCCTTTCACGGAGCTGAAATTCAGATATGGTAATAAACGTTTTGTTTCCGACGCGTGGTGTAAACGGTAGACCAATCAAAACAGACTGGGCAATAAGAGCAGAGTTAGCTTTTGGAAAGAAGAAAGACGGAATCCTTTATCAAACCGTTTCAGATGATGTGAGAAAAGAGGAGATGCTACAATATATATTATGAGAAAATTAAAGTGTTTTTTTCACCTTGGATACATGCAAACATATTGTTTGGAAGCTTTCAAATATTATAACTAGGGCTTTACAACAAATACACCTTAAGTAAAAAAAAACAAAAAACAAAAGAAATGATGAACAGAAACATTTAACTTTTTTTTAATCTTATTTATGATATAATATTATCCACAAACTTACTGGCCCACTTGGTGTTTCCTCTCTCTGCAGCTTCTCAAAACACTGTAAAGGTGAGCATAGAGATGGGTTTAGAAAACTGTGCGCATTCAAACAGTACTATGTTGTAGCATGAGCAAAACCAATGGGTATTGTAGGAAGCGAAAAGGAATAGCAAACAGAAAACACAAACCCACACCCTTGTCTGTTTAATACCAATCACTTCATCCATCATTCATCCCTCTCACCCGTTCACATCCTTCTAAGGGCAAAGCGCCAGGCTTTCCCTGATCTCCCTTCTCGCCCTTAGAGCCAACATTGCCGGGCACACCTGGTAGGCCCTTGGAGCAATCGCCACAGCTCTCCTACAGTGAAGCAAACACATGTGTTCTCACACTACAAAGCATACACAGCATCGACATGCAAAAACTAGTGAATAGCATTGCTGCGTTGAAGAGTGAGGTGGTTCAGACATACTGAGGAGTATGCATGAATTATAAACACTGGATATTTTTGTGAACAGTAAAGATCATGCTCTCACATGCCAGTTTGATAGAGCAGGAATTAAAGAATCAAAACCTAAGCTCAAAGAATGCACAAGGTTTCCAAGCCAAAAACTAGGGTTTATAAAATAAATGTGTTTTAAATTGACTTTATTCTGCCCAAAAAGCACACATACGTCACTAAGAAATGGGTGAAAGAGATTCTTAAAAATTATGTTCTATTTTAAGTGTCTTATTTTTGATTAACATCTGAATAAAATCTTGAAAGCTGAACAGCTTTCAAACATCAGCCAGGGATTATTAAGCAACATATTGCACATTTTTATTTAAACAAATTAATACTTTTATATGAAGAGTTCAGATGCAAAAGCCTCTAAGTGCCATTTGAAATTTTCTTCTAAAATGATCATTTTTATCAAGCTTGTATATTTAAGTTCAGTAATTTCACTTAAATGGCAATGAAGATTACCTATTAATTGTCATTTAAGTGAAATTAATGAACTTAAATATACAAGCTTGATAAAAATGGTCATTTTAGAAGAAAATTTCACATGGCATTTAGAGGCTTTTGCATCTGAACTCTTCATATATAGCAAGGATGCATTAAATGCCTTTAAAGTGAAAGACATTGTTACAAATACATTTCAAACAAGTTCTTTGAAATTTCTATTCATCAAAGAATACTGAAAAATGAATCCTGGTTTCCACAAAAAATAGTAAGCAGCACGACTGATTTTAACATTGATAATAATAATAAGACATTTTTTTGAGCACCAAATCATCATGAGAAAGATCATGTGAGACTGAAATTTGTCTGTGCCATCAGAGGATTGAATTACATTTTAATATATATATATTAAAAATAATATTTCACAATATCGATGTTGTAGTGTATTTTTGATCAACTAAATGGAGATTATGTGAGCAGAATAGTAGTTTAAATCAATACATTTTAATGACTTTGTCATGTAAGCATCCTAAACTATGTATGTATATGGTTCTATGCTTGAAATGAAGTATGTCTTAAATTGTGTATCAGGGGTTCCCTGCATCATCTAACTGTCCACCAAGGGGTATTTGGCGTAAAAAAAAAAAGTTTGAAGCACTAAATGGCATCAATGTCTTGCTGTTGTATGTGTAGTATTTGTATACACATGACTGGATAATCCCAGTGTTTTATTGCACATGCATACTAATAATTATATAGACAGTTGGACACATGCAGTTAAAACAGAGATGCAGATTAGACTGTGTGTTTACCTTGCCTGGGGAATCCTGAGGCAGAAGTATAGGAGGCTGCAAGATGGAGGACACAGTCAGGCATGGGGACATCAACAACAAACATTTTTCATTTCACAAGAACTGAATGTGCAGCTATCATCAGAAGTTCAGAAGAAAGTGACTATGATGAGACCAAGGCAATGCAGTAATTTTTTTAAAGCATTGCTTTGAAGTCTACAATGAAGTTATGATCTCATTAGGTCATTAATAACAAAAATCTCATTTTAATAAGGGAATTATTTTGCATGAAATTATTCAGAAACAAAAATCTGAAAATAATTTAACATGATGCAGTCTGCTTCATTTATTAAACTGTTATTTCAAAACAGTTCACTGACTAATTGCATTTATAAACATGTAAATGAGAATGCATTTAGTTATGGTTGAAAATATTATGCTAGTCATTTACAGCATGATAAGAAGTTACTTTCACATCCCACTTTTAAAGCATTAGTTTCAGAGCACAAAAGATATCCAGAAAAACAGACAATTCCAAACACTTCTATGTGCAACACCCACAACATGAACTCACATGGAGTATGTAACAAACCCCCAGAGTGTTTTAAAGTATTTTAAAGTGATACTCCACCATTTTTTTCATATTAAACTATGTTATTCCCTTAACCAAGACGAGTTGATACATACCTCTGTCGTCTCAGTGCGTGCGCTCAATCGCTCTGAGACACTTTGATAGCACTTAACTAGCCCAGTTCATTCAATATGGGCTAAACAGAGAAGCGACTAAACACCTCCACGTTTACCCTATTTAAATACACTTACACGAGTAGTGTAACTCGACCTAGGACGGTGACACAAAATACAACATTGCGCTTTTCTAAGTGTGTAAAATGGATAACTATATTGTATTGTGGAATACCACAGCAAGTGCTTGGGAGCACTTGCTTCTCTGCTTGGCCCATATTTAATGAACTGGGCTAGTTAAGTGCAATCAAAGTGTCTCACGAGTCAGGGGTGTGTTTTCCGAAAGCATCATTAGCCAACTATGGTCGCAAGTTGGTCGCAATTTCCATTGAACTCTATTGGAAAACGACGGAACTTGCGACCATAGTAGGCTAACGATCCTTTCGGCAAACGCACCCCAGAGCGATTGAGCGCATGCACTGAGACGACAGAGGTATGTAACTCGTCAACTCGTCTTGGTTAAAGGAATAACATAGTTTAATATGAAAAAAACGGTGGAGTATCCCTTTAAGGAATTAAACTCAAATTCCACTTCAACTTGAACCAATGTATTTCATGCACTTGGCCCATTTTGGTATAGAGGACTGGAATATTACTCTAACCACAGTTACCCGAACTCAACCTGAGAGCTTGCCCGAGGATGAGAGCGTCCCTCAGATGCTCTTGAAGGAGCTATGAGCATCCATATACTGATGTGCTTCGAGTACATCATCTCCTTACACCACTGGATGGTCTGGGTTGAAGTGGTTTTATTCCGGGACCACTCATATGACACCACTTTATGCAATCCAATTACTTTTTAAACCAAACTACTATAATTACGAGTTTTTGAAAGAACCATTTGAATTCCCGATGTTATTCGTTAGCCATTTAATTGAACTATTTAGTGTTTTTGACCGTACAATTTAATATTAAAGAACTAGCTTTGAGATTAGGCTGTTTGTGGGGTCTGTTTTTTAGTGAATTCATATAACATGGTTTAGATCTGATTGTGCTCTGGAAGAACTTGGTGGTCGGATTCTGCTGATAGAAGTGGAGCAGAGCAGACCAGGATAGAAGTCCGTCCAAATTTCCTCTGCAGGCTGGAAGCCCAGAGCTCTGATTCCAGGATGGGCCTCCGGCCAGCTGAGAAAATATGCGTGCGGAGAGACGGGGCCATTAATGGCGGAATCCTGCTTTCAACCAAAGATCTAATGGCTCTTTATGTATAGCAAATCACTCACAGTAATGGCCGCCCTAACCGTAACTCAACACAATGGCAGTGTTTACCATTACACAAAGCCTCGGAGACTGTGAGTTAACACTGAAAGGGTAATGGGACCATCGGCGGCCATAAACGACACACTGCAACAGAGATGTCCTCAAAGAATGCTGAGCTAAGATGCTTACTGGTTCTTTTTTGTATTATAAAAAAGCTGATGGGTCATTGCTATTGTCCTCGTGAATCACCTCTAGTGAGCTCCGTCTCCCCGCACTGGTTCAAAGCCGCCCAACCCGCTCCCCTTCTAACGCAGAAGTCCGCCAATCAGGCTCCTTGATCTGTATTTTTGCTTTTACTGTAATAAAGCTGTTGCACTCCACTAGCTCCTCCCCCTGTCTGGTTACTCACTGCTTGGCCGGGTGGACCCGGTTTCCCTGGTACGCCATCGTTGCCAGGGATACCCTGTAAGAAGGAACTGAGGTTGAATTGGTTTAGCCTGTGGCCACAATCTGGACATCTCCATCTTGAGCAGGGCAGAGGGAAAGTAGCCAAAGCCCTGGACCCTCTCCTGGTTTGTGTTCCAACTCGGAGTAGACATTTACATTTTGTTTGCCTTTCTCTGTCTTTATATATATATATATTTTTTTAATTTCAGCTCTTCTGAGGCTTGGGAAATCAACACAACACCAGGTTAAAGACCACTCAGTGCTCACGGTGAGGTCATACAGAAATTAATTTGCCAGTTTATCAAGGTGATTTTAATGTCAATGATCTTAAATACCCTCATATTTCCTCATACTGCATTTAAAACAAAACTGATGAATAATACACATGAATAATGGACACATGGTAACCTCACAGTGAGCTCTGCATGGTTTTTAAAAAGAAAAAGCAGCATGATCCCCAACCACTTATTTAATGAATGTATTAATTAAGATTACATTTAAGTAGTTTTTTGCACGTTATTTTAACTGTACATTAAGGCGTTAAATTTACAAGCTACATTAATGCCTACATTTGCTTTATAATAACTTTTTAAAAAAGCACAGCCATTAACAAAGCACATCCAACGGCACTAACCAAAAATCCCAGAAGCCCCTTTAAAGCGTGCAAATTTAACAGCAATGTTTTAACATAGCGCTCTTTTACAAACTACATTACAGTTGCATGACATTATATTTACATTACATTATATTACATTGATGGCAGCTTTGAGTATTAATCATTATTTGTTTAAGTAACATTTGTTTTTATATGTAAACATTTATGGGTGCATTTAAATTTGCTTTAGCTGAAGCTCAGAGTTATCCATGCAGGCCTTCCCAATACAGAAGCCCCGCAAAGACAGCAGGATGGAGAAGGAATAGACAGAAAAAGCAGAGGTACACCATGATGCAATCTGTTTAATACTCACCTGTGGGCCTGTGATTCCCATGAAGCCCTGGGGCCCTGGGGGACCTGGAGGGCCTGGTGGTCCAGGAGGACCCTAACAAACATTAAACACAATGAAATCATTAAAAGTGAGAAAGCGGCCATTCATTAACCTTTAAAAGAGTCACATTTTTATGTCTGCAGAAGTCCAATAGCCTTTTACTTTTACAAACTCAAGTTAAAGACATTTAAGCAGCAGAGGAGAAATAAAGAGCGTAAAAGGAAGTCAGACCTGAGGACCAGGCTGCCACCTGCTCTCACCACCTGGGACCCCCTGCAAGAAAAAAGAGCAACCAAGTTCAAATCTGCGAATGACATTGGGTCTCATGATCTGAAGTGAGTGTTTTTAAATTTGAGTGTGTGTGTGTGTGCTAATGTCCTCCTTATTAACAGCAACAAAATAAATCATTAGCTCACAGGTCCGCCGGTTCCAGGGAACGTGTTAGGCGAACAGTTGCACTCTCCTGGTTCACCCTATGACATAGAAAAACAATTTGGTCACAATGATTTCTACATTATCTGAGTAATGATTTCTACATAATCTGTATTGCCAACTACACCTGATACATTCAACCTACACACAACTCAACAAAATGAATATCATGTTTATTAATATTAAACAGGAAATGTTAGTGTCTAATATAAACATTATCCATTTTACTGTTTGATTTTTGCTTTTTCACAATAACTAAATGATCATTAGACGACAAGTTCAAGTTTCATTTATTTATCGAGCACATTCACTACCGGCTAGCAAAAATTGCTGTAACCAAAGTGCTGTACAATAAAATACACAATAAAACAAACAGTGATCACTTAGGATCAGTGAGTACAAATTACAATATTTAAAGCTGAATCAAACAGATGAGTTTTCATAGCAGATTAAAATCAGATAAAGAGGAGGACATTTTAATTTGGATTGGGAATTTGTTCCACAATGTGAGGCCCGCTACTTCAAACGCTCCATTTCCCCTGTTTTTTAATGGGGTTCTGGGAATCTGAAGGAGGAATTTGTTTACCGATTGCTTAGGGGTATATAAGTGAAGTAGGTAAGACAGGTATAATGGTGCAAGATTATTTAGTGATTTGTAGACCAGCAATAGAATTTTGTATTCAATTCTATACTGAACCGGCAACCAATGTAGGGATCTCAGAAGGGGTGTAACATGCTCAAACTTTTTACATCTGAACGACTTGTAGGCGTGAAATTCGAGTCTTAGTAACACCATAATATAGAGAGTTGCAGTAGTCCAGCCTCGATGTTAAAAAGGCATGGACAGCAACCTCTAAAGAGGCGTTAAGGCCCATTTATACTTCTGCGTCGAGGGTTTGCCGCAGTGTAGCGTTGTGAGCATTTATACTTCTGCGTTCAGGTCTTGGTTGCTCTGCAGTACTGCTCCGAAACGCTAGTTGGCGACGGAGGGTTTTAATGTTCCACTGTGTTTAGATTCCTCGCGGCTAGGTTACTACAAGCGATGGCGACTGAAAGAGAGCGGATCATGTTGGAGTTGGAGCTTATTGAGGTGGAAAAACAGTTAATTTGAGTGAAATTACTAAAACTAAAAGGCAGAAATGAGAGAAGACGTCGGAAGAGATGGTAAGTGTGGAAATGCGTAGGAGGAAATGCGATGCTACCAAGTCGACCAATCACAAATCTTGCAGTCCGCGTCGTTGCGACGTGTAGTTATATTTTTGAGGAGGTGCGCGTCAGGCTACGGCAAAGGGTACGCAGTATGGGATGATTCTGTGCATTTGCTACGCCGTACCTACTGCGCGCACCCTACGTAGAAATATAAATTGGCCTTTAGAGAGAAAAGATTGAATTTTAGAGAGAGAGCGTAAGTAGAAGTAGCTACAGTAGAGCCCACTTCAGACTATGTCGATCATCACACCTAGATTACGCACTTGGGATGAGGTACTCAAATTTGAGAATTTGTCTGCTAGTTTCGGAGGGGCTAAAAACAGTGGCTTCCGTTTTATCGGAATTTAAAAACAGGAAATTATTTGAGAGACATGATTTTACGTCATCCAGACACGCGGATAAGCAACTAAGCATGCTCATATTCAGAGGTCAGAGGCAGATTTTCATATCATCAGCGTACAGTAGCAATGAAAAGAAACGTTATGTTTCCTAAAGATACATCCCAAGGGAAGCAGATAGAGAGAGAAAAGAGTAGGTGCAAGAACACACCCCTGTGGTACACCACAGGTTAGCTTGCGCGATGATTTTTTATTTGTCTATTAGACTACAACAACACATAATATAACATGCATTATGTATATTTGTAAACATACTGACGCATATAACACGCACGTGTCTTCCTAAGACGCATGCACACGCGCGCACACACACATTAAACACACACAGTTAGTGTGTTGACAACATGACATGATGTCGGAATTACAAAAGGTTTTCTCTGTAGAATTCTATCTTGGCACTCAACAGGAATGACAGAGTACTTCATCACACTTAGGAGTAATATGCATCATTTGATATCAGCTGCCACTTTCCTCTGTCTTTAGACAAATTAGTCTGGGAGACAGCAAAGGACATTAAAAAATAAAGCATTTCCAGGCCTTTGCTTTCGAGGTCTCTTTTTCTCATCCTTCTCATTCTCTTTAATACTCTGTGATGTTGTCAGATTACAGATGACAGCTGTTATATTCACCAATTAATGGTCCTGTTTTAGCTCGAGGGCATTTTTAACTTTTTCAGCACTGTCTAACTCTTCCGTCAGACTTATGCGTCTGTTTGTGTCTCCAGGGTGGACACATCATTGTGCATACAGAAGGTCGCTCTAAACATTACTCCTCCTATCCCTCGTTCTCTCAGTGCAACTCTCACACACACACACACAATCTCACTGCTTCGGGGGAAACTCGAAATCGCCTCCCCAGCTCACTGATCCAGACACTTACCTTGTCACCCTTAGGCCCAGTGACTCCCTGAAAGACAAGAAGAAACACACACACACAAAGGCTCAGTTAGACAGTGTTATTGTGTGTAACTCTCCAGGGCCAGCGAGATGAGTGTGGATCGGGGAGGAGCAGTGACAGGTGACGTGATGCAAGCAGACAATGTGTTGCTGTTAGGGATCCAGACAGAGTCGGATATGACCCAAGTCTGTTTCTGGATTTGCTCCTCAAGCTCTTCGCGACAAAGCCCTAGGTAATTAACATCTGATGCAAGAACAGACAACGGTAACTTTGCTTTTTTTATTAGACGAGCTCTGGCAAGACAACACAATCTCGTTGCTTTTGTCTTCGCAGTTTATGGAAGTTTGCTTGACGCCAGAGCGATGAACAATGGACAATATGGTTGCGTGAATTTGAGTGTGTGTCACAATAAGGGAATAATCTGGAGGAGATGATCAAAGGACTGCTGGAGAGGAATGAATGAATGAATAAATTAATAACTTACAGGACTCCCATCTTGCCCAGGCAATCCTGTCGTACCATCCCTACCCTGTGAAACACAACATATGCAAATCATTTACTCACTGTGTCTTACTCCACTCCTAATTTGCCTTATTTTTACTGAATCAGTACATTGTGAACAAGTATTAACAGCATCAATCTGAAATATGCACTTATCTTGCATTATTATGCAAAACAGATCAGTGTTGTAGTCGAGACCACCTCACTCGAGTCCGAGTCGACACCGAGACCAGAGAGAGTCGAGTCCGAGTCGAGTCCGAGACCAGAGAGGGTTGATTACCTAATTTACTTTTATTTACTTAGAGAAATCCTTTTTTTTTTTTTTTTACTGAATTTACTTAGAGTTTAAAAAATATGATCAGTTTAGGGTAAAAAGGCCACATAGTAGGTGGTGTTAAAAGTAATTTTATTACAATTTGTCATGCGCAGTTGCACACTAGAAAATCACCAATCACTGGGCGTGTCAATCAATTTAAAGAAATATTTTATTAACATACATTAATAATCATGAAAAATATTTTTAACTGAACTCGAGTGGACTCGGGAATAATTCCGAGTCCTAAAAAAAAAAATGTTCGAGTACGAGTCAATTCCGAGTCCAAATGGACACGAGTCCATGACAAGACCAAGACCATTAAAATATGGTCTCGAGACCGAGTCCGAGACGAGTCCGAGTCTTGAGTACTACAACACTGAAACAGATAAACAGCCAAAACATTATGACCAGTCACAAATTAAGTGAATATCATTGATCATCTCCTAGTCCTATTAAGGTCTGTCTGGGTATATTAGATGTTAAGCAAACAATCAGTTCTCATAATCAACATGTTGGATGTAGGAGAAATGGGCAGAAATAAAGATCTGAATGGTTTTGAAATGGGCCAAACTGTTATGGCCAAGCGACTGTGTCATATATCGGCAAGGATTGTGGTTGCTCTTGGTCAGCAGTGGGCAGAGGAGGAGTGGACTCTTTAAGCTGGATAATGCACCCTGCCACACTGCACACATTGTTCGGGAATGGTTTGGAACATGATGAATGAAGGGTTGAAGGTGTTGGCCTGGCCTCCAAATTCCTCAGATCTCAATCTAATCGAATATGTGTGGGATGTGCTGGACTAAAAAGTTCGATCCACAGTGGCTCCACCTCGCAAACTACAGGTCTTGGAGGTTCTTCTGCTAATATGGCAGCAGCCATATCACCCTGTAGCCCAAGACTGGTTGCCCATTAAAGCTAAGCAGGGCTGAGCCTGGTTAGTACCTGGATGGGAGACCTTCTGAGAAAGCCAGGTTGCTGCTGGAAGAGGTGTTAGTGAGGCCAGCAGGGGGTGCTCACCCTGTGGTCTGTGTGGGTCCTAACGCCCCAGTAAAGTGATGGGGACACTATGCTGTCAAAAGAGCACCGTCCTTCGGATGAGACGTTAAACCGAGGTCCTGACTCTCTGTGGTCATTAAAAATCCCAGGATGTCTTTCGAAAGAGTAGGGGTGTAACCCCGGCATCCTGGCCAAATTTGCCCAGTGGCCTCTGTCCATCATGGCCTCCTAATCATCCCCATATACACCAATTGGCTTCATCACTGTCTCCTCTCCACCAGAAAGCTGGTGTGTGGTGAGCGTTCTGGCGCAATATGGCTGCCGTCGCATCATCCAGGTGGATGCTGCACATTGGTGGTGGTTGAGGAGATCCCCCCCCCCTCTATGTGAAGCGCTTTGAGTGTCCAGAAAAGCGCTATATAAATGTAACGAATTATTATTATTATTATTATTATTAATATCTTACTAGCAGGACACCTTCAGAGGTCTTGAAGAGTCCATGCCTTAACGGGTTTTAGCCGCACATGGAAGACCAACAGGTGGGCATAATGTTTTGGCTAATTTCTGTACATACATAATGGCATTTAAACATTCAATTGTTACAATTAAGAGAGGCAGAAAAAAAAAGTCTGACTTCCTGGCTGGGGAAAATCCTTCTGTCCATTTCATGCTCTTACCGAAGGTCCGATTTGTCCTATTCCCATTGGCCCTTGTGGTCCCATCTCTCCTTTAGAACCCTATTGATATCAAGCAATACATTAGGATAATAGTGAGGTCAGTGTCCAGTGCTTCTTTTGGCATGTAAAGTGCTGTGTCATTGCATTTTTGATCTACCCCTTGACCAGCTGGTCCAATCGGCCCTGAGGGTCCTTGACGTCCTTCTGGACCCTGTAGGACAAACAAAGGACTGTTTTCACACTTGGTTTTTACATGTGGTGCATATTAAATAGGCCTGTTTTTATCTATTGATGTGATTCATACACTATGGTTAAAAATTATGGAGGTTAGTAAGATTTTGTTTTTTAGAAAATAATACTTTTATAGAGGGAATGCGTGTGACGTCACCTTTGGCCGGAGTGCCTATAGTTACTCAGTGAATGGCAAAAAGACTGAGCGGCTGTATTTTATTTTATTTTTTCAGTGTGAATGCTGCGAAAAACAAACGCAACACATATAAAGTGGGAAAGAGCTTTGTGATTGACTGTACAACTAGATTTGACAAAAATATGAGGTATATTTTTACAGACTGCTATAGAAAGTGGAGCACGATTCCTGCCTGCATGTCAATATCTATGGATCACTGGATTTTAGTAAGTTGTAAGGAACACTATTGAGTCCAACATTTAGTTTAAATTGATAAAATTGTTCATTTTAGTTGCATTTTCACAGTTTCCTCTATTAAATCCAGTCACACGGCAGATCTTTTGCCACTCAGTCAAGCTGATCCGGCGGGAAAGTGACGTCAGTGCATTCCCTCTATTCAGCAAGGATGGATTAAATTGTTCACAAATGACAGTAAAGACGTTTATAATGTTACAGGATTTCTATTTAAAATAAATGCTGTTATATTGAACTTTCTTTTTTCATGTCTATTCATTCTATTTCCACAAACATATGTTTTCAACATTGATAATAATAAGAAATGTTTCTTGAGCATCAAATCAGCATATTTGAATGATTTCTGAAGGATTATGCGTCACTGAAGACTGAAAATTCAGCTTTGCCATCACAGAAATAGATTAAATTAAATACATTAAATACAGTAATTTTAAATAGTAATTCTATTTCACAATACTACTGTTTTCACTGTATTTCCAACCCGGTCTCATCCCAAGACGTCATATAACTGACGTTTTGGGACATCTTTTGACCATACGTCAATATTCGCCTTTTTAGGGCCCCCTTAAACGTCGGTAGATGAGGTTATGGGATCCTAACTCTACCCCATACCTAAACCTAACCCTAAACCTAACCAGTCACCTAACTGACGTTAAAAGTAAAGCGTCAGTTGTATGACGGCCCGGGATCGCCATCTACCGACGTTTAAGGGGGCCCCAAAAAGGCGGATATTGACGTATGGTCAAAATACGTCCCAAAACGTCAGTTATATGACTTTTTGGGATGAGACTGTGTTAGTATTTTAGATCAAATGAATGCAGCCTTAGGCCCTGTTTACACGAGAATGCTCGCGGGTGAAAACGTAAACATATTTAATCAGATGTTTTTTTAATTTACACAGACAGCGATGGCGTTTTGGGGGCTTAAAAACGCAAAAAATTGAAACCACCCTCCAGAGTGGAAATCTTAAAAACGCTCTGCCGTCGCGATCCAATCTAAAGGGTAAAAACGCAAAAGTCTGCTAGACAGGGAAGGTTGTACGCAGGCACGCGGACTTGGTGTTGTTGTGTGGCAGTGCTCCACATCACAACCTAGCCGCCTGGAGTGCATACTACCTCGAATTTCACGCACTTTTGCGTGACCATATTCATGTGAATTTCCCACCCATAACGCTCGTTTAAACGCAAACGTTTGCGTTTTCTCTTCAAATTGTTTCCGTGTAAACATAGCCTTATTGTGCAAAAGATACTTTTACAAACATCAAACTTTTGCACGGTAGTGTATGTTTCAGATAACAGTAGACAAGAAAAAAATACAGACAATTCAAAGAGAACAAAGATCTGCTAATTTGCACACTCGAAGGGCCAAATCCACATGTGAACACCAAAGAACAAGATACTTTTTGTGCACTTACAGCAGCTCCGGGAAAACCTCTAGGTCCCTGCTCACCCTGAGTGAGAACATCAAAGCATCAGAAGGGTTGGTGCATTCAAGGCATTATTTAATTACAACAAAGACTAGTACATTTCTCTAAAAATAGTATAAATAGTATAGTTTTCATGATTACAATAGCTGTTCATTCACCTGCAGTCCTGGAAGGCCAATACCTGCAGGCCCAGCATCACCCTAATGTAATACAGATAAGCATCACTCCACAGTCGCTCTTATAACTTTAGCACACAAATGTGACTGATGTATGCATTAGTCAGGTTTGCAACTTTACCTGACTTCCTTTGAGCCCCGGAGGTCCCTGGACACCAGGTGGGCCTTGTCGACCCTACAGAATAAAGATTACAAAGAAAGAGTCCAGATTTTGCTAGATGCTGAGTCATCATGTAGGTTTTCTTTTCCTATAATTTTTTTTGTTACAATTAACAAATGAATCATTTGATTTGATTTGATTAGGTTCTACAACATATATATATATATATATATATATATATATATCATTATTATGATATTATGTGCCAAAACCAGTTACATTTGTATTAACTGCAGCCAAAATATAACATGAATATTTAATTGAACTCTCAAATCAATGATGAAACAACTTAAAGGCAGTATTTTAAACATTACATATTTGTTTAATGGCATCTACTAGTACTATGAATATTAATCGAAGAAATACGTTTTCCTACTTCTAATTTTTTCAATCATTTTATCATCTGCTAGGCAAAATCCCTTAGAAAAGTTACAGCAGATCTCTCCTCAACAAGACGCATGATTTGAAGTAAATGTAGCAAAAACCGTGTGCTCCCAAATGTAATATTTTGAGTTTTGCATTTGTACAGATAAACCTGCACCTGTTTCCCTTCTCGGCCCTCGCCTGGCAAACCCGGCTCTCCTCTCTCTCCCTTGGGTCCTGGAAAGCCAGCAACATTGCCATTTCCTTCGGGGAGTGATGGACAGCTGTCACATGCGTCTCCCTGGCGATACAGAAACAGATGCAATAAGAAAAGACTGAAAGTTTTCAAATCGCAAGGGAGCAGAGATCCAAATGGTCAAGCGTTATTATCCGGTGAGATATTTTTGCCTTTATACATGAGTTGTATAAAAGTGTAATCAATTATATCAACATGATTCATGATTATTCAAAAACCCTGTGATGGCGCATAATTCAAGGCAATGTAATTAATATGTGACCGCGTGATCAATGACCTTTTCTCCTTTTAGTCCATTAAGGCCGTTCCTGCCTGCCTCTCCTTGAGATCCTGGGGCTCCAGGTGTCCCAGCCACACCTGGGTCTCCCTGTAAGCCCTGATCACCCTACACACAAACAAATTATATTTAATCCTTAGAAAAATCCCCCATATTGTGAACACACTATTATTTGCACTGCTTAAAAAAAAGAAGAACTTACTTTCTCTCCTTTGAAACCTTGAAGACCCGGGGGCCCCTGTTGAGACAGCAATTTTGAAAGCAAAGTCAGTGGGTTTTAGACTCCTCAAATAAAAAAAAAAAGTACAATAATACACTGAGAACCTCTTCCTATAGAGCAGTTACCTGTTTGCCCTCAACTCCTTCACCTGGAGGACCTGGAGGGCCAGGTTCCCCTGTGACCTTTATCGTAGGTGGGCCACTTCCCACCTCAGAGGCAGTGGTTATGCAGTCTCCCTTTAATAGAAGGCGCATGTGTACAGTACCATGTAAGCACATCTATACACTTCTGATGAAGAAGAGAAAAACACACTACCTACCTTTTCACCTTTCATACCAGGTGTTCCTACACCAGGTAGGCCAGGATCCCCCTGTAAAAAATGAGGCCACTAGTGATAATGTATCTATTTTGGACACCATTTAATGCATTTTTAATAACAAATTAAATTTGAGTGATAAGCTGATAAATATGGGTTTTAGAATCTTACCCCCGGTTTCACAGACAAGGCTAAATGCATGTTTTAACTGAAAACAGCATGCTTTTTATCTTAAAATAAGTCAGTGCCATTGGTTTGTCTCAAGATGCGCAACAGTGATGTTTTTTTTTTTCAAAGGCATGTTTTTCAAAAAGCTTAAATGTCCTAATTGACCTAAGGCCTAATCCTGGCTTAATCTAAACACTGTCTGTGAAACCAGGCCTTAGTTATTTATTTTGGTTTGATCCTCTTTTACATAATTTGAGATGATCAAAAGAGCATCTTGCATATTAAATTCTTAAAAAAATAAAAATAAACTACAGTAAAGTTATTTATGATGTTTCTTTTTCAATATTTTTTAAACCCTACAATTTTCAATGTTCAAATGAACGCAGATTTTAAATGCAGTCTCGGATATCGTTCGTTTTTGAAAGAAGTTTCTTAAGCTTACTAAGGCTGAATTTATTTGATCACAAATACAGCAATATAGTGAAACATTATTAGTTAAAAATGTATATGAAATTTAAATTAGGTAGGTAAGTACACTAAACGCACATTTTTTTTTTTAACTGTATTTGTTTCTTCCACTATATTCAATGTTTCCTAATTCTGTAAGGTTCCAATCAAAACACTTTAAAATTAGTGCAGAATAACTCTGTGTTGGGCTTTATCACCTGGGCTCCTTTATCTCCATCTTTCCCACTTGGCCCTCTTGGACCAGGTTTGCCCTAAAAACAATAACATCAGCATATTAATCTAATGTTGAGGTCACTCATAAATCACATATGCAAGTAAACAGAAAGCACAAATAAAAATAATAAATATGAAAACAAAACCGATGGTTACCGGTTTCCCATCGTTTCCTCTGCTGCCTGCATTCCCCTGTAACCAAACAGAGTGTCAGCAGTGCGTGACACAATCAACTTAAGAAAATCGATAAATATATCCCCAAAAAAACAAAAAAACAAAAACAAAAAAAAAACTACTGTCCACACATTAGTGTTTCTCAAATAACTATATTGTATAGTGGATTAACAGGCCAGACAAATTCTAGATCATTTTCCTTCAATAATTAACTATTAGAACTAAGGTCTAATCCTGGCTTAATCTTAAAAAAAAAAAAAAAAAAAAAAAGTAAGGTTCCATTGAAGAACCATTTTCATTGAACTGTTCATAAAATAAAAGTATTTCTTACACTCTAAAAAATGCTGGGTTGTTTTAACCCAACTTTGGGTCAAATATGGACTAACCCAGCCGTTCGGTTAAATTTTTACATTACATTTTAACCCAACATTTCGGGTTTGTTCATATTTGACCCAAAATTGGGTTAAAACAACCCAGCATTTTTTAGAGTGTAGTGTGAAGAACATTTAATTAATCTAAACAACCTTTTACCACTATAAAGAACCTTTTGTACAATGAAAAGGTTCCATGGAAGTTAAAGTTTCTTTATGGAACCATTAGCCGATTTTCCATCGTCGGACCAAAACCATCTCTTTAGGAGAAATTCACTTAAAAAAAAAAACTGTTGCTGATATTTTATTCACCCCCATGTCATCCAAGACGTCCATGTCTGTCTTTCTTCAGTCGAAAAGAAATTAAGGTTTTTGATGAAAAGATTCCAGGATTTTTCTTCATATAATGCACTTTACTGTTAACCAAACAGTCCAAATAAGAGTTTCAGTGCACCTTTAAAGGGCTTTAAACGATTCCAGATGATGAATAAGGGTCTTACCTAACGAAACGATCGCTCATTTAAAAAAAATAAAAAATAAACAACAAAGTTGAAGTTTTATAAGCTCAAATGCTCGCCTTGCTCTGTTCTGTGATCCACAAAATGAACAAATCTTTTTCAATTCGTTCATTTCATTCGTCGAACGAACCAAATGACCAGAGCAAGGCGAACATTTGAGCTTATAAAACTTAAACTTTATTTATTTATTTTTTAAATGAGCGATCGTTTCGCTAGATAAGACCCGTATTCATTGTCTGGAATCATTTAAAGCCCTTTGAACAGTTTGCAGTTTGCACTGAAATGGTCATTTGGACTGTTTGAGTCCCAGTAAAGTGCATTACATGGAGAAAAATCCTGGAATGTTTTCATCAAAAACCTTAATTTCTTTTTGAAAGAAATATATGGACATCTTGGATGACATGGGGGTGAGTAAATTATCAGCAAAAGTTTTTTTTTTTAAAGTTTAAAAGTGAACTACTCCTTTAACTGCACTTCAGGACATGGGAGGAAGTGATGCAGAACTTTTTAAAATGACGTGCGCTAGCTGTCAATAATGACACCACTCCACAACATTCACCTGCTCTCCTTTCTGTCCAACACCTGGTTCTCCCTTCTGTCCCTTTTGATTCCCATTCAAAATGCCTGCTGGAATAACTCCAATGTTAGGGCAGTCGGAACATGCTTCCCCCTAACAGAGTGAAGATGGTAAGACATTAAGAAAAGTTGGAAAAATTAAGCCATAATGTCAAGTAATTCACAAACAGTGAACAGATTCTTCATCTTTTCTCGACAACACCTGGCAGACATACCTTTTCACCTCTGGCTCCTGGCTCCCCCTGAAAGAGAATTAGTTTGTAAAAATGAAATTTAAGCGTTCTGGAATTTGAAAAAAGCATGTTTTTTATTGGCATCTCTCTATATAAGACTAAAATAAGCCAAATACATTAACAAATAGTTATTTTTTAAGGTAAGGCCTGTCCATAAAAATGCAAATAAAGTAAACTTCAGAGCTCAAAACTTTCTTCTCTGTCTAAAAAAACAAAACCCCACACACACTGAAAACTAAGGATGAGATTCACTAAGCAGGGCAAATTAACATGAGACCACAATCCCATAAAAGAGCGACGGAAGCAGAAAGTTCTGTAGGGGATTTACTAACAATGTGCAAATGAAAGGATACAGACACAGCCATTCCATTTATATTATGACCAAACCAATCTAACAGGATAAGTGCAAATTAAAAATAACGTGGCTTGGCAAACGATATGTTCATTCTGTGCCATTTAAAAAAATAAATAAATAAACACGAGTGGAAATAATGCTCTCTGTTCTCTGTGGTGTCTCCACCATGTCAAGCACACAATGCTTTAAGTCCCCTTGAAGTCATTAATAATTGTATCTTAAAATCATTGTAATCTAAAATATCTTAAAGGGACTATATGTAACTTTTTTATGTACAGTAATTTATTATTTAAAACCAATATTGTTATTCGTAAATACGTCCTCAGTGTTGTACAAATACCTCTGCCAATTATCTGACTAATCCTCCTGAATAAATTATTTATTATCTTTATATACATGGGACGGTTAAAGGAGTAGTTCACAAAAAAAAAAAAAAAAAAAAAAAAAGCTGATAATTTAATGATTATTTAATGATAATGCCCATGTTTTTCTTTCCTAAGTCAAAAAGAAATTCAGGTTTTTGATGAAAACATTCCAGGATTTTCTCCATATAATGAACTTAATTGGGAACCAAACAGTTCAAGGTCCAAATGAGAGTTTCAGTGCAGCTTCAAAGGGCTTTAAACGACACCAGACGATGAATAAGGGTCTTATCTAGCGAAATCGTAGCCTGGTTCTACCAGACTCTCGTACATACATTTCATTTGTACAGAGAGTCTGGCCTCCCTCAATTGAGAAACGTTTTCTTCCTTGTAGGCGGGTTCACTATTAAAGTTCAAATCTATTGGATCTGCCCAGAGTCACTCACGATCTGCCATAGCCAATCGCTAATGTGTGGTCGTGAGTGACGTATGTCATGCGCCGAAACGGCTGGAAACAACCATAGACAGTAAAAGAAACAACAAGTCCGAACTCCGAATGATCAGAGGATTAAATTTACAATAGGATTTCAGTCAACGAGAGCTGCAGGTTTTGTTAATCTAGGAACAATTATTAATTCGAAATGTATATTTGACATGAAGGACAGTGATTATTCAGTCAATGCTGTAAGTTACAGTGAATGATCAGTCTGTCTGCAGATGTGTAATAAACAACAATTTTTCATATTACGTATTTTTGTTTCTTAATTACCTTAATTATGGTCTTCAAAGTATGTGTTTGTACATTTTTATATGGCATTTAGGTTTTTTTTTTTTATTAAAACAAATTAACCATTGACATCTAAAACTGAAAATCAAATATAGTCTCCAAAGTATGGGTTTTCAAATTTTTATTTATGACAATTTTCTTTTTAAATCACAACCAATTTGTATGATTTACAACATGTAAAACTGACACACCAACCTCCTGTACGAGTGCACAAAGGGGCTCAAAATGTTCTATTCATCACAAGAATCAGTAAATTTACTGTTGGGAATCTGAGCGACTGACATGACTCCTGAGCGGATCTTCAACAATAGTTTAGCAGCCAGGACTCGGGGCTTCCGAACACCAGGCTAAAGTCCAAAATGTCACGGTCATTGTGCACGAGCTGCCCAGCACAAACTTCCAACCTTTCTGCCTCCTTCACTTGGTCCTCCGTTGTGCAACAAGAGGTGAGACGACAACAATCCGGCTTTAAATTCTGTATATTCGGCAGTTTCTTTTCCAACAACGGACCGAATAGCTTTTCTCACGTCTTTCTCCGCTGCCATTACTGCACTCAAACTGACGCACTACATCAACGTCATCGTTCTCAGCCACTCCCTCTATTCGCTGATTGGTCCTACAAAAAATTGATTTCTGGAAACCTAAGGATATGGAGCGGTCCCAGACGCAGTACTGAAGGAAAATGAAATTGAGCGGAAGTGCGTAGGCGGGCGCAGCCAGGCTAGCGAAATCGGCCATTTCAAAAATAAATAAAAAAAGTTGAACTTTTATATGCACAAATGGTCGCCTTGCTCTGTTCTGTGATGCGCGTTCGTGACTCTCCTGTTCAAACTCGTTTATCAAAATGAACAAATCTTTTTCTCGAGTCATGACTCGAAGGGTCCTAGACAAGACCCTTATTCATCGTCTGGTGTCATTTAAAGCCCTTTGAAGCTGCGCTGAAACTCATTTGGACCTTGAACCATTTGGTTCCCAATGAAGTCCATTATACGGAGAAAATCCTGGAATGTTTTCATCAAAAACCTTAATTTCTTTTCAACTGAAGAAAGAAAGATGTGGACATCTTGGATGACATGGGGGTGTGTATTTTACAACGCATTCTCATCCTTTAACGTCATATAGAACGCTATATGACAAAACGGCGCTATACTACGCACATGGCACCCGTTATCGTTAATATAACACGCGCTGTGAGGGCTAAGTTTAGGTGTGGGGTAGGGTGTGCGTGTCATATTCACGCTAAAGGATTTATAACGTCTTGGGTTCACGTGTTATATTAACGATAAAGGGTGCCATGTGCGTAGTATAGCGCCGTTTTTGCATATAGCGTTCTATATGACGTTAAAGGATTAGAACGGGCTGGTATTTTATCAGCAAAAGTTTAAAAAAAAAAAAAGAAAAAAAAAAAGTTAACTACTCCTTTAAGTCCACAGAGGCTTCCATGTAGTTCCATCATCTTGAAAAACTAATAGCAAAGAGGGGCATAAAGTACTATGCCAACGCATTTGACCTAATGGTTAATCCGGCCCAGCAACAGATCCTCCTAAATTTTACAAACTGCACCTTTAAAGCATATTAAAAACACCACATAGACATAAAAACAATATTAAAGGGGGACTTTAATACTGTACATGGGTGTTTTGGGTGTTACATATCGGTGCAAATATCAGTAAATTGACTTGTGCAAACATTAGTAAATTACTTTGTATGCTTAATTAAAATATTATCCACCCATACATTTTGTGTCTGAAAGGTAAACTCTTCTAAATACATATGCAATAAGTTCAGCCACAAAAATAACTGTCCACGACTTTTTATCACTCACGGAAGACATCACTGTTTGTCATTCATTAAATCCTAACAGTAGCTGGCACAAGCTGTTAAAAATGGCTCATTATAAAGTAGTTTGCGATGTAACAAGAATGAATATATTAACACATCATGGCGCATTTACACATCAACAACATATATAAAGTGTCCTGGTCAGTAATTAATACGAAGGAAGTTAGATACATACTAATCAGAAGTGTTGTATCTAATTTCTTATGCAAAGAGGGTATTTACACTAAGTGGAATGTAAAGTAGCAAAAACAGCCCAATTAATTCTAAGGGTCAAAGAGTGAGTGGTAAAATGGTAATATAAGCTAAATTATGACTAGTTTTAGAGTGAGAAATCTTGATTAACATTATAACAGGACCTTTAGGGGAACAAAAAAAGATGATTGAAAAAAGAACACAGAGAAAAAAATGCAAGCTGAAATTGCCCATGGAAAAAAAATATCCTTCATTGTGTTAGAGTAGTTTATTTATTTGTTTCATCCAAAAGGATGGCTGGCGTTTTGTGAATGCCCAATTTTATTAGTCTTTTTTTTTTTCAAAAAAATTTGGCTGGTGTCAATTGTAGATGCTACAATTGTAAGTCAAAAGCAATAGCATGTGATTTGAGGTACTTCCAAACAACAGTTTAATGTTTTGTTGGAATATCAAACAGTAAGTAGGAGCGATAGTGTTAGTGAAGCTTGCACATGAATTATGATATTTCCCCTCTAACCATGCATATATTCATGTGTTATACTCATTACATGGGTTCCTATGCAGTAAGAAACAAGTAAGCATTAAACACACACCTTCTCTCCTGATTTGCCATCCAGTCCTGGAGGGCCCTATGAAGAGAGAGCCATATGAGTATGAGCATCAGTCTCCCTAATCATGACACTAATGTCATCCTAGCTGACCGCAGCTTTCCTCTTGCCAATGTCCCACATTTGCACCCTGTCACTTTCTGCATCCCACGCTCTCACTCTCTGTCCCATAACTAGGTATGAGGAATAGATCGTGATGCCATTGGAAATCGTTACAGAGAAATGTGAACAAGCGCTTTGTATGGTATGCCGCATAGAAAACCTTTTTTCTGAAGAGAATGGAGAAATTTTAATGGGCTAAAAATGAAAGGGCCTTTACCGTAGTCACTGAGTAAAATGGAAACCGACATGGAAAGTGGTCTAAGCTTTGAGGGTGGAAATGTTTCATGGATTAAAAGAGAGACCTGAAGGTCCCTTAAACTATAACGAGCCATGATATAATATCTGTTCACTCATCGAGAGGGTAGAAGAATGGCGAAAGCATTTCTCATTCAACACAACAACAGCAGGCAAAAAAGCCCTCGCTGATTGTTGGCTTATTTCATCGAGCTTGGCAAACACAAATATGGTGGACTCACTGAGGTGAACAGCATCTTTTTAAACGATAACAAGCCTACCAGGCACAGATTTGAGTAATGGAATTAAATAAAAAGTTTCAGGATGCTACAGAGAGACATTGAATCAAACATAATGAACTGCTTTTAGCTTTTTGTGACAATCACAAGTAGTTTCTCGAGTTAGTTTCGGAGTAAACTCACAGGTGGACCAGGTTTTCCTTTAGGCCCCTGCTTGTCCACGGTGTTGCCAGACTCCGAAGAGACCACTGGACATGATTCACACGGTTCTCCCTGAGAAAATAAAGAAACATTAAAAAAAAAAAAAAAAATCAAATCATCATTTACTTGGGTTTTTTATTGTCCCAAAGTTGTATGTATTAGGGTAATTAGCATTAATTACTAAAAACATTTTTGAAACAAAGCTAAAAAAAATACATTGTTAGATGAAAAACTTAAAAATGGTCATTTGAAGCACAAAAAAACTGATAACTAAAACTAAAAACTAAATTAAAGGGAATAACAAATAAATAGTACTATAAATAAAAATGACAAAAACAAAATGATAAAAAAAAATCAACTAAAAAAAAAAAAATATATATATATATATATATATATATACATATCTATATACACACACACATATATATATATATGAAGAGTTCAGATGCAAAAGCCTCTAAATGCCATTTGAAATTTTCTTCTTTAATGATGATTTTTATCAAACTTGTATATTTAAGTTCAGTAATTTCACTTAAATAACAACTAATAGGTAATTATCATCGCCATTTAAGTGAAATTACTGAACTTAAATATACAAGTTTGATAAAAATCATCATTAAAGAAGAAAATTTCAAATGGCATTTAGAGGCTTTTGCATCTGAACTCTTCATATATATATATATATATATATATATATACTATATATATATAAAACTGATTAAAAATATTGATAAACTAGCTTTTTTAATGTTTGATTTTATTTCAGCTAATAATAATAATAATAATAATAATAATTATTATTATTATTATTTTTTATGAAGGGGGGGAAAAATCATATTGGACATTTATGCCCTATGCAAGAAAGAACATAATGGTTTTTAAACATGACATGACTAAAGTGTTATATGGTGAACTGTCCCTTTAAATAGAAAATAAAGCAATAACAAGCAAGAATATTCACTGTGACTTTCTGTGAATTCTGAGCAGAATCAACACGCAATAGCAATTTTCATGCTGAATCTGAAATTGAGACCGCTTTAGCTTACCTTCTCGCCTTTATGTCCCGAAGGACCTCTCGGACCCTGTCAGCAAAACAAAACACGTCATTGGAAGATTAGAACAGCGGAAGCTCATTCAGCTGCAAATGCAAATTATGTGCTGATAGCTGCAGTGGTAATAGAACTAATTATTGTGCTGATGACAGTAAACACATTTTGTCCCGTACAGTGACAGAACAATCAGGATAGTGATAGAAAATCAGGATAATTAGCTCATTCCGACTTAGCAATTCAGCACACACCATCATTTCACATTGACATTTCTCTATAGGTCAAAATAAGAAAAAGAAAATGCACTTACAGGATCTCCAGTCTTTCCGTCTACACCAGGTATCCCAGAATCCCCCTAGACATGTACAGATTGTTTTGTTATTAGCACTTAGGCAATTGGAAGAGACACATTGAGGAAGGAAATGGTACGTTTACATTAAACAGTTAACATCTTCATCACTTTGGGGTCAAAGCAATAAAATGTCCCTGTAGTTCAGTCTCAATAATTAAAGATACTCTGGTAATGGTAAACATACTTTCTCCCCTTTAGATTCTGCAGGTCCACCAGGGGGCCCCTGTGAGAAAAAAAAAAACAAAAAACAAATGTTAAAGTACTGATTATAACGCACACTAGTACGGAGCATATTTTTGTAGAAGTCAAAAGCTGAGTGATGGTGACGTTGATGTCATGTGACCGTGGTGTAGAGCTTTTTGACTTTTGCTGATTTTGTTTACGCTTCAAAATTCATAAAAGTTGTGTTGATTTGTGAAGATTATCACAATGGACATCATAAACGTTTGTTAACAAATTATGGTAACACTTTAGTTAGGGTCCAATTCTCAATATTAACTAGTTGCTTATTAGCATGCATATTGCAAGGATATTGGCTGTTTATTAGTAAAGCATATATTAATGCCTTATTGTGCATGACCTTATTCTACACTCTTGATTAATCCTATCCAATACCTAAACATAATAATGCACTATTAATAAGCAGTAATTAGGAGTTTATTGAGGTAAAAGTCATAGTTAATAGTGTGAATTGGGCCCTAAACTAAGTGTGACCCAAATTAGGTGTTAATTATTACGTTATTCTACGTTAAAGCTACACTGTGTGATTTTTACCCCCATCTAGCGGTGAAAAGGTATATAACCATCCAGGGAATATTAGTTTCTGTTCCTCTCAATTCCGATTTCATTTTAACTCCTACAGTGGTCAATGTTGTCCAAGATTAACATGGCTTCCAGTTCGACCTCGTCCATGAGTGTTAACTCAAACGTAAACGCGAAAGGCGAAGCTTGAATAAACGGGTGTGTCCCTCTTTGGCTAATGTACTTTCAAGATGGAGGGGCAACATGGCGGCCGACATTAGAACCCCTTACCCGTATGTATTTTCAATGGCATATTATACACTCACAAGAATACTGTTATTACTTGAACAAAGTAAATATACATGAATGAGCAAATTTTTGAAACTAAACTAAGTGTTTTAGCTAAGAATAAACTAAAAGAGTTACACAATGTAGCTTTAATTATTAAATTCTATACTACTGTTCAAAAGCTTGGGGTCACTAATATTTTTTAGTTTTTGAAAAAAGTCTCTTATGCTCACCAAAGCTGAATTTATTTGATCAGAAATGCAGTTGACATATTGACTTATTTTTATTTTTATTTTATTACATTTAAATTGTAATTTATTTTACTGTGACGGTCAAGTTGAATTTTCAGCATCATTACTTTCTGTGTCAGAAATCATTCTAATATGCTGGTTTAGTTATTAACGTTGAAAACATTTGTGCTGTATAATGTTCTTGTAAAATGGTGATGCATACAATGGTGATACAGATGCTATTGTGTAAAACAAACGTGTATAAAGTTAAAAAAAATGTAGCAAATTATCATTCAGAAACGTTTAGTAAGAGCCGTGTGTGGTGAGGTTCTGTTTGACTCTCTTCATCGCGACTTTCTCGATCTCATTCTGCCTCAAACTGATACTGCAGTTCGACACAAATTTACATCTGGACCGGAGCTCATGACATGCCAGCGCAGTCTCACCCCAAAAAGTCATACAACTGACGTTTTGGGTCGTCTTTTGACCATACGTCAATATTCGCCTTTTTAGGGCCCCCTTAAACGTCGGTAGATGAGGTTATGGGATCCTAACTCTACAACAGACCTAAACCTAACCCTAAACCTAACCCGTCACCTAACTGACGTTAAAGGTAAAGCGTCAGTTGTATGACGGCCCGGGATCGCCATCTAGCGACGTTTAAGGGGGCCCTAAAAAGGCGAATATTGATGTATGGTCAAAAGACGTCCCAAAATGTCAGTTATATGACTTTTTGGGATGAGAATGTGTTGGACATGCACATTTCGCCCGTAAAGGTAATGGACGCTAATCTTCCGGACAACGTGAGCGACAGTTTAGCCAATCACAACACACTGGGCCAAACTAACCAATCTGAGCCCAGTGCCTGTTTCTGAGGGAGTGGTTTCATAGAATCAGGAAGTCAACCGCTCGTTTGAGGACAGAGGAGAGCGCGGCTGACAATAAAGGTGAAGTTTATGAAAAGTAAGACTTTTAAAAAAAGAAAAACCACGAATACATGTTGTATTGCACCCCATAAATACAATCATGCAAAGAAAAAAAGCAGTCAAACCCCCCCCCCCCCCCCCCCCCCACACACACACACACACTGTTTCTAAATAATGAATATTCCTTACTGGTGGTCCTGGTTTCCCAACTCCGGGCAGTCCAGGAAGGCCCGGGCGTCCTGGTTCTCCTGCAAGCCCTTCCGGACCGACTACACCAGGGGCGCCCTGTGAATTATTCAGAGCTGAGAAACACTGGCTGTGCATAACAAGCACTAAAAATAATGACACCACAAATCTAGTGTTAATTTATAGTATCTCAGAAAACAGTTAAATAAATCCCAATTTGATCAGTCCGTTTTACCTTTTGTCCTTTGGGGCCTACCACACAAATAGGATTAGCTCGACCCTATGACAGGCAACACCAATAAAAGATCATTAGCTTGAGTTCATCTCAAACACTGGCATTAGCAGTATCACACTGCTTACATAACAACCCTCCAACCAAACAAGTCAGCTCACCGATGATTTGAGGCTTAGATAGATAAACAGTTTAAAGGCAAATTCCAAGTATGCATTAGCCGGCTCGGCCATATTCGCCATCCTCTTAGAACATGCTTTGTATACGGAATAGAAAAGATTAAGCATAATACAACCCGACTATCCATTTCAAAGAATCAATGAGGCTGCATTGATTTGTGGCTCTTTGTTGGCTTATGTAATCTATGCAGCATTAAGAAGATTTAACACCCAAAGAGATAGCTAATGAAAAGAAAAGGCAGCAGAGAGTATATGGGTAAGAGCCCAATTCAGGCTTTTCGCTGCCGAGCGCTTTGAATATATGGAGCCACTTTAGAGACTCTTACATCCTTTTAAAATTAAAATATGTGCACAGAGACACAATGTGCACGTGATAGATTACACAATCGTTCATTAATTTTTTGAATACACTCTTGCAGCGAGACATTGAAATATATCAACATGTCTGAAGGACGGCATGTGCATATACAATGTACTTAAAGTCGGGCATAAATAAAGAGCCTGTTTGAGATTCACATCAAATGCTAGTCACTTACATCTTTGCCTGGACTTCCGGCCAGACCTGGGGCTCCCCTTTCTCCTTTCTGTCCTTGGTCCCCCTGAATACATATAAGAGAGAGACAAGACAGACAGAGAGAAATGGAGAGAGAAGTAAGTGGCAAGCTCCAAAACACTCGTTACACGTTATATCAACACGATGCCATCTTCCTTTACCTTCACTCCTATAGCTTCCCCCCAGTTGGCAGCCAGACCCTGAAACGTAAGAGATTGAGAAATGGGTGAATCAATAGCCAGAAATAGTATCAAGATATCCCCTCTGCTTCAGTGAAGCCTGTTGAACAAAAATTCGATCGCCCGCCTCTCTCTAAAAGACAAGGTTGGCACACACACTTACCGACTCGCCCTTCTCTCCTTTCTCCCCTTTAGCACCTTCTAAGCACTAAAACACACAGATACAGCATGTCATCCAAGTAGTTCATTTACATTCCAAACTTCTGAGACCACAAAGAAAATCTGGGATTTGATCATCTAAATTAAAATGGAAAACAATACTAAAATGATATTAAGATAATCTAATTGTACATATATTTTATTTTATATTCTTTAAAGTCCCCGTGAAATCAAAATTGAACCTATTTACTTTGTTAGCGCATATTACTAGTCTTGTGGTGAACAATTAATCCGTGCAAGTAAAAATATATTAAAAAAATGTTTTACCTTAGTAATCTTTAATCAAAATCTGAAAAGTTACTTCCGGTCTGGAACGGTTTCTTTTTCTGATGACGTAGGTTTCACAGTTTGGGTGGGGAAACGCTTAAGCACTCCCCTCAAACCGTTAGTTTACTATGAGCGAGAGATGTAGAGGAGGAGCGCTAGAGTAAAACCCTGCCCTCTGTTCAATATTCCGTTTCACTTGGAAATACGTAACAGCACTGGAGAAAAATCGTTTGTAACTTCCGGTTCACGGGGACTTTAAAAGGCCATTTAGGGCTGTCAAGAGAATACCATTTTTTTTTATGTAGTTAATTACACGATGTCGCCATTTATTTAAGAATTAAGATTTATATATGTTCAAATGGCTGATTCATTCTGGAATGAAGTAAATGGCTCTTTTTATGAATGGCCAGGTTGATTCACTCAAAATGTGGATTAATTCAGAAATTAAACACCTCTGTGTGTTGCTTGAGACGCACAACAGTTCTTCTCTGACTTTTATACGTATTATTTTCATTGACAAAATTGAGCATTTAAATGGGTTTTTAAATATTAACACGTTATTATTTTCCCCATAACTAATTAGCTCAATTTACGTGTTAAATTGATAGTCCTAATATATATATAGGTCTTGACTATATATATATATATATATATATACACAGTATATATATATATATATATATATATATATATATATATATATAGACAAGACAGTTTCCACTAAGGATCTGTCAGTGCCAATGCAAATGCAAAAAACATATTGTATTGACTCACTCGTCCAGGAACTCCAGCACCAGTACAGTCCAAACCCTGTAAGATCAAACATTGTATATGAACAATTTAAGGAACAATATCACACACATATAGAGCAACAGTTTTGCTTTTGTAATGCCTCGTATCAGTCCCCATCTTGTAGACTCTTGATATTGTCTACATTAAGAATTCTTCATTAAATAATTTATATATATATTAACCCTCTGGTGCTGTTCGGTAATTTTTGAAATGTTACGAAATGGTATGGTACAAAACTTGGTAAAGTTTTTGGCACTTTCTGTGTGAACACACACACACACACACACAATTCAAAAAGGTTAAATGGTCCTGAAAAAATAGTCACACTTGTGCCCATTGCGCTCAAAAAACAAATTGGAAACAAACGGGCAACGCATTTCATCTCGAGGAAACATTTGGTATTCTCGCCAAAACAAAATCTTACAGAAGCATTTTTTTTTTTTTTTTTTAGATATCAACCTTAAATTTGAAACACAGATTGTTTAGATGTATGGCTTTGATTTTAGAGTGACAGTTTTAGAGTAAAAAAAAAAAGTTATGGAAAATACATATTTTTAAAATGGTATTTTTGTGCATTTTTCATAAGAATAAATAAAATCTTCACTTTTTAAAACATTTTTTTCACTTCAGCAATACTCTGCCAAGTGTCATCTTTAAAAAGAGACAAAACACAAGTCCAAAGCATTAAAGATTTATGACAGTTTAAGTTGGACATTTCATATTCTCAATAAGTAAATAAATGGATAATAACTACAGCATAAATATAACGTAGTACCATAAAATCCCCTAAAAAAAAAAAAAAAAAAAAAAATCATCAACAATCATTTAGTTGAAGAAAAAGAAAATCTGTCACTTTTTGACCTGTCGCACGAAGAGATGATGCCAGTAATAATGAAAGTTGAGTAGTCCGCCAAGCTGCATCACTGGCACAGAAGCTAGCTTCTAATGAGCCATTAGTATAAAATGCCAAACTAAACAGCGCTGTAATCATTTATTCCCGGGTCTGGACAGAGGACAGATTTTACATACAAACATACTTGCTCAAAGATTGCCATTTCTTACCTGCTCTCCCTTCTCTCCTTTGAGGCCTGACTGACCCTCCTGGATAACCTGCAATATACAATAAAGAATGTACTGCATGTATATAGCACACTTTCATATGAAAAGACCAGGTTAAAAGGACAAGGGCCAAAAGCAACAAAAAAAATAAAAAATAAAAAATAAAAAAAAAATTTAAAAAAAACAGACAAAAAAACTAAACAAACAACATATACAGTGAATGTGTTTACTGTGCCAAGATATAAATGTTGTACATGCAAATATGGAATGGAGCACGTGACGAGGTGGTAAAAGCCCTGGTCAATCATTGAAACTCCAAAAATATCTGGCACTGCACAAAAAAACAAACAAAAAAAAACAAAACAAAAAAAAAAAAACAACCAAAATCTGCCATTTTTCTTCCAAGCAAAATGCATTAAGAACACTACACAGTGCATGTAGCTTTGCAAGTGCATTGGCTGCTCATAAGATTCCTCAAATGTAGCAGAAAGTCTGGCCAACCTTTAAACATTCAAACTTTACAAGCATCCTAAATGTATGCCAGATTTTCAAAAAAGTAAATGCATCTCTTTCCAAAGGCGTGATAACTGCACGCAGGACTCATGCACACTCATGCATGCAAATCCTGCTGCCTATTATACATGCTGCACACGACAAACTGCATGTGAATACCCACACTCGATTCCTCATTGAGCAGTAAACAGCCTGCACACTGGAAACAAAAGAGAAAACCCAGTTGTTCCAATCCATGACCACTTATTTTCTAAAGTATGATTTTTGGATATAGTATTTTTTCGCTCCACTCTAATCCAGCTTTGCCTTTGACTTTATAACATATGTTGGCCTGCGGGTGGCAGTGCAACATAATGTTAATCGGCATGGGAGCGCAGAATCGTGAGCGTGCGCACGAGGAGCTCGACTGCGTGTCATTTTAGCTTGACTTGGTTCTCTCACGGGAGACATAGATCAATAAGAACAGAAGACTATTCACGGCAATGTTCACCAAAGCCAGCTGCACAGTTATAAGGGAGGGGGGCACCCAAAGTGAAATACTAAAAAATAACTAGTTTTAAGTGGGGGAGGAGCACAATTAAAACTAAATCTACTACCCGTGGACTTCTGCTCAGACAACAGGCGGTTAACACGCATTGATGTGGTGATGTAAGAGAGAAGGTGTGTCTCTTTGAGAACGGTTGGCTGACACCGATTCATTCTTTCCAGAAGTGCACACAGAAGAAAGCAACATGATGAAAATCAACTCCTTGAGATTTGCACGCGCTTGCTCTGTTCACATGAATCAATGGATTTATATGCAAGCCTACTGAGAGTTTGTGTGTCTGGCCAATTGTGAGCTCATTGCTATAGGCTAGAGGGAAATTCTGGGTTGGTTCAATACAAGTTAAGCTCAATCAGGAGCATTCGTGGCATAATATTGATCATCACAAAATGTAATTTCAACTTGTCCTTTCTTTTCTGTAAAAAAGCGCTAAAATCTGGGTTATAGCAGATTTAGCATGGAGGTAAATGGGGCCATCCTGTTAACGCTGAAATATTTAGCCACAAAATGCAAAAAAAAAAAAAGGTTGCGTTAAAGGGATAGTTCACTTTGAAAATAAATCTTTAATATGTTTTAGCTTACCTCAAGGGCATCCAAGATGTAGGTGTCTTTGTTTCCACAGTATTTTCAATTTTTGATCAAACCGTGTAATGGAGACCTATGGGGTCCACCTCAAAGAGCATGCACAGAGAAGTCCAAATTAAACATGATTTAATGACTTGTAAATGTGAGAACACATTGATGGCCTAAGACATGAAACAAGCGGTTTGTGTGAGAAAACGAAAAGTATTTATATCGTTTTTACCTCTTGTAACCACAGCTACGTCCAAGTACTCTGAGAGCGCGAGCGCTTCTATCTGCTCAAGTGCCGGCAAGCCCCGGAAATGATCTCTCAAGCGTGTACGTCACTCATTGTTTACACAGAGATTTCAGAAGTGTTGCCCTTCACTGTGAAGATCTAAACATTTTTAAATGTACAGGAAATTGCAATGGAAGACGATTTCGATATATCAACAGACAACATAGATTTTTTTTCCCGCAACCGCGGAAGAGATCACTTCGGGCTCTTTCTGGCGCTTGCCCGGAATGAAGTGCCCATGCCTTCAGATCACTTGGATGTGGCTGTGATTAAGAGGTAAAAACCATATGAATACTGTTCATTTTCTCACACAAACCGCTCGTTTTATGTCTTAGGCCATCAATGAGTACATTTACGAGTTATTAAATCATGTTTAATTTGGACTTCTCTGTGCATGCTCTTTGAGGTGAACCCAGGGTGGACCCCATATACCTCCATTATATGACTGACAGACAAGAACGGTTTGACCTAAAAATATCAAAATTGAAAATACTTTGGAAATAAAGACACCTACATCTTGGATGCCCTTAAGGTAAGCTAAAACATATCAAAAATTAATTTCAAAGTGAACTATCCCTTTAATAATAATTCATTAATGGGGGAGGGGGGGTTACATACTTAATTAAAATGACATTTTGACATTAAAATGAAATTATGACATCATGACATTTTTTTTCAATCTTAATTAAAATATTATGTATTATTCTTTTACCTCCAGGTTGCTATGGTCACGCACGTAAGGTTGTTTATGTATTTAACTTGTGGCCACAAGAAATCGATTTCATTCCCTCAACATATTAAGTTGTGGCCACTTCTTATTATCACGTTCCCGAAAGTTAATATGACATTCCCATTAATGAATATCTCGCGGCCATGATGACATGTCACGTTCCCACAAGTTTATATTTTATGGCCACGACAAAACTAAGTGAACCTCCCAGTCACCATGCTATTTAACTAAGGCCTGATCCTGGCTTAATGTAAACCCTGTCTGTGAAACTAGGCCTGTTACTCCAAAAATTGTGTTTACTTTCATTGTAGGTTTCGATTTGTGCTAGATAATTTTTTTTTTTTTTTTTTACATATTCATAGTTAGTAGGGTAATGTTTCAGTTAGTTGTCAAGGCAATTTTTCTAAAAGTAAAAAAAAAAAGTATGTTAAAAAAATATATATATCTTATAGTTTATTTTATTTAACAATAGAACTGATACACAATAATTTGGGACAGGGCCATTGACCCATTGTTTAGCTCTGTGAATCCAACACATTCTCACTTCAAGGCGTCACCTTTGACCATGCTTCAATATTTGACGTTTTAGGCGCCCTTTTTTAGGCGATCCTACGGCGTCATCTAACTGACGCTAAAGGAAAGCGTCAGTTAGAGGACGCGGTTAGGTTTAGGTATGGGGTGGGGGTAGGGTACACGCGATCCTAGGGCGTCATCTAACTGACGCTAAAGGGTGCCTAAAGCGTCAGATATTGAAGCATGGTCAAATGCTTCCCAAGGCGTCAGTTAGGTGGGAGTGAGAATGGGCTGGTGAATCATACCAAAACCACAAATACCACTTGCTGCATCCCACTCAAATACTGGCATTTTCAGGCTTTGCATTTTATTTGAAAGCAGGTAATACCTTTTCTCTATGAGTCATAAACTATGAGTGTTGAGTGGGTGAGGGAAGGTGACAAATTAACAGGAGTTCCGTTTAAGAAATATGGGTGGTAATCTCGTATTGTGCCAGAGAAGCACATTTACCAAGCAAAAGTCTCTCTGTATCCAGTTGGTTTATTATCACACAATATGACCTGTTATCATGAGCAAATTATCAGGGTCAGTGTCAGTGTTCTTCCCACTGAAACTCAGCAGGCAGCAAATTACTTACCAATTAAACTGAATTTCTAGCTATTGGGTGGAATCTGCTGGGACCGCACTCCTTTATGTCAGGTTTGGAGCATCATAATTGGGATAGTCTGTTGTTATTCATGGCAAGTATAGCCACAAATCATTTTTCGTTAGACTTAATTCAAATAACTTACTTTTTCCGCCAGTTCCTTGGATCCGAGGATTGCCTGTAGAACATAAAAACAAAGGAACGGACAAAAAAGGTCAGATTTCTAAAACACAATGGCAGTCCTCATAACCAATATAGAATCGCTTAGCTAACCCTAACCCTAACCCTAACCCTACACCTAACCTAACCCTAAACTAGTAAAATAAAATAAAAATCAACTATGTAATTTTTGAATTAATTTTATGAGAGAGAGGTTTTTTTTGTTTTGTTTTTTTTTTTTTTCCACACCATTTGGTGTAGGCCTACAGGTCAAACTAAAATGTTGGTATTCAACTTTGCATTTTAAAAATACAACGACCGTTCATTTTTCGTTTTGCAATTACGGGTTAAATAAGGGAAAACAAATACAAGTACACTGCCGTTTGGACATAATACGAGACAGAGTTCTTTATTCAATTCATAAAAGAAACAATAATTACAAGAATAGCCGATTGGACTCTAAACCTCAAAGAAATGCCACAATCAAGACCTGAAATGAGGGAGAAACACCCAGGACCTCCATGTCTTTCCCTGGCTCTAATGCTTGGATAACACACCACATCTCCTTCCATAAATAATAATGTCTACTGCGGTGCGGTGGCTGTGATATAGCCTACCTACCAACGTCCATTGCCATGATTTTTTGAATGACTTATCTAACACAGTCTCATCCCAAAAAGTCATATAACTGACGTTTTGGGACGTATTTTGACCATACGTCAATATCCGCCTTTTTAGGGCCCCCTTAAACGTCGGTAGATGGCGATCCCGGGCCGTCATACAACTGACGCTTTACCTTTAACGTCAGTTAGGTGACGGGTTAGGTTTAGGGTTAAGTTTAGGTATGGGGTAGAGTTAGGATCCCATAACCTCATCTACCGACGTTTAAGGGGGCCCTAAAAAGGCGAATATTGACGTATGGTCAAAAGACGTCCCAAAACGTCAGTTATATGACGTCTTGGGATGAGACCGGGTTGACTTATCGCGAGAGGAAAAAAAATAAGTTTTGGTCGCATAACATTGGTTAATGAAAACACCATCATTTCGCAATAGTTTTTTATCGATATTTAGAAAATATCGCAAAAGTTTTGCGCAAATCTGTAATGAAAACGCACCTAATGTGAGGCATCACATCAAGTGCCCAGTTAGTCTCAGACTAAACTGCATGTTTAAGCTGTCTTAACTGAGAGCAACTTGCACTGACATATCTTAAAATATGTCTCAAGATGCATCTTGTCTCAAGATGCACATCAGTAATGTTTTTATTTTTCTTTCTAAATCATGTTCATAAAAGCTACTTGAATGTCTTCATTAAACAAAGGCATATTCCTGACTTAATTTAACTTAATCCCCGTCTATATATTTTGTTATCGCATTGCAGTATAAAGAGAGATCACATAATCGCAGATTTTTAGGAGGTACTGAGGTGAAGCCCTCTAAATAGGATCTAGAAATGCCTATGTGCGTAATACACCTTCACTCACTCCTTATTCTTATCTTACAAGGCTCTGCTGACCTGATGTTGGCACACTCAAGTGTTTGCTTAATATAGATCTGTTTGTATTGTCATATTCATTCTACGGTGAGTTTTGGCAGTATGTTCAACAGTGAATGAGACTCTTTTGAAAGAGAGCAAATGGGGAGGAGAATTGGCAGGAAAAGAGAGGGGGAAGTGCATTGAGGAGGGACATGATTTGACAGAGAACATCAGCAACAGACAGAAAAACAAAAGATGTGTTTGTGGAGCACATGTGAAAGTAAATCCTTGAGTCATGTCCGAGCAGAGAAAGCAAACATAGCATAGGGACGGCTGATCAGACTGAATAGGCATGGAAAAGAAAAATCAAGGAAGAAAAGTGCTCAGTACCTAATCTCCAGTCAAACCCTGAGATCCAGATTAGAATTTGCTGACAGTGCATACATGCATGCAAACATGAAAAAACAGGGTTCTGAAGAGAACACAAAATGGACATGGTGTCCATATAGCTACAAGCTTTGCACAGGATGGAAGAGGATTATGATGACCTGTTCAAAAAGCCAGAGTGGAATGAGCGCATGAATAATGCAGGGAACTTTGTTTAGCTGCAAACGTGCACGTCTCAGCTCATGAATTTCTCCCTGACGGTGAGCTCAAAAGAAAAAGAAAGCAATGACGGAGGAATGCTGTGATTTTAAGGGACTTTAATGCGGGGTGGATTGAGGATCTGCGTAGGAGGAAGGGGTTAATGCAGAAGTAGGCTAATGCTAACAGCTTCCAACACAGCCTGGAACTCATTACAGTCCGTCATAAAACACAGACTGCTATGCTACAAGGCAGTAACCTGGGTCAGAGGAAAACATGGGAGCATGTTTGAATTTTTTTTTTTTTTTTAAGAAAAAAGGCTGGAAGTATGTGTGCTGAGCTTAAGCTCACAGCTGTGATGCTGTCTGGTTAAGATTGTATATGGAAAAATTCCTCAAATGAACACACACACACCATAATTTGTGCATGATCTCATGCACACGTAGGCAAAACATGGCAGTAATGCAACTGCAAATGTATTGAACTAACATTTTCTTTTAAGTGTTCATAATTATGCTGTAATTAATGATTAACTGAACACAAATGCATATTAACCATTATCTAACAAACCAGTAATCAATAATTAAAGGTGTAGTTCACCCTAAAGTGAAAATTAAGCCATCATTAACTCACCCTTGGCATTGTTCTAATGCCGTACACACCTTTAATAATATTCATTTTAGGGTGAACTATCCCTTTAACTGAACATGTATTAAGGGCATATTATTATTTAGAACTTATCTAAACATTTTAAGGATTAATAAGACAATAATTAATGGTTAACTGAATGTACGGTAAATGCATTTTAGGGTTACACTTTATTTATAGTCCACTTAAGAGTCTACTAGCTGTAACTTTGCAACTTCATGTCAACTGATAGACTGTGAGGTTATGGTTGGGTTTATGGTTATTAGAATAGGTTGACATGAACTTCCAAAGTTACTTATAGTGCAAGATGGTAAGATATTATAATAACGAGACATTTTAAGATGTTTTCTTTTCTTATAGAATTATTTGAACTTTTCTTGCTGAATTTTTTTAAGATTAATCCTTGTTAGATTTGTGCTTAAACAAGATAAATTTGTGTTACGGGTTCAAGAAAAATAAACTTCATTCAACATGTAATTTGTAACGATAGTGTATTTGGCCAGCAAAAGGATAGTCCATCAAAATTATGTAATTGCTATAAATCATAAAACAAAAAAAAAACAAAAAAACTAATTTAGAAAATGATTCCTGCAGTGTGTAAAACTGAGCCATGCTGTCTAAATTCAGACAATTACTCAATCTGGCATGATAATACATTAATTTGTTAGTACTGTTAACATGGGATTAAATTAGTAAATACTGAGACAGGAAGTGGCATGAAAACATATGAATTGATACACCTAATGTGTACCAATGGAGCTAAGTCCTCTGTCACTAATATATGGCAGCAGAGATAAAGAGTGTTTACACCACAAGACCAAACTATTTATATCATTTCCACCTTAAATGTTCTACAGTTCTTGTGACTCATTGTTTTTCCTCACACAATAAAAACCTCAAAAAGTTGATGTATGTGCAACTGTGTGTGTGGATGTAACAAGTTGCTTTGAGTGTGTTTGGCTCTAATACAGAGCCCTCTGGATGTAATTATGTTGCATGTGTGAGTGTATATGAAACAATACACGTGGCAAGCAGAGAAGATGTGTGACCAGTTGGAGACCAGCTGAAGTGAATTCACCAACCAGCTTTTTTATTAGCTCTGCTAATGATCATGACTCACTGCTGCCAGGAGAAACAACAAGAGCAGCCCACACTAACACCACTGAGAAACTGCTGATGAATCTTTTTTTTTTTCCAAGGGAAATAGCATCCAAATCCCTGGTCTGAGAAGAAGTTATTGTTATCTGGAAGATTGAACTAAGGTTATTCCGGGAGAAGGTAGAGACACAGAAAAGTAGAATGATGCGATGGGGTCAGTGAAATTGTGTGTACTCATTGCAATAGATGCACACTTCAGCTCTACGCCATGCAACTTTGGTATTTTGTTCATCCAAAAACTCCATCATTTACTCACCCCATATTCCTCCAAACCAACATAATTGTTATTTATCCATGGATTTTCCATGGTTTGAGAAAGAATGTTCTAATATTATGGCTGCCTATATTATTAGCCAAACGTTTGTCGATGAGAAGAGGCTTAGTAGGTCAAATTGTTTGATATGCAAAAATACATATATTAAAATGTTTTAAAACCCCCGCTCGAAGGGGGTCTCACCCTGGGTGTAATTCAGAGTAGAACCGCCACTGACCGATGTTTCATTAGACCAAAGGTTCATTGTTCGCCGGTGTTCTCTTTTAAGTTTCAGGAAACGCCAAATTGTTGAACTTTGTTGGTATCAACTAAACCTGCGACCATAAAATGCTTTTTGGAAACGCACCCCACATCATTTACACAGCTACTCCATGTGGTAATTACAGTGTGTCAGGTAGAAAATTCAAACGTTTGTCTAGCATCCATTGATCTCAAACATGGCTTGTTTGAAACTTGTACTGTAAGTAGTATCCTAACATTAGCCACTTTACATGGGCACTCATGTTAAAGTTAACCAAGACAAATGTGCAAATTATTAGATGTGCAATATATCCAAGTGTTGATGTGGAGTGTGGAAGCTAAATTAGTTAAGCACTTAGTGCATGACATGTTTAACTTAAAGTTCTTTTTTTCTATATAGGTGCATCATGATCCACTGTACTGTGGAGATGAGACGGCATCGTCAACTTCATCTTTGCAGCTGACACGGAGTTTACTATTAAATTTTTAAAATGTTCAGAAAGTCTCTTTTCTGTTTTTTTTTTGTTTTGTTTTTTTTTCCTGACACATTCATACTCATTACTTTTGCCAGCGGGCTTTAGCAAGCTCTTGATTTTAAGCGCTTGGAAGCTTCTTTATGGTTTAGTAATTCTCTGTAATGTAGAAACATGTTATAAATGTTACTGAGACTCAAACCATTTTCCGAAAAAATATATATTTAATAAATTAAATTAATATCATAAACGTGCAACTAGCTGACTAATGGCTTAAATGAACGACTAGAATATAGTCAACTAGAAAAATCGGTAACACATTACTTGAAGGGGTGTGCATAAGACTGACATGACACCTTCATAACCATGACATATGTCTTGAATATGAAGTAAGGTTTATGCATGTTTATGACAACTGTCATTAAAGGGTTAGTTCACCCAAAAATGAAAATTAAGTCATTAATGACTCACCCCCATGCTGTACCAACCCCGTAAGACCTTCGTTCGTCTTCGGAACACAAATGAAGATATTTTTGATTAAATTTGAGAGCTGTATAACTACCACATTGGCTCCTAAAGGACTGCCTCTTGACGGCCCAGAAAGTCAATGAAGAAAATGTTTAAATATCCCAAGTGACTACCGTGGCTCAACTATATGTTTATCAAGCGACGCGAATACTTTTTGTGCGAAAAAAAAAACAAAAATAACGAGTTTATTCGACTATTTCTTTTCTTCCTTGTAGGCCAGAACGAGACTTCCTTAGATTTCCACGACGCATGTGCGAGATTTGCGATCTGCTCACACCAGCTTACACCACTTCAGATCGCAATTCTCGCGCATGCGTCGTGGAAATCTAAGGAAGTCTCGTTCTGGCCTACAAGGAAGAAAAGAAATAGTCGAATAAACTCGTTATTTTTGTTTTTTTTTTTCGCACAAAAAGTATTCGCGTCGCTTGATAAACATATAGTTGAGCCACGGTAGTCACTTGGGATATTTAAACATTTTCTTCATTGACTTTCTGGGCCGTCAAGAGGCAGTCCTTTAGGAGCCAATGTGGTAGTTATACAGCTCTCAAATTTAATCAAAAATATCTTTATTTGTGTTCCGAAGACGAACGAAGGTCTTACGGGGTTGGTACAGCATGGGGGTGAGTAATTAATGACTTAATTTTCATTTTTGGGTGAACTAACCCTTTAAGTATCTTTCGCTCAATAATGACATTTTGAATGCAAATATGATATTGTTTAAGATGTCTTTATGACATCTTGACATAAACCAATACATCAGTCAGTGTCTTTGTCATGACAACTTGATATAAAATTAAAGTTACACTGTCATGTGGTTGGCTTGTCGTGAGGCCATTATAAATAAACCACATTATAAACTACAGTGGTACACAGTGAATTTGTCATTAAAAAGTTATAATGGCTTCATGACAGCCAATGTCAAAACCAACCACCAAACAGTTTAATGTAATGTTAACCAATAAAGCTAGGTGCTTTCTTAAGTTTGATAATTAATCTGCTACGTCATTTTTATGACAGGTTGTGTTGTCTTAGAAATGTCAAGTTGTCATGACAAAGACACTGACAGGTTATGATGTATTGGTTTATGTCAAGGTGTCATAACATCTCAAACAATGTCATATTTGCATTAAAAATGTCATAACTGAGCAAATGACACTTAATGACAGTTGTCATAAACGTGTATAAAACCTCTTTCATATTTATAACATATGTCATGATAAGATTATGAAGGTGTCATGTTAGTCTTATGCACACCCCTTCAAGTAAAGCGTTACCGAAAAATCTTTAGTCGGGGGCAGCCCAATAATAATGTAATAGTACATTTTTAAATTAATCAATAATTAGGCCTATATTAATTATTCAAATGTGATTCCTTGCTTACAAAGCCTGAAAATAAATTATACATTTTAATATGAAAAAGTAAAATAAAACAAAAAATATTTACGTGCAGTGAGAAGAGATGAGGGCCAACAATTCATTAAACATGCACAATTAACCCTAAAAATGAGAAAGAAAGCACAAGAATGACAACAAGTAGATGCAGGAGCAAATGTGCACATACCAGGACCGGAGGAACAAGAATAAAATAAATAAATAAATAAATAAATAAATAAATACAAGAGCGGTGGAAGCAGAAAATGCTTGATTTCAACACTGCTAAAGCCCACTGGGCATTGTTCACAAGAATTTACGTTCATACCAGTTTCTGCAGAAGAGCTCATTCAACTGCCTGCTAGTGGGATGCTTAATGGCCACTAACTGTGTCATTTTTATGTCGAATATCAGGATGAGAAATATTTATCAGCCTACATCACATCACATCTCATCTCTTCATCTATTTATGTGCTGTAATGCTGCTGGGTTAAACCATTCATGTGTTCTAACAGGGGAAATGTGAGAAAAACTCAACTGGATGCTGCACATTAGTATATTATTAGCATATTATTAACATATTTGCCTAAAGGGTACACCTATTATAGGAAGATCACCTCTCTGGGCTTTAGGAGCATACACACAGGATTTGTTCTGTTTGCACCACTTTTAATTGTTGTTTTAATATGAACAAATGCATTTGATGGACGTCTTTGGTCAGTGTGTATCTGTGCTGCATTTTGAAATAGTGTTGAATAAAAAAAAACAAAAAAAAAACAAAAAAAAATCAGTTTAAAAAAAAAAAAAACATCTCGAGGCCTCTTCAACATATTCCATTCTTGTTACTTATGAATGCATCCTGTTTGTACGCCCCCTTAATAGCTCCCACTGAGAGCAAGTACATGTGTCTTCAAACCCTTCCAACCATCTCAAGATCAGGATCCCACGTTCTAAAACTAACAAACCCCTCTCTTAATTTCTGTAAGATCTATTCATTAGAGGCCCTTGCACACTTTCACTGGCTAATTTTCAAGTGCAGCATCAGGAGATCGTGTTGCAAACGAATGAGTTTATGTGCTGTATCTCAATAATTGCATCTCTACAACCCGTTTTTGGTTAAACAGGTTCAAATTGCACAAGATTTTTTACAATTTAACACTACCTGAGAGAAGGGATTGGGCACAAACTCCACTTGGTTCTCTGCAGCTCGTCGACTCTTGGGAGCATCTGGTGGGCACTATGGAAGCACAAAGGACACATGTCAAACCAATTTGATCATTGATGATACTGTTAAAGTCCCCTTATTATGCTTTTTCAGATATTACCTTTCACATAGTGAGTAATAGTTGTTTCTGAATGTAAAATGTGGCATGATAAACAAGCGATTCTGAACTGAAACAAGTCGTCAGTAATTCCAGTCTAACTTCATGCATGAACCTACGTAGGTTTGTAATAAATTTGCATAATGCAAGTCTGTTGAGAAGACGCTGTTTTCTGTGCTGCAAATGCAAATCCACTTAAAGGGATAGTTCACCCAAAAATGAAAATTAAGTAATTAATTACTCTCCCCCATGCTGTACCAACCCCGTAAGACCTTCATTCATCTTCGGAAAAGAAATGAAGATATTTTTAATTAAATTTGTTAATTTAGTATTATTTGTCAATTTATACTTCTGCGTCAAGGGTATGCCGTAGTGCATGGCGTAGGCTACGCACGTAGGCAATGCCATCGTGAGCATTTATACTTCTGCGTTCAGGTCTTGGTTGCTCTGCAGTATGCAGTACTGCTCCGAAACGCTAGTTGGCGGCAGAGGGATTTTATGTTCCACTGTGTTTGGATACCTCGCGGCTAGGTTACTACAAGCAATGGCGACTAAAAGAGAGCGGATCATGTTGGAGTTGGAGCTTATTGGGGTGGAAAAACTGTTAATTTTAGTGAAATTACTTAAACTAAAAGGTAGAAATGAGAGAAGACGTCGGAGGAGACGCTACGTGTGGAAATGCGTGAGATGGTATGTGCGGAAATGCGTAGGAGGAAATGCGATGCTACCAAGCGGACCAATCACAGATCTTGCGGTCCGCGTTGTCACGACGTGTAGTTCCATTTTTGAGGAGGTGCACGTCAGGCTACGGCAAAGCGTACGCGATATGGTACGCGTCTGTGCGAAGTATAAATTGGCCTAAAGGGACTGGAACTTGACGGCCCAGAAAGTCATTTAAGAAAATGTTTTAATATTCCATGCAACTACAGTGGCTCAACTATAAGTTTATCAAGCGACGAGACTACTTTTTGTGCGTAAAAACAAACAAAAAAACAACTTTATTCGACTATTATTTTTCTTCCTTGTAGACCTGAGACGAGAGTTCAAGAGATTTCCACGACGCATGCGCGAGAATTGAACAATAAGTAGTAGAAGAAGAACACAGTTCTCACGCATGCGTCGTGAAAATCTCTTGAACTCTCGTCTCAAGCGTACAAGAAAAGGAATAGTCGAATAAAGTCGTTATTTTTTGGGGGGTCTTTCGCACAAAAGTATTCTCGTCGCTTGATAAACTTTTGGTTGAGCCACTGTAGTCGCATGGAATTTAAAAAAATTTTCTATTCAAGTTTTGATCACTTTAGGTAGCTTATGTAGCAGTGATCCACCTCTCAAATTGAATCAAAAACATCTTCATTTGTGTTCTGAAGATGAACCAAGGTCTTACGGAGTTGGTACAGCATGGGGGTGAGTAATTAATGTGTTAATTTTCATTTTTGGGTGAACTATCCCTTTAACATGCACTTCCAAAGGATATGAGATGGTAAACCTATCGCCATCATTACTGTTCATATCACGGTGTATACAAGTGATATTTCTGACACACGCTGTAAGCGGTAGACCAAAGACCATCTGACCAATCAGAGCAGAGTAGACTTTCAGGAAGGAGGGGTTTAGAGAGACCGAATCATTTATCAAAACATTTCAGACACTGTGAGAAAAGAAGTGATACTGCAATGTATATTATGAGAAAATGAATGTGTTTTTACTACCTTGGATACATGTAAACCTATTGTAGGAGACCTCCAAAACAAAATTAAATAAAATAGTAAAGGGGGCACTTTAAATAAAACTATTTCATCAACTGAAATAAACTTCTAATCAATTAGAAATGTTACTTAACTAAATGCCTGAAATAAGTTTAGGTTGAAACACTAAAATTATGACACGGTTATAAAGCTAAATAGCTTATATTAAAAACACTAACACTTGCTTTAAACTAAACTAAATTTGATAAAACTTAAAATTCAAATATAAACTGCAAAAATAAAATCTACTTCAAAATATGTATAAATACCATAATAGTACATAAATAACATTAGATTTCATGTACTGTAAATCAAAACTCTTTTTCATGCACACTTCTTGGCATTGATACTTTGAACCAATATGGTCTTTCAAGACATCTGCGACCTAAGACATCATTTCCTCTGCGTCTCAAAGATGTAATCGCTCCTCTGCTTTTAAAAAGCAATGTTAGAGCACATGCTTTTGGGGGAAATATTTGCCCTTGTTTCCATTTTAAACACTGCTTGCAGGGAGCTTTGAGCATTCGCCTCAAAACAACAAGAGCACAAAGAACTTTGTTGGCTCACATTCACATCAGAAACCTTCATGTTTCAGTCACATAGATTTAATTCACATCTTACCTCACAAACTGGCAGGTAACATGTAATGGGACTAATCACAGAGTCATCTTTTCAGACTAAAAAATGGTCTATCTGGCATGCAACTAATGATATCTAATAGTTCTCGGCTGTGAAATGTCCTCTGATCCAAAATTGTAGCAAATTCAAAATACCAGCTCAGAGTTGGCTGTACCCATTCCCATGTGCACTTCCTTTGTCAAATAAGTTTCACAGGTGACATTTCCTGATGTCTACCTTCTTTACTATTCAGATGCTTTTCATACAGGCTGAAGTTATCTGCAAATGTGACGCATTCCTGTGAGCCTTTTTGATTCAGCAAGTCTTGCCAAAGCTCTGATCAATTCAGTGAGGAGAAACGCACCAAATTCCAAATCCTCAAATAAAGAAGCACTCCCACATCGATGACTCAGGCGCTGTTCCTCCACCACAGCCGTCCCGATGGAAGCTGAGCCGCTGCTGGAGCTTGATCCATCAACTATAACTACAACACTGATTTTTTGACAGAAAGAACGCATCCATTCCCTTAGCAAAACACAAGCTTTGCCTCCGCTGTGATCATTGAAAACATGTGCAAGTGTTTCATCAGCTTGGGTGAAATATTACTTTACAATGCTGGAAAAAAAAACCTTTTTTGACATTTTTTTTTTATATATAAATATTTTACCTACATATACTTGGTCTGTGTACTATAATCATCCAATGGTTTAATGTCCATGCATGAGATCATACTCTATTAGGACTTACACTGGATGCAAATTGGTTCATATTCAGAGAAGCAGTCCCAACCCCAAAAGAAAATACAAAACAAAACATATTTGTCTCTTATTTTCACTGTTACAATTGGTTACACTATATTTTAAGATGTCCTTGTTACTGTGTAATTATATATTTAAGTATTGAGTAAAATTAATTAAATGGATGTAGTGTTAGGGTTAGGATTAGGTTTGGTTTGGGGTTAGTTGCATGTATTCAGGGCTTTTTTTTTTTTTTGTTCACCAGCTACTGTGGTTAGTGATTTAATTCAAATGAAAGCATTGCATTAACAATAAAAGCTTTTTAACCTTTCTAAAGAGAGTGCCTTGGAGTTTCTTGATTTTTTGCTACATATGATTATCCCATCCAAAGAGCCCCTCAAGCAAACATTTGAGACAACAAATGTTTTAGGGCTGTCACTTATTTTTGTTATCGAGTAATCAAAAAGATCGGATTATTCACGATAATCGACTATGTAGGAATACAAATTTACAATAGCCTACATATTTGATAAAGTATATAGTAAAAGCTGAATTTCAGCCATTAAACTAACAGAAAAAACTAAACTATTATAGCAATTATTTATATTTTTAAATAGCTTTTATTTGAACATTTTCAGAAATTTTAGCGATTGTGTTATGTGCATTTGATATTATTATTAGTTTCGTATTTTATTTCCATTTAGGTTTTTTATTTTTATTTTAGTAATTCTAGTACTTCAAAAAACTTATTTTAGTAAACTGCCAAGGCAATAATTCTCTATTTTGTTTATGTAATATTCTAATAATCTAATATTTATATTTAATTTTGTTTAAGCTTCATTTTAATTAACATTTAAACAAATCTATCTATTCTATCAAATTAATCTAATCAAACAACTTAAATCAATGGTTTAGCTAGTTTTTTTGGGAAAACAAAATGTGGACAAACATTAATTGAGCCTTGACGTATCCTTTAAGACAAATTAAGACAAATTAAATGTTGATAATATGAAAATGGCCAAGTAACTCCCTTTTTCTACTGTACAAAATCTACATTACCAAAAACAGCCTTGGATAACATTTTCTATTTCTTTGTCCATTCAATAAACATTATCCAGACAAGTGTTGTTTTTGTTTTGTACATCTCATTTAAAACTGGAATAATGCTATCTATATAACAGTATACAAAGCCATTTAAAAGCCCACAACTGCCAACCACTAATAGAAATGACCTCACCACACCAAATATATTTGATATTATGCTTAATATCATGTATAAGAGCATTTTATAAAGTTTTAACAGACTTTATTACCCGAGCTCCAGGTATCTCGCAGCAGGCCTCCTGGATCGCCAAAGAGGGGTCACAATACACCATCACTTGCTGAACATCAATCTGAAGAAAGAGAATAAGAGAATGCATATTAAAAGCAGACCAAGAACAGACATAATTAGCCTTTTAAATGCTGGACCCCCCCTGCTTTACATATGACCATTTACATGATCATTTCGCTAAGTGGTTGGATTAACAAACGAATTAATTAGTAATGGATGAAGCTCGTTTAGGCTACCACGGGCTGTTCTTTTCATCTTTTTCGAGCTGAGTGAGCTCAGTAGTGTTAGCCCTGAAGAGAAGCGCCTGTAGTCTTCCTGTCTCTCACTTCCCCTGCAGACAGGACGCCTAAGGCAAAACCTGCGGGAAGCCGGCTTATAGGAAACTTCTACTTCCGACTACTCTATTAGCATTGTAGCGCTTAATTAACAGAGGAGCTGGAAGATTCTGCAGTCATTCATCTAATTGACATCCTTGTACGCTAAGCCTTCCAAAAAAGGCTTACAACATACCAGAGGTCCTCACCTCCACAGGGGAAGCATCAGTAGCCCTCATACCCAACAGCGTGTGTCCATTGATGGGCAATTGGCCACGGAGCTCCAGAGGCTTGTTCTCGATGGAGCTGCAGTCCACGTGCAAGGAGGCCGCGTTACTCTGCAGGCTCAGAGCAACCTTGTGCCAGCGCATGTCCATCAGGGATTCCACACCATCACCTTCGAACACGCATCCCACCATGGACCCTTCGGGGTCAGCCCCTCTCGCCCGCAGGGCCAGGTTGCCATCTGGACCATTCCAGTCCAGTGAGAACTAAAGAAGTGTGATAAATAGGGAAAAAAGAGTGTTTGTAAAATGTGATTTTGTTGAAGCTGCAGTACAGGGTCCAAATGTAGCTTTTCCCCCATATGTTTATTGGTCATTAATGTTTCTTTGAGTCATGTTTTTCATTGTTTCATAACAATACACTACCGTTCAAAAGTTTGGGGTCAGTATGAATTCAGTTTTAAATAAATGCTGTTCATTTGTACTTTCTATTCATCACAAAATCCTGAAAAAAAAAAAAAAACAATGCATCGCGGTTTCTACAAATATATTAAGCCCCACAACTATTTTCAGCATTGATAATAAGAAATGTTTCTTGATCAGCAAAAAAGCAAATTATAATGATTTCTGAAGGATCATGTGACACTGAAAACATGAAAAAAAAAAGCTTTCCCATTACAGGACTAAATTTGAAAATAGAATCAAATAGAATTTTTTAATGCCATTACGGTTTTTACTGAAGATATGCTCATTTTAAGATTAAGTTGCCTGTCTTAAGATGACTTTATCTTTATATATATATATATATATATATATATATATATATATAAATGTTAGGGATATCAACGATTAATCGATTCATTGTTGATCGACTAATTGTCGATAATACATTTAATCAATAAAACGATTAAGCAGGATCATGGCCGTGCGTGTTGCTCAACCGCAAAACATGTCCCACTGAATGACACACCGGAATGACACACACCGGAGTCGTTTAGGACTATTTTACACTTTCATCATGACTATAAGTTTGCGTGTGCATTCGCACCCTTTTATTTTGTGCAAATGTAAGTTGAAATAGTTTATTTTGTGTATGCCTATCTACTGTATATCTGATTTATCTCATATTGGATGCATTTGGTTAAGAATTGACGTGCAATGCACAACTAATAATGACTTTTGGAACTGTCATATTACACAAGAGAACAATATTGAAATAAAACATTGTGAATTATTTGGGTTTAGATGCCATAAATCACATCAAAACATTTTACAATTTTACTAACCCTTTATTTAGATTAAAAACCATTCTTATTAATTTGGTGAGGAACATAGCTTTTTGAGCAGCATTTGCAGTAATGCTAACGACTAATCAATTAATTGATCGTTAAACGACGATCGATCATGGGAATTTGTGAAAATTGACATCCCTAATTTTTGTACTTAACTTTAACGTCTTTTATTTATGTGCCAAAGCCAAATTTCTCACAAAAAATACAATAACTCAAAACAGAGGTTGTTTTTTTAACATAGTGTTAGTTTCTTGCTGTAGCATAATAATCAAGCACTAGCTTGCTATTAAATTGAAATATATTTTACTAAAAACAGGATACAAGGATACTATACATGTGTGCTACCTTCTGCATCACTCAGTCTGACATAAAATAATAATATCTAACAAATAATCAGCGATTAGAATTGTATGATTTAGCATTCTGCCCTATAACTATCACTTCCTGAAGACACAAATCTACAGACTTGAGGGGAAAGAGGGGGACACACACCTGAGGATACCCGCGCTCATCGGATATCTGGAACAGGTAAATGTTGTCTCTCAAAGATTTCTTCTTCAGCAACATGGTGAAGACCAGGGTGAACTCCTCTGGAAGTCCATGAGGAAATACTTGACTGAGGAGACAAGCGTGTGATTAGACTGCAGCACACGAACAAACAAATAAATGTGGAGCAGGTGGGTTGTAATAGTACAGAATCAGTCTGAATGGTAGCAGCAGTGTGTATTAATGGTGCTGTGGATACAGATAGTGGGATAACCCCTGACACTAATTTTGAAGAAAAATGCAGCTCAGCAATCCTCATCTTCATTCTCGGCTTCTTTCTCTCTCTAGATAAACAGTTTGCTTGGCTCTTGGTGGGTCAAGGGCAGACAAACTCCAGGAATGTGTTTACCATCCCAAATACACACACAGACTCAAGTGCTGCAAAGTAATAACAGTGAGGCTGTCCTCCTTAAGAAAAAATGAAATCAGGCCTAAGCACTAGAAAGAGAGAGAGAGAGATGGCACAGGATGAAACTTGTTATGACTGGGGGTGAGGACAAGGTACACATTGTTTTCAAAGATTTCTTGTTGATATTACTGAACAAAACTACTCCACTGAAAGGGCCATAATAAATCAAAGATTAATGATTTTTCATTTCATTATTAGAGATAGCAGGTCTGAGACACTTTATAGAATAGAAGTGCATGATATATTGGTCGCCAGTAACAAGGAATTTTCAGTTATTAATATGGAATGCATATGGCGGGATTACATTGCTGCATTTTCTTTTATATAATATGTGTGTAAGAAATAAAAAGCCTCATGTGCACGGTGTGTAAGTGTGGCCTTTAAAATCATTTTGTTTTTAAAGTTGCTTTAAAGCTTTTGAAACGCCGCATGCGTCATTTTTAAAACAATGGACGTATGAGAATCTGGAAGATATTTACTTACAGACGAGCCTTGGGTTTATATTAGCGACGAGCTAAAAATCTGCATTTTATATTAGCAACAATTAATCAATTATTTAAACAATTAATCGCGATTAATCGCATCCATAATAAAAGTTTTTGTTTACATAATACTGTATATGTAGGTGCACTGTGTATATATATATATATATATATATATATATATACACGTATATATACATACACATGCATCTATATTTAAGAAAAAAATATTATTTATATATAAAATATTTATATTTATATATAATATAAATTATATAAAACTATATACAGTATATACAGGAAAATATTTATTAAATATATACAAGCATGTGTGTGTATTTGAAGAGTTCAGATGCAAAAGCCTCTAAGTGCCATTTGAAATTTTCTTCTAAAATGATCATTTTTATCAAGCTTGTATATTCAAGTTCAGTAATTTCACTTAAATGACAATAATAGGTAATCCTCATTGCAATTTAATTGAAATTACTTAACTTAAATATACAAGCTTGATAAAAATTATCATTCTAGAAGAAAATTTCAAATGGCACTTAGAGGCTTTTGCATCTGAACTCTTCATTTATATATATATATATATATATATATATATATATATAATGATTATACACAGTGCACCCACATATATTATGTAAAAACAAACTTTTATTTTGGATGCGATTAATCGTTTGACAACCCGAGTAATTACTCTACTAAACTCATAAAGAGCACACTAAAGTTCACACGTTTTAGTTTTTTTTTTTTTTTCTATAAGAAATTAAAATTCATTAAATCGATCAAAAATGAAAAAAATTAATTTCTGTCTCTTGACTATTCTCTGATTGTTTGGCATGGTAATAGATAGACCAATGTTGATGTGTTTGGTCTTGGCCGAATGGAGCCGCATAATCAGAATATTAAAATGATTTCTGAAGGATCATGTGACACTGAAGACTGGGGTATTGAATATTCAGCTTCGCCATCTTAGGAATAATTTTCACTTTAAAACAGAATATAAAAAAAAAAAAATATCATGTATATTTTTTAAACAAATAAATGTAGTACTTATTTCAAAAACATTCAAATACCTTACTAACTTCAAACTTTTGAATGGTGGTGTCCAGTATGTGAATAAAACAAACACGCTTGTTGCAGGCCTTTCCAATGATAAAAACATATTGTGATTTGTATGGTTTTTCAACAAATCCTGTTATGGTTATTGTGAGCATTTTTCATGAACAGAACATTTCAAATTTGTTTGCTAATTAAAAATAATGTGTAATTTTGTCTATATTAATTGTAAAGAACAGTGCTTTTAAACAACAAACTATTTGTCCAGTGAGTTAATTAATTATCTAATTAGCTAGACATGCAGAATGCTTCATTATCAGGATTAGCCACAACAAGCTTCTGATTATCTGTTATTCTTATCAACCCCCTAAATTTATTTGTACTTCTTCTCGAACACAAATACAAAGACACGTGTAAACACACTCAATCTCTCTCTCCCAGGTGAGGTGAAATCCTAGATAAAGAAAAGCAAGAGGTAGACAGTTCTATTACAGGCCAAGTCTAAGCTTAGAGAATGACTAACACAAAGGTGGCCGAACAATTTATACACCATCTGCAGCTATCACATATCAGAGATCAGCTGACAAGACTTTACATTGCACTTTATCTCATAGTAAGAGAATATAGGAGTGCATTTATGTAGGAAGAATCTTGTTTCTCTCTCTCCCTCTGCAGTAAGCCAGCCATGTCGAGTGAGTTTCAAGTGCATGCTCTTGCTTTCTCTCTCTCTCTCTCTATGGCTGAGAGATGAGATTTAGAGCAGGAGAAAAAGAGCTCAGGTTTCACTTTCTAATGGGGAAAGCACCTGGGGCTCTGGAAAACCCATTCTTAGAGAGGAACTCCCTGATGATGGGGGGGATTTGGGTATGCCTGTGTGTATGTGTATCTTTCCGAAGGTCAAACCGTACAACTTTCAACCAAAAGACACCTAAGTGCAGCTAAAAGAGATATGACATTGAGAAAGAAAGCATTTTGGAAACTATATATATAAAAAAATTGAAAACATATATTAGTAATTCACACTTTTTTAGTTTAAATGTGCTATATGTAAGAATTTTTTTTTTTATTGCCAATGTGTGAACATCTTGTAGCAAAACGTTAAAAAAAAAGACTTCCCCCACTTCAAGGTTGTCTATGAAAGCCTGTACACTGATTTTTATGCAAAGGACATTGCCAGGAAAACCAAAAAGGATACGACGTTTACGCACATACTAGATCCTCTCTTCCATTCAATCACACATGAAGTAGTTCACTTTTATAAAAAAAAAATTTTGCTGATAATTTATTCACCCCCATGTCATCCAAGACATGTCATTCTTTCTTCAGTCAAAAAGAAATTAAGGTTTTTGATGAAAACATTCCAGGATTTTCTCCATAATAATGCACTTCAGTGGGAACCAAACGGTTCAAGGTCCAAAAGACAGTTTCAGTCCAAACTGTTCAAAGGGCTTTAAACGATTCCAGACGATGAATAAGGGTCTTATCAAGCAAAATGATTTTTTTTTTTTTTTAAATAACAAAGTTTAAGTTTTATAAGCACAAATGCTTGGCCTGCTCTGTACTGTGTGACTCTCCTGTTCGAACTCGTTCATCCAAATGAACAAATCTTTTTCCGAGTCAATTCTTTCATTTTGTTAGTTGAATTAACCAAATGACTCGGAACAAGTTTTGTTGATTTTAAGGAACGAGTTCGAACAGGAGAGTTCGTCACAGAACAGAGCAAGACGAGCATTTGAGCTTATAAAACTTAAACTTTGTCATTTTTTTTTTAAATGACTGATCGTTTCACTTGATAAGACCCTTATTCATCATCTGGAATCGTTTAAAGCCCTTTGAACAGTTTGCAGTTTATACTGAAACTGTCTTTTGGACCTTGAACCGTTTGGTTCCCATTGAAGTGCATTATTTGGAGAAAAATCCTGGAATGTTTTCATCAAAAACCTTAATTTCTTTTCGACTGAATAAAGAATGGCATGGACATCTTGGATGACATGGGGGTGAGTAAATTATCGGCAAAAGTGCTGAGCAAAAGTAAACAGTGTATTTTTGAATGAACGGTAAATTGTAGAACTGGTGCAAACATATCCACATCACTACGATTAAATGCTTTATTAATCGCTGCTGCTTTCTCACTGCTGTCATTTTGTTGTGTGTTTATTTTGTTATTGAGAGGAAAGTGCACAGCACATATTTACATATTCATTTAAAGTGTCACTCTTAGCATCGTGGACAGCGTCTCAATGTTCATTAACAGTATATCGCTGCAAAGGCAAATGCAGAAACTGGGACTTAAGAGATGAGTTGATGGTCTCGCCAGACTTCCAAACATCTGGATTCAAATTCCTAACCTTTAAGTAACATTTCTTGCAATGCACCATCAGCATAAAGATAAGCTGCTTCAACTCCTCATGTTTATTTGCAACTACCAAGCTGCTTTCATTAAAGAGAGTGACAGAGAACAGCAATCATCTTATGACGGGGAGATAAACAGCTGCTTAAACACTATTAGAGAAAAAAAAAGATCACACATCTAAACATCTGAATACTGGATAACTTGTACATTATGTATCCAAGCATCCCATAGAATGTGATGAAACCAATGTAGCTAAATTTAATTTAAAACAAATTTAAATTATCAGAATATATCCCACTTTGACCAATGTAGCTTAATTTTATTTAAAACGAATTTAAATGATCAGAATATGTCCCACTTTGTAGTCAAGTCACCCTATCTTCCTTAAAAAAATGATAGAAGATTGTTATAGGATTAATACTATTCTATTAGCACTTATTCGATTAGCATTAGATATAAATCTGAAAGTTAGCCTGTACAACAAAGTTTTCTAACCTCCTCAGGGAAAAGAAGTTCTCCTGTCCAAATAGAGCTTTTGAAGGACGTTGTTTTGTGTGTGTGTGTGTGTGTGTGTGTGTGTGTGTGAGACAGAGAGTGAATTCATGATATATTGTACTGTATACACTGCAGATTGAGGACAGATCAAGTACAAAAAGAGTATAAAAAGCTCTACAGTCCAGCAGAAAAGCTTCAGTATTACTCGTCTGACCTATTTGGCTCAAAAACTCAAGCTCTCATTTCTGTTAAGTCTACATGAGAAAAGGATAACAGGAAATTCTAATAAGGATCCTGATGTGTAGTCTAAACCAATGCAAAATGAACTTCTCATCCCAACACAAAGTACCAGAGAACTAAGAGTAAACCGAACCCGTTAGCTTATATCACTGACATTTTTCATTTATGCGCGGCTCAATAAAAGCATTGTCATAAAACGGATTGTTACTGTGGCTTGAGGTCTCACCAAAAGCACTTAAAGTTATTGTTAATAAAACATTTAACAGCGTTTCTGTGTAAAAGCACAAAGCAGCATGTAATCTGCTGAAATGTTTGCAGAGAGATGGACGAAAGGAAGGAGGAAGTCCAAATCTCTCTGGTGGTGACATTATTGTGATTCTTTCATGATGCTCCTGTAAATGTTAAACCAAATAACAGTCAACAGCCAGGAATTTAAGGCTTGTACTGACCTGCTAATACTTGGGTAGTCTTGCAATTATATCTTATTAAACTGTATTGCTTTTAGAGGATGAACAGACTCTATAGTCTGAGAGTTTTTTTTTTCTTCTTTCTATAGTAGACCCTAAAGGTTCACAGAAAACGATGGAAATAACCGTTCCCTCTGTCCAAAACTCTGAGTAAAAATAGATACGGCAAATAAGAAGAGGAAAGGTAAAACATTTACTCTGTAGGTTGGATGAGTTGGACTTTCCCAAGGCGAAGGATGACAGGCCCTCTCAGATTTCGGATCTTCTTGACCTCGCTGTTCTTCAGCAGGGAGAAACTGCGCGCCAGATTGAAACCTGCAGATCAGACGATCAATCCATTTACCACTCCACAGGCTAATGAAAATCGGGCTGCTATTTGACAAGTCCTACGCTATGTATCATCTCTGTGGTGGCAGTTTTTAATTCATGTAAGGCCAAAGGAGGAATCTTAATACTGTAAGTATCTATATCTAAGACATAGACAGAGTCTATTCCTTAGACTGGGCAGTTGAACTTTTATTAAGTGTATAAAAAGACTGGAATGATTACAAATGGCAATTCATTTACATAATATGGGGTGGTGATGGCGCAGTGGATAAGATGGATGCCTTTGGTGTGAGAGACCCGGGTTCGAATCCACTGCGACACCAAACCCGTAGATGCTCCAGAGACGTGTGCCCTCTGACATATCTAGCAATTTTAAGTCACTTTGGATGGCATGACTTGAGGATGAGTATGTAACAGAATTTAAATTTTTGGCAACTTTAATGAATTAAGCAGCAGTCTTTACCTGTGATGTTGTGTCTGGCAGCTTGGGGAAACTTCCAGTCTTCTACTTGTATGGACGGGCAGCTGACACCTGCAGAAACAGAGAAGCAGTCAAGTTGCAGCAGATCTTGTCATGCCAATTGTGAAAGGTTTTGCAAAAAAAATAACATGTACAAGCAACATGAAGTGTCCTGTCAAAACTTAGTCCTGAACATGATGTGAACAAGCTGAGCCATTCAAAGATGGTCTGAGACAGACACCACCTCACATATAAATGGGGCTAAAAATAACTTGCTTTTCTCTGGGGGAATCACTCTCCCAATCTCACCTCACTGTGGCAAAGACAATGACAGGTGGTCTGCAACACTCTCAACTGATGGGCAACATATGGAAAAGATCTAACAAAGTTTATCCAATCAAACAAATTTTTAACTTAAACTTGAACTTATGAAACCTGAACTTGAACTTAAACTTGAAACCTGAAAGTAGACAACTGAACTTAAACACCAAGGATCACTATCCATTTAAAAAAAAGTAATAAAGTTCCACAGTAGTTGCACAAAAGTTTATGTAAATAACATTGGCATTATCACTCCGTGTTAGAGATATTCTAATACTAAATTTATCCGCCGATACGATTTATTCAGCACATTATTCAGAATGATATCTGCCGATACTGATACTGATTTTGTTTTCCTTAAAGGGGTGATGAACTGAGAAATCAAATTTTCCTTAAGCTTTTTACATCTAAGGCCATCATGAGGCCATTAAGAGGCCAGAACTGAAAATGTCATTGTAAGTCCAATAAAAGCTTTTATTGACACCAGGCTCAGCAAACGACTCGTTTTTTCAAAGTTGGGAACTATAACGTCAAAGAGGATAAAACACCACCCCCGCAGAAGAAGATCAACGCCTACTTCAACGCCTTCAACACGGCCGATTTAGCCCCGCCCACCGATTCGCACATTACACGTATAGCTAAATAACATAGGCCGACCTCATGATGACAAACTGGATTGAGCTACAGATCAATACAAAATGTTGTGCAGCGCCTGGTTGTGGAAGAAGATAGTCGCTGCATAAGCTTCCTCTGGATTCCAACAGGACTGCATGTTTAAACTTTATTTTTAATGACGTTCCAGCTGATGAGGGTAAAACATTGTCCGTCTGTTCACTTCATTTCACTGAGGATTGTTTTGTCAACAAGACTGGATTTGCAGACCGATTAAGAGTAAAGAACGGTGCTGTGCCGTCTATATTGGATCTGACAGGAATTGTGCAACACACGGATTCTGGGTCAAACATGTAGGGGTGAATCATTCCGCTTGCCATTTTACAACATTGGACGTTTTCAAAACAATTTTTCCCCACGTACACCGACGAGGTGAGTTGAAACTCATTATAATATGCAAAAATGTTATCCACTCACAGCAGTGGGCGTTTACTTCCAAGTCTTCAGTGCGAGACTCCCATAAAAACCGAGCGTTTTTGAGCTAGGCTCAAAACTAGGGTAGAAAATAGCCTATTACTTATTCATTTTGATGTTTTTGAATGCAAAAACCAAGCGAACGTCATAAGTTGGCCTCAGACAACAATATAATACAATTTAAAAAGCCAGTTCATGACCCCTTTAAAGAGAAACCCCCCCCCCAACCCCCACAAAACTAATGTTGTAAACTACAGAGATCACTCTCATTTGGTATATACTAACTATGTTTTAAAGCCCAACTAGTCAACTGCTTTGTATGTTCAGGTGTATGTATTATACATATCAGTTGCACATTAGGTAGTTTACATAAACACTTGTCTCCATGAAAAATGTATTAAAATATAAATATATAATTAAGTCAATAAGCTAATATGTAATGTTTTTTATGGATAACTAACAAACAGTGAATATCGGATACTGTAATTCCCAGAGGTACTTGCAATATTAAACTGAGGTGCTACAGTGATCACGTCACATTTAAGAGCGTCAAAATGCCATTTATTGGTAGAATTGTGTGATAAAATTGACAAAATTAGAAATCTGAAGCTTTTTTTTCTTATAAGTAATAAAGCACAACGCTCTTGCGACTGTTGGATGGAAGGCGTCCTTCAACTAGACTGGGGGGGGGGGGGGGGGATGTGGAGCACTCCTGGCAACTCTGTCTTGAACTATGGGTGATTCATAGGGTCAAATAGAGTTTGCTAGAAAAAAAAAATATTTAAATAATTAATTAAATTTAATGTTGCTGTTTAAACACATAATTATAATTATAATTATACAAATATAAATTGTTGCATTAAAGTTGACAGCCCTAATTCAAAAAGAGACATTTTCTTCACAGTATGCAGTCTCACACACCTTTCCGCCCCCTTTTGATTGACAGGATATAATCGGCCTGATCATCGACAGTTTTAAACAAAAGTGAAAATAATTGCTTCTATTAAACGATACTGATCATTAGCCAAAAATATGTTTTTTTCATGATCCACAAACACTGAAAAGTTCAGTTTAGAAACTTTTTTTCTCTGTGAAGAAGCATGTCAGATGTGTCTGAGACGTGAAGAGTTTTTAATCAGCATGGTTCGATTGACTCAAAGACACGTACATCAATCAAAGTGCATTAGCAAGTTACTGCAGGGTAGGGAACTGTCACTTAGAAGATTCAGAGATTAGATGAGTATGAGAAACCCCAGCAATAAAATAGAGAAGCCGCTCAGAGCCGTCTCGTCGTTGAGCTTCTAGTGGCAGAGTAGAGCAGCTGATGGGTTTTCCAACTCGTTTTCTTGCGCTGTCAAGTTACAAAGAGCTCTTTTTAAATCTACAACACCTGAATCTCTCCACAGCCAACTCAGCAGATACAGATAGGGAGAAAAATGTCTCCAACAAAAACGTATCTGTCAGATAAAGAATTTAATTCATCGCATTTTCACTTTTTGAAATCAGACAGACTCGGCTAAATCCCTTTTCTTCTAGGTTCTACAAAGCCCCTCAACTTTCACACAGCAAAAAGGCGGGATTAAGATGCGGAGATGTCAGGGAGGAGATAGGAAAGCTGGAGGCGGCTCTCGCTCCCGAGGCAATGATGGAAAGTTGAACGCAGGGGGAGGAGAGGTGCATTTCAAATGCATGGAGAACAGACACGTCATCAAGCATTGCAGACAGGGCTATGGAGTTTGAAGTGGAGGGTACGTTTCTGGGGTTTAGGATTTCATACGTTCAGAGTCAGCACTCTTTTAATTTAGAGCTACGTATAGCTGTAAGCTGCTTCACCATTTCTCTTTTGAGGTTCTTCATCAAAGTCCTTCACTTTCCAAAAGCATGAACTATAAAAATACATTCATTTTAAAGAGGGTAAGAACAATTTCGGAAGGAACAAAAAACATATCACCTTTCCTGGATTCAGTCAGTTATCTGGAAAGCTCATATATGTCTTACCCTTGTCCAGATTCCCTCCCTCAACCTCTGCTGTATTTGTCCCTGCTTGCGTCTTGTTTATTGTATAGTTTTAGGTCCCAAAATTGGCCTGGAGAAACTCATTAAGGAAAAAATTCAGTTGGGGATTTACACAGCTGGGGGTGAGCAAAGACATCCAGGAAATCTACTATCAAAGCCCAGGGTAATTATGTGGCTGACTATGGGAAAATGTTTTTTGGGGGTTAGCTTGTTAGCTAAAGCAATCGTGCAACACTTATGAGCATAGACTTTCATGGTGATGAAAGGGTAAATTGTGCAATAAGAACAAAATATGCATAAGGGAAAAAGTCATATGAATCATCTACAAGAGCAAGCTATTATATTTTAAAGCATGCATGAAGTAAACATCATCCATTTTGATTTCATGATAACTTTAACAATGACCAAATATGGTTTGATTGAAGTTATCAATCAAGTCTGGCACAGTACTTGACTGATGTTTAAAAGGAGGTTTAGCATTAAACAGAAAGACCGTATAATCATTATCAATCGACAATATTTTTGGAATATGAAGCACTAACGAATAGAGGTGCATATGCTAATATTTATGCTGCATGCTGCTTATCTTATTATTATAATAACGTAAGTCTGGCTGAATGTAGGCAAACATCTACTGAAATATTAGCATATAAACCTCTATTCATTTCTGCATTCACCTCTATTCATTATATAATAAAATAAAAGACTGGTGTTGACATCTCTCACTCCTGCCCGAAACCCCACAGAGACCTTGCTTGAAAAGAGCCTAACAAGCAAAAGTGCAAAAACAACATGTACTAGTATGTGATGAATGATAACAAGCAAGTCCTTACATTGTTTAAACTGGAGATTCTGCCTCAAAACAAGCAGGGATTCTCATGTTTCCTAACATCATTAGGGCACAAACCAGTCTTGAATGAAACCGCAAGCCAGTAGTTTCTAAAGGGCTTCAAAACTTCTGAAACTTCTTAAAAATGAGCCTAGTTACACTAAGTATATAAAATGACGTGGAAAGAAATGTCAAAGTATCAATTCTGAGGGGCCTCCTCTTACAACTCCATTCTGCTGTATGAAGGGTGAAGATGAAAAAGTCCCAAATTTCCATTACCACATTTTTGAGACACAGCCCTGCTAGTCTAGAGAACAAGGCATGGAATCACCCTTAAAACGCTGAGCCATTTTCCACAGGTCCTTGTTCTTTCACGAGTTTCCTCCTGCTTTTTATTTTATTTTAAGTAATACCAGACATTATAAAAGTTTGAAAGGAAATTGTAAAATAAAGAACATTGAGTACTTTGGGTTAACACAAGTTTGGCTGGGGTGGTGATGGCACAGTGGATAAGAACCATGCCTTTGGTGTGAGAGACCCTGGTTCGAATCCACTGTAAAGCCCCTTTCACACAGAGATTCCGGAAAATACACGGATAAGATTTTGCCTGGATCTGTGAGTGTATTCACACACAACCCGTAAAGACACATGACGTCAGGATGAGATGTGTAACGTACGCGTCGAAAACATGTACACGCAATCGCCAGCCCATTCTCACCCCCAAGGCATCACCTAACTGACGCCTTGTGAGGCATTTGACCATGCTTCAATATCTGACGCTTTAGGCGCCCTTTAGCGTCATGTAAGATGACGCCCTAGGATCGCGTGTACCCTACCCCCACCCCAGACCTAAACCTAACCGCGTCCTCTAACTGACGCTTTCCTTTAGCGTCAGTTAGATGACGCTGTATGATCGCGTCATGTAAGTGACGCTAAAGGCCGCCTAAAACGTCAAATACTGAAGCATGGTCAAAGGTGACGTCTTGGGGTGAGAATGCGTTGCAGTAGCGCATAGGCCTACCGTTCCACAAAGCTTCATCGCAGATAGTGAGGAGCTCCTGGTCTATGCTGCGTTCCAGTTTGCAGACATTTGTTCGTCCTTTCTTTGTTGATGACGAACACAAACTTTCTTCTAAGAGCAACAGAGTCACGTGATGGCACAAGCGTCATCACTATGACACACCCCTTACAGCATTGGTCCTGGCTTTTGTTCACACAGCGCGTGTTCCGGTACTGTTTGCGGCAATGTTACTAGGTCCCAAAACCCGGCATCGGTGCCGGTATCAATCCCGGGTTGTGTTTGCGTTCACACAAAAGGCGTTCAACACGGGATCAACACGCTGTGTGAAAGCGGCTTAAAAGATTAGTTCACTTTTGAAAAAACTTTTGCTGATAATTTACTCACCCCCATGTCATCCAAGATGTCCATGTCTTTCTTTCTCCAGTCGAAAAGAAATTTAGGTTTTTAATGAAAACATTTCAGGATTTTTCTCCATATAATGGACTTCAATGGGAATCAGACAGTCCAAGGTCCAAAAGACAGTTAATAAAAGTTTCAGATGCAGCTTCAAATGTCTTTAAACGACACCAGACGATGAATAAGGGTCTTATCATGCGAAACGATCGGTTATTCTGTGAATAATTCTGTAACCTTGCTCTATTCTGTGAGGCGCGTTTGTAACGTCACGTAATACGTAATTACGTTCAGAAGGTCACAGGCGACGTAGCCGGAAGTACAGAATCAAAATCGTCCGACATCATTGTTTTAACTTTTAATTCCTTTTTTTATTTTGGAAACGGCGTTTGAGTTAGTTTGCATGTTCAACCTATGCGTTCAACTTGTAAACACTGACTCTGTACTTCCGGCTACGTCGCCCGTGACCTTTTGAACGTAATTACGTATTACGTGACGTTACAAACACGCCTCACAGAATAGAGCAAGGCTAGCATTTGTCGTTAGAAAAGTTACATTTTTGGAATAAGTTTTGAAATAACCGATCGTTTTGCATGATAAGACCCGTATTCATCGTCTGGTGTCGTTTAAAGACATTTGAAGCTGCATCTGAAACTTTTATTAACTGTCTTTTGGACCTTGGACCGTCTGGTTCCCATTGAAGTCCATTATATGGAGAAAAATCCTGGAATGTTTTCATCAAAAACCTTAATTTTCGACTGAAGAAAGAAAGGCATGGACATCTTGGATGACATGGGGGTGAGTAAATTATCAGCAAAAGTTTTTTCAAAAGTGAACTACTCCTTTAAGACACCAATGTGTCCCTGAGCAAGACACTTAACCCCTAGTTGCACCAGAGGCATGCGACCTCTGACATAAACAATAATTGTAAGTCGCTTTGGATAAAAGCGTCAGCTAAATGAACAAATGTAAATGTAAATGTAATGGCTAGTAGGCATGCAGATGCAGTGTTTACCACACAGCAGTAGGCCTATGCATAGAAGGTTTCCACTAAAGAGTGGATTCAGTTAGCCAATGAAATGTAGTCAGGCATTCAGATTCATTTGTAATATGACACAGTATATACTTCCTCTTCAAGATCCATCAACTTGCTCTCTTAGTTCACCAACAAATGAAGCTTCTGGCATCATTTACTCACCTTCATGTTGTTCAAAACGTATGACTTTCAGTGTATTTTTTTCAGTGAAACGCAAAATGCTCTTTTTCATGCAACTATGATGCTGACTGCTAAGCTTTATCAAGCAAAAATACAACAAAGCATAATAAAAGTGGCCCAAAAACTGTTCCAAGTCTACTGAAGACACATGACAGAGGAAAATAATAAATATTGACATCTGCTTCAATTCTATTAGATGAGTTCTTGAGAGAGGCTGTGACACCTGATTCATAAATGAATTTTCCGTCAATCCCTTTATCTGGCTACTTGCTTTGATTCTGAATGCTTTGTTCATGAATCAAAGTGGTTCTTGAGTTCAACTGATTAATTTATCCATTCTCGGTGATTCACTAGTTTGATGTCGGTCTGTTTCTAGTACAAAACTATGGTATGATTTGTAAAGACTTGGAATATAGAAGTGCACAAACTTGTATTGTGCGTTTGAAGGATATCCTGCTTTCTGAAGCTTGAAAGAGTCATTCTCCACGAGTACTACCAATGACGACCATCAGGCTACACTTGTTAAAATGCCTCCTTTTATGTTTCATCAAATCATGTGCGCTTAGAACGACATGCAGGTTAGCAAATGATAGCAGGATTTTAACTATTCTTTTAAATATTTATAGTGTTATGTTGGAAGATGTATAACTTAAACATACAGAATCTTAGCTGTTTGAACCAGCCTTTGACAAAGTCATCCTTTGATGGTGACCAGGCTCTTACCTTCAGCTGATGCCATTCGACCCCCATGACCCAAGCAGATGGTGAGAAGCACCAGAGAGGAGCAGATGACCTTCATGACTCCCTCCTTCAGCTCCTAACCATGATAAAAAAGAATACGTGAACAGGTGAGAGGGAAACCAAGACCAATGTAAATCATCAGAACACAGATGAGTTATGAAATGTTATAAGCTCATTCTTAAGGTGTGTGCCTTTTAACATAGCACCATTATTCTTTTACATGTACTACCATAGGACTGCAATAAAATAGCTTCGAAATAATTGCTAGAAAGTGTAAGAAAGCATGTGGGAGCAGTCATAAAAATCAATATAGTGGTTAAAGGGCAGATTAATAATGGTGCCTATAAGGTTGGATGGGTGCTTTTAGAGTATAAAATGTGCTAATGATCCAAAGCATTTTCAATAAAGCTTTGTAACCCATGACGTTTGATGATTATCATTACAGTGCCCATCTGTCCCTTTCAGAAACATTATCATCTCTCACATACACAGAAACACAATGCTTCTCCACCACGAACACTGAATGCACAGTATACTGCCTACCTACTATTAAAAAAATAATAATAATAATAATAATAATAATAATATGTGAAACAGAAGCCATTATTCCACTCTAAATGTTTCAAACTCTGCATGAACTCATTACATTTCATGTTTAATTCTTAAAAAGGTGTCCAGATTAATTTGGAAATAAAAGGTTTATTTGCAGTTTAATTCTTTTTTTTTTTGTGTGTGTGTGTGTGTACAAACAAATTAAGTCGTAAAAAACATTAAACATGCAGCTTATTCTGGTTCATCCATCACACTGGAAATTAAAAAGTAGAGCATATTGCATTTTGGCTTTTATGAATCCGCCACAAGATAAAATATTTAAAAACATAATTCCAACTTTTATCTCAGAATTACGAGATATAAAGTCAGAATTGCATGATTTAAAGTTGTGATATAAATTTATGTAAAGTTATGTTGTTTTTTTTGCGTTTTTTTCTAGACTTTATATCATGCAATTCTGACTTTATATCTCCAAATTCCGTGTTATAAAATTGTGAGATATAAACATGCAATTCTGCGAAATTTTTTTAGAATTTTGAGTTTATTTCTAGCAATTGCGAGATTTTATCTGACAATTCTGACTTTATAGCATGCAATTGCGACTTTTTATCACACAATTCTGACTATATAACTCGCAACTGCGAAAACAAGCTTCCAAAGTTTTCTATTTTAAAATGTAATTTTCACCAACATAATCCTTTGTTATGCTGATTTGGTGCACAAGAAACAATTATCGTCATCATCATAGTTTTTTTTTTTTTTTTTTTTTTATGGAAACTACAATAGTGTTTTTCAGCATTCCATATTTCCTTGCCATAAAATATAAGAAAGTATCTTTGTGTGTACTAATTATGTATGTGTATTATCTTCCAGTGCATATGGAAGGATTCAACACCTGTAATTGCTTGTAACATACAACTGAAACTAAATGGAATATGAAGTATATCTCATATGTGTTTACATGTTTTCACAGAACCAACATCACCTCACTTCCCTGTTTACAGACATGCTGTTCACTCAAAGTGACCCTCAGTGGCGTGTCTGGACATGAACCTGTCAGAATGATGTATTAGTCAGAACGCCCGGGGGACAAGGCCTTCTCCTCTGCCTTTAATGGCTTTCTTGTAAATTTCAGCCTGTCGGTGATGTTTGTGCAGGTAACACCTACTCTGCATCCTCTGACCGAGGTCACACCACCTGTAGGCGCTGCACCAGTTGAGACACCAAACGTGAAGGTGTCATACGAAATAACACCACCCCAGAGTATACACTATCACCTAAAGATGAGAAACGCTATACCTTCTTTCACTGACTTTCCCCTCACGTCTGTTTGTATCATTCCGATTCAGTTATTTACAAAGCTCTACCTCTCTTTTAACCACAAAATCAACAGTGTTCTAGTAAACAAGACAACATCCATTTCCGGTGAGAGAGTCAGAGATATTCCATTACCTATATTCAATGCCTCTGGGCAATTTCTCATTACCATTCGCTTCCACGCACAGAAAAAGGAATGGAAATTAAAGCTTGTGCTTGTTTTGTTCCCATTTCACTTTGTTTGCCGTGCAGCTGGACCGCACAGATAAAGGAAAGAGTCTCTCTCGCATTCTGTCTTGGCTCAGTGCCCGGCAATCTGAAGCGAATGTCTATAGTCGGAATGACAAAAGCATTAGTTAGGGAATCAAGTATGTGGGCTACAAACGACAATTTATAGAGTTCCAATGAAAGACTGATAGTTACAATCAATCTATGCATGCGAAAACAATAATTCGGGACCATCTAAGAGAATGGCTAAAAGTGACAATGTGCATTTTTAATAAACAAGGGCTTTAATGAGCTATTGTAAGAATGTCTACAGTCATTTTGTTTTGCAGACTGCTGACAGGAAGTAGGCTGTCAAGAAGCCGCGTAGTGTGTTGTTTTCATGTCAGAGCCTGAGAGCTCAGGGAAAGAGGGAGTGTTAAACTCTCTCCCTCTATTCAGAAGAGTGCAAACAAGCGACAAACACTATTCCTTTTTTACACAGGCCTATATGGTGCTGTCATCTATAATCGCTGGGTTATAAATACATCTAAGAATCACTATTTTGGCAACCCAAGGTGCTAAAAATGTAACTGGTGTAAAAATCTCCGATCGAAGCGGGTCGAGTAGGACAGGCTACACAGATACCCGCATTTTCAGCACAGAGCATTTGGTTAAAGGAACCTGGGGTTTAGAGAGACACTTCAAACACATGCAGAGAGCAATCCTGAGAGATTTATAATGGGATCTGTGGCATTTGTAATCATGTCTGCGGCATGGTTTAACCTTCAATTACATCTGTTTTGCAATCATTCTTTTTCAAAGGGGCATTTATCTTTTTTTTTTTTCTGGTGCAGCATTTTTCTGCTTCTCACTCAAGGATACTGGAACTGGTTTGCTTGTAGTCTGGTTTATCAAACTAAATCAAAATTTGTAATGGAAATGTGTGCCAAATTCATCAAATAGGAATAATCTGTGTCCACAAGTTCTGTTGCAAATGTATCTTCACCTTGTCTCCCCCTGCAGTAGAGCAGATGGTTTTCCCATCAGATATAGAGCATGCATTTTTTCCACTCCCACGGGCTGATTTTGAAGAAAGAAAAAAAAAAATCCCTGTGTGGTACAGTGAGTGAGCTGAGAAGTTTCTGAAAGGGATCATGAATGAACTATGGTCTGTATCAAATTTAAAAGCACCTTGCCAGGGGGTTGCATGAAAGAACTGTCCTTCAGATTACACTTTGAAAGCTGCATCATGACAAGCAGTATTTGCAATGCCTACAAGTTATCAGAGAGAAGTGTGAGATTGCACAGCTGCATAATGCAGATGGTTCCAAACCTTCCCGTCTCCAAAATCACAGGATCATGTCATGTAATCACATTCTAAAAATTATTGTGACAGTTCAGTCATGTTCGTGTGGAAAGAGCAGCGCTCATTCTGTCTAATGCACTTTTTTCAATTTTATATACGACTTCAAAACAATTACTGCTGTGATTTGTATTCATGTTAATATACAAATGTTACAAATATACAAATTAATATTTATCTTCGTATTGTGTGTGTTAAAATAATCAAAATATACGCAGTAAGAAATCGCGCTGAATACCTGAGCGCGCGCGTAATCTCGCGCAACCGCTGGGGGGCCACGGTTAGGGCAACAAGTCAAAAAGTTTTTACCACGAACCAAAGTGGTAAAAAGTGCAAGGATTTTTTTTTTTTTTTTTTTTTTTTTTTAACTAACTGCGTGTGGATAGCACGTGCACCAAAATTAAATAAAAAAATAAAACACATTTGAATAGGAGCCCGAATTGATACGGCTATAACTAATATCTCATTGTAGCCTATTTAATGAAAATCCCTATCATTTGCATTCCCCACAAGGCATGAAACGCGTGAATGCATGCAGTATATTGATTAATAACTTTAGTGAAATTAATAATAAATAATAAATACTAATTATATAGCCAACTAAAGAAAAAAAATATCTCTGAAGTCTATGGCTACAATATATCTCCCTGGGAGTTTACAAGGATCTTCTCCGCCGTAAAGATATCCCATATGACAGACCAAAAAAAAAAAAACACATCAAATTACCTTCTGTGATCGTTAATCCAATGAATTATGGCCACATTAATCCACAGAAAATTGTTCTTGTGTAATCCAGTTTGCTTAAAGAGCTTCCAAGAGTCCTCTCCTGCGTGGATAAAGTTTTTGCCTGGGAGTTCTCCTTCCCCAACTCTTTTCTCCCCTCCCCTCACAGTTGTTTTATCAAACTTTCCCCTCGCCGTCGTTCCTCGATTTGGGAGAATCTCCAGAATACGCGTAATGACATCATCATCTGCTCCGGTTGAGTGTGGAAACGCGCCTCGGGCTTTTCTTTCCTCTGCCGCCTCCCACAAGTCCTGCTTTGTTAGATTCCTCTTTTTAACTATGATTCCACGGCCGACTCCGACGAACTTATCTGAGGTCATGGTCGCCGCGGGTTAGACGGGTCATCGGTGACTGAAAACCAAAGGCAAAATATTACAAACTGCTGAAACAGTTTTGACGGTATCAATATGGTTCACGGCAAAAACTCGTCTGGTCCTGGTTTTGTTGTTTCAGATTTGGTTATAAACCATGTGGATCGAATTATAATTGTTTCCTGTAACTAGCCTACGTCGAAATAAGTTGCTTACCCTTATAAAAGTTCATGGTAATTCATTACTTTCACAAAAACATTCTCCATGTTGTCCAAATATGTATAAAATCAGTATGTCAAAAGAGTATGATAGCCTATCTGAATACAGTATTGAAGAAAACAGTAGTTTAACAATACCTGGAGGACATCAGCAGTTGAAGTGGCCAACCACTAGACATTTTACCCATGGGGCCATTGGAGCTGAAGAGCTGTCAAAATCAGTAAAGTCAACAATAATCAGAAGTTTAAAATGAAAAATGGCATGTTTTGCTTTGGCTGTGTAATAGTTTACAGTGAAATCCACTTGCTGAAGGGTTTAGAAGAGCAAACAGAGCAGATTTTCGAATATAAGAACGGAATTTACACAAATAAGGTCTAGCACTTTATTTACAGTCCTGTTCCCCACATTATTTACATATTATAGTAATTGCAATAACTTGGTAGGTACTAACCTGAATTTAAACCTAACCTTAACCCATGTTACCTTAGTACAGTACATATATTTATTTTTTCAATGGCTGTATGCATCTTTTGTGCAGATATCACAAAAGACTAGAGTTATGATTCTCAAGGAATTAACCATCCCCAACTTCACTTCCCAAATTGCAATTGCATGAATTGTAATTAAGTAAATTTTTAATGAAAATGTGTTGCAGATCCTAGAACAGAATCCACCGGTTGCAGTCTATTTAAAATTAAGAACACATATATTTGAACTTTGTCATCATTGTATACCAATAGGCTCTGGGTATCATTCATTATCTTTAATTCCTAATTTTATCTGATCTTAGACCTTCATTGCGACATTAAAGATCCTAAATTTGGGAAACCTGTTTAAATAATTTGATTGTTTTGCAACACGATATGGGCTGAGCCCTGGATGTCATTTATGTCTAACACTTCTGTAGACTGTTCGTGGCTTGATAAAGTCAGCTTTTATTGAACAAGTAAAATATTGAGCAGCAGAGGGCTGCTATAAAGGGCATGACCTTTGACTCAACCCTCTCACAGTGACTTGGTTCTAGAGTTCAAAGGAGCTTAAACAACAGGATGTAAGTGGTTGCAGAAATGACAAGAACATCTGGAAAAAAGGTACTTGACTATCCTCATGTGCCCCAAGTCATCAAGACTAGTCTTAATACTGTCCAAAATCTAGAGTTCAGGACGTAACAGAGCACTGAATTGGAGATGAATCCCAGATCAATCCCAGAGAGAAGGGCCATTTGAAATATTAATGTTGCAGCATTGTGTTCCTGAGTTAGCCTCACCATATGAAGTCCAATGTTTCCCTCTGTGATTTTGCTGTGCTGTTTGGAATGATGATGAACAGTATATATGTCATATCATAAAATATAGATGATATGATGTAAACTATGTTGTGGAAACATACCCTGGGGGATATAAATAAGCAGCAGTGGAGCACAGCCAAAACATGTTTCATCTGCAGTTTGACCATTAAATATTATGACAGAGAGGACTTGCATTCATATTCCATCTGGGTTCTACATATAAACAACAATTTTTTTATGATCCCCTGTCTGGCTTCGTCACCGATTTCATGTTCTTTAAAGCAGGAGAAGGGTCAGGAGGAATAGCTTTCTTCTTTTCTCCTATATGTTTTGACATTGTGTGAATCTGTCCTATATATATACATATATATATATATATATATATATATATATATATAAATTTTGTTGGTTTAACTTAAATAAGAAATAAATAGGAACTCAAAATTAATAAATAGGAACTCAAAATATTATGTTTGAACAAAATTAATTGTCTAAACTGATTTGAAAACAATAAAAGAGTCAATAATAAATCATGAAAATTTTTGTTTCAGTGTTTGATGCATGTGTTTTCATTGAATGTGATGCGGTTGGTATTTGAATATTTAATTTTATGTAAAACACTTTGAACTGCACGTTATGCCAGAAAAGTGGTACATAAATCTGTGTGCTACAAAAAGTTTATTATTATTATTATTATTATTTCCTCTCTGAAATATTAATATGGAGGAGAGCTTTAAAAAACATCAAAATATTGTGTTAAAATAGGCCTATCTGTAGAAAGTTGTGGGTAGCATGTCTAAAAAAATGGATGCCGACATTATGTTTAATAAATATTATAATTGAAAATTAATTATTGATTGTCATGTAGCTGAAAGTAAAATAAATTAATGTTATTTTCAGCAAGGGCACATTAAATTGATTGTTAAATTGTTAAAATATTATATAATCAAAGAATAACATGACATGATATCCAAATTGATAATAAAAAAAAATCATCAGGTAAGATTATTTAAGCATAAGATCATGTGACACTGAAGAATGGAGTAATGGCTGCTGAAAATTCAGATTTGGCATCACAGGAATAAATTACATTTTAAAATATATCAAAACAAAATATTGTTATTTAAAAAAAAACAATGATATTTCAAAACATTACTGTTTTTACAGCATTTTCATTTAAATAGATGCAGCTTTGGTGAAAATAATAATAAATAAATAAATAAATAAATAAACAAACTTCTGTATTTTCTTTTAACTGGCACTTCAATCTAATACATTACAACACTTCCAGTTTTGCATGATAATCAATAATCAATAAGTTTAAAGCACATTCTACATTTCCTTGTGAGAGTTTTTTTTTCTTATTCGCTGCAAAGTAAACAGTTGTTTTTTTTTTTGTTTTTTTTTTGCATATCACTTAAGATGATAATATACCTTGCCAAATGTGAAACTCTCAACAGAAACTGTTTTTCTGATCGTTCAAATGGATCCATGAAATTTTAATGGAACGGGAAAAGTAATTGGATAAGGAACAAAAAGGTCAGGCACAAATGATGCCAGTATTGTGACGCTATTTTGTATTGAAGTCTGTGGGAAGTCGAGTTTATTTTCTCCTAAAAGTGGGCGTGAATCTGTTCAGAGACATTCTATGTTGACCCGGTTGTGCGAATTGCCATAACAACATCAGCTCCATGCTTAAAGGATTAGTTGATTAGTTCACCATAAAATGAAAATTTCCTGATAATTTACTCACCCCAATGCCATGCAAGATTTTCTTTCTTTCTCAGTTGGAAAGAAATTAAGTTTTTGGAGGAAAACATTTCAGGATCTTTCTCTACTCAATGGAGTTCAACGTTAACCAAATTGTTGAAGTCCAAATCAATGCAGTTTCAAAGGGGTCCAGCTGAGGAATAGGGTCTTATCTATAGCGTAATGATCGTTCATTTTCTAAATATATATATATATATATATCTTAATAATCAAAAATAATACACTTTTTAACCACAATTGTTCGTCTTGTGCTGGTCTTCGAACGTGATGACGTAGTGCCTGGCGTGTCGCAGACCAGCACAAGACGAACAATTGTGGTTAAAAAGTATATACATTTTCATTTTATTTTAATAAAATCCCATTTGTTATTTAAACAATGTGGCACAGGACATGAAAATGAAAACTGCGTCAGGCTGAACAGCCCGATCTCATCCCAAGGCGTCATCTAACTGACGCTTTTGACCATGCGTCAACATAGGACACACATGGCACCCTTTAGCGTCAAACATGGGACGCAGATATATATGGGCCAGAAGGCGCCTCCTAGTGGTCTAACCCTAACCCTACCCCAGACCTACCCATAATAAGCATCTCATATTGATGCTAAAGGGTGCCATGTGCGTCGGATGTTGACGCATGGTGAAAAGCGTCAGTTAGATGACACCCTAGGATGAGAATGCGTTGGGCTGAAACTAAATAACACTCGCCTGGAGCTGCATTGCACTGAATGTATAGGGTCCAAGAAGGAACACATTTCAAAAGCAAGCACACTAAAAGAGGATCGCAATAGGAACTTCTTGACGCAGACTAGTCACCAACTTAAAACATCAGAGGTGATGAGCTCAAGTCGTGCAGTGCTTGCTATACACTTCTGCAAAAGTTAAGGATAAAAAAAGAATCTGTTTTGAAGAAGATTTTTTTTTTCTCCTGATGCCCCATCTGTCTCGTTTCAATGCCTCAAATTCCCTTTCCCATCTCAAGCTTTTGTTTCTTCACTCTTGAGCAAAGTCCATTCAAAGAAATATGGCCTGGCAGTCCAATTTTTTTTTTTTTTTTTTTTGGCCTTTAACTTCCATTTCATACAGTTTTGCACTCTTAAGAATGGAGGAGAAAAAAAAAAAACTCACCAAATGTCCTTGGTGGATGATTCTCAAAAAGCATCACGCAGAGAAGTCAATGCTCAAGGACTGGGCACACCTATCCAAGCACACAATTGGATTTGATTTCAAGGTTCAGCAGAGAGTGACAGATATGAATCATCTAATCTATGAGCTTGAACACAGACTCTTAGACACGTATGAGAGTCTCATGGAAATAGGCCACATTTTACTTTTGCAACCGTTTTTTATGTTTAAAAATGAAAACGCATATTTACAGATACATTGCAAAAAACACTCCTTTATATTCACACAATTATCAATTTCAATCCTATCCCATTGTAATCTATGCAAAATATATGTTAAAACTTATATTTTGCATAGATTACAATGGGATAGAATTGGAATATATTTTCATTAAGAAAACAATATTCTTAAGAAGTTGTTTAAAGTTTAAACAACTTCTTAAGAATATTTTTTTCTTAATGAAAATATATTTCAAAATGCCAAAATATACCACAGAATGCAAATATTTTGTAGATTCTTCCTAAAGTTTCTTGTTAAAATTTTGTGAGTCACTGTTAAAGCAAATGAGTAACAAATGGACCGGCTGTGAATAAGTTGGGTTTTTTTGTACGCCAAAGA